GGCGGGGTGGCGGAGGGGAGGGGGCGAGACGGGGCGGACGGGCGGGGTGGCGGAGGGGAGGGGGCGGGGTGGCGGAGGGGAGGGGGCGAGACGGGGCGGACGGGCGGGGTGGCGGAGGGGTGGGGGCGGGGTGGCGGAGGGGTGTGTGGCCCACATCCCCCCCTGGGGCACCGAGGTCGAGCGGCTTGGCGTGGAAGCGGTCGATTAGGGCGTCGAGTGCGGCGTCGGACAGCTCGTAGGTGGGCACGTTGACGGCGCCGTTCTTGGAGGACCCGTGGTCGGCCGCCCACTTGCCTCCCTCTGGTGGCCCGGCGAGCTTCTCGGGCGCGCCTGAGTCGGAGCGGGGTGGCGGGGCGTGTCGTGAGGGGCGGGGACGCCGGCGGCACGTGTGTGTGTGAGGCGCAGGGGCGGCGTGGCGCACCGCCGCCGACGCCTGGCTCGGCGAGCAGCTTCTGGAGCCACGGCCCTCCCGGGCCGTTGTAGTCGCGGACGTGGCAGCCGTCGCCGTTCCTCCGGCCGGACGCCTCGAGGTTGATCTGGTCGACGATCGCGTGGAAGCGGTCGAGGTTGGATTGATCGCACGAGAAGCACATGGACTGCGCCGCGGGGGGGAAGGGTGGGCGGGGGGCTGGGGGTAGGGATATGGAGGAAGCGTGGATGGGGGGGCGCCTCGAATGCCCAGTGTGCCGGGTTGGAGAAGGATGTGATGTGGGAGAACATCTGTCGCTTGCTGTCGCCCATGTCGTACATGTGCCTCGTCCAGGCCTTGAGGACCCTCTTCCCGTCCCACTCGCCGAACATGCAGCTCTTCGAGACGACCGACGACGGGACCGGGTCCGTGTCGAACTCGAACTTGGTGACGATGCCCGGGAAGTTGCCTGTGAGCGCCCAGGCGGCGCAACAGTCAGACGGCGCAACAGTCGGTGTAGGCGGTGCAGGTGCGATGCGCCTCCGCCGCCCTTGGCCATGTAGAGCATGTCTGGGTTCACGTCCTTGGACGCGAGCTGCCTCTTGCCGTCGGCGTCCACGAACTCGACCCCGCGCAGCCTGTCGCAAGAGAGGCCGAGCCACTGCGTCAGCATGCCACGCCCGCACCCGAGCGTCAGGCCCGCCACGCCGACGCCGCCCTCGGTGCCGCCCGGGACGACGCGGCCGTGCTGGGAGAGCTTGTAGTAGAGCTGGCCTGCAGAGGGAAGGCTCCGGCGCGGCTCGGAGAAGGCCCCACAGAAGTGCTACGGAGAGGGGTATATACACATATATGTCGACCTCACCCCAGGTGTGCCCAGCGCCCGCCGTCGCCAGGCCGGTGGCGGGGTCGTACTCGAGGGCGTTCAAGTCGCGGACGTCGATGATGACGCCTTCCCGCGAACAGAGCGTGGGTGGGTGAGGGAGAGGTGGGGTGAGAGTGAGAGGTGTAAGGGAGGGTGAGGAGGCGTCGATGCCAGAAAGCGAGTCGGGGCTCTACAGGGACGTGAGGGTGCTGCCGCCTCCGGAGCAGCAGGCGTCGTTCTCGAACCCGTGCGCGCCGGCTCGCGCGCACGCGTCTATCCCTGCGGCGACGACGCACTGGACCGCCGCCTCCACCTCTGACACCGAGTGCACGCGGGCGACGGCCACCGGATCCGGGTTGCTGATGTCGCCCCGCCGGTTGCGGCACTTGTTGGCGGCTCTGAACTCCGGATCGCCCGGCAGGTGCGCCTCGCGCAGGTTGGCCTTGAGGCACGGTCCAAGATCCGCCAACGGCGGAAGCGGCACGAATCCCGGCATCGGGGCGCCCTTGACCTTGCACGTAGCGCCCTCACGGAGGGCGATATGCGTCGGCTTTTTGGCATGCATCTCGCACCGCGAGAAGGACTTGGGCACGCTGTAGAACTCGTACCCTTTACACCGCGACGATCTGCCGCACTTGGTCGCGCACGTCTCCTCCGTGCCGAGCGGGTCGCCGCGCCCCCACTCTTTGATCTCAATGATGTCACCATGTTCTTTAAAAGTGCCGGTCGCTCGGCACACGCCTCCCGACTGGCCCGCTGCGGGAGTCAGCCAGTGGTGGGTCTTGGGTTGAGTGGGTATTTGCGGGGGAAGCTGAGCCAGCACGGCGAGTACAGCGACCACCGCCATATCTTGACCGGCGAAGGCAAGCAAGCTGAGTCGGTGATCGTCGTCTTGGTCGTGCTCGCAAGCACAGGCGCCGTGCGTGAAATTTCCAGCGGCGCCAAAAAAAATTCCCCTTTCGTACAGTCAAACTCACTTAAAAAACAAAAAAGTGCGCATGTGCATGCATGTGTCCCCGCGCCCTGAGCACGACGACACAGAAGATAGTAGAGGTACAGAAGGGCGGCAGGGGAGCTGCATTTGGGGAGCTGGCAGCTTGCGCCTGCGGCTGCTTTCTGCGGATTTTCTTGATACTGAAAAAGCGAAACACGCGCGCCATCCCGGAAAAATCTAGGTGCGAAACCGCGAGAACAAGCAACACCGCAAAATGACACAGAGAAGGAAGGACTCTCTCTTCCCCCTCCCTTCCCTTTTTCTAGGCGCACACACTTCTCTTCTACAACCTGCCGAGCTTCCCGCGCCTATCTCAGGCCGCGCGGCCCGCGCTCCGAGTGGGAGCCGTTTTGGCCGCGGCCGTCATGCGCGCGCCCGACGCCCCCCCCTCGCGGCGGGGAAGGGGCCGGGCGCGGCGCGGGCCTGCTCCGCCCGACGCGTCCGCGGGCGGCGGCGCCCCGCTGCCGTCGGCAGCGCGGCTGTCCCGCCGGCCCGCTTACGGGCATCAGAATCAGCCGCCTCCTGGCCCGCGCGGCTTTGGCTTCTTGCCTGGCGGGTACGGCTTGTAGTTCTCGTAGTCGTCGTCGTGCGTGTACGAGAGGCAGGCGAGGTCGGGCGGCGCCGCCTCCTCCCCGCCGCTCGCCGCCTCGCCCCCCGGGGCGGCGGGCGGCCGGGAGCGGTACTTTGCGAGGAAGTCCTTGGAGAGGCGGTGGTGCGACGACTTGTTCCACAGGATGAGGTTGTACCTGCGCCCCTCACGGAGCAGCGGTCAAGAGACGCGGCTCGCGCGCGCGACTTCTTCCGCACGAGAGAGAGTGGGGCACCTCTCGCCCGTCACGATGTCGTCCGCGCCGTGCCGCTGCCTGCCGAGGTGCAGGATCGCGTGGCCGCGCGTGTGCGCGTGCACGTGCCGCAGCGTGCGCTCGCGCCCGTCGCCGCCCCCTCTCGAGGGCGGCTCGCCTGAGGGAGAAGAGAGGCGGCCACGTGAGGAGGAGAGGGGCGTGCATCTGCAGCCTCCCGAGTGCGGCTCGCCCCCGCGCAAGCCGCACAGCGTGAGCCCCGCGCCGGTGAAGTCGCGGCCGAGGCAGACCTACGGGGAGGGCCGCGGGCAGGCTCCGGTCGGGCTGCGGGCCGGTGCAGTCGCGGCTGAGGCGCGGTACGTTGAGCGTGACGTCGCACGCGTCAGTGTGCATGTCGAGGCCGAGGTCCTACGGGGAAGGCTCCGAGAAGCTTCCGAGAAGGCTGCTCGCTGTGGTACGTTGTGCATGCCGAGTCCGAGGCCTGCCCCGCCTTGTACTGCACCACGAAGGCGTGGTGGTGGTCGAGGGAGGCGCCTGCAGGACACGTGCGGGACACGTCCGGGACACGTCCATACACACATATGAGGGGCGGCGGTGTCCACCTTCGGAGCCGAAGAGCAGCTCGCCAAGCGGCGCGACGTACCGCGCCTGCAGCGAGTCCACAGCATCTCCCAGTCGGGCATCCCTCCCAATCTCCCCATCTCTCCCCCCTATGGCGCCTGCAGCGAGTCCATCAGCCGCTCGAGACCGATCGGTCCGTTGAGGACGAGGCCTATTCACACACCCCGCCGTGAAGAGGCGCTGCTCACCCCCGCGTCGCGCCTCGAGGGAGGAGGCCGTAGTTGTTCATCGAGTTCGGCCGCATCGCAGGCATGCCGCTCGCCTCGTACGCGTCAACCTCGTCGAGCAGCGCGTCGCAGCAGGGGAGCGAGAGCATCTCGAAGGTGTACACGCCCGGCGAAACCTCGTCGAGCATCCCTCGCAGCGGGCCCGTGTCGCCGCTCGCCTCGTACGCCTCCAAGGCGGCGGCGAAGGACGGCGCCAGCCACTCTCGCCGGAAGCCAGCCTCGAGGTCGAACAAGCGCGGCGCCTTTGCGAGCGAGCGGTACTTGTTCTCGTACCGCACCTGCCGCAGGTGCCGCGAGGCGAGCCGCCGCCAAAGCACTCCGCCGAACCCGCCCTCGCCCTCGCCCTCGCCGTCTGCAGCAGAGAGCGCCATCGCAGCCTCGCCCTCGGCCTCGCCCTCCTCGCCCTCCTCCTCGCCCGCCTCTGGCGGAGGCGGCTCCAGCCACGCGGGCGGGACCTCGGGCCCCGCCGCCGCCGCCGCGCGCACCCTCGCCGCCGCAGCTCCCACCGAGGCGGGGTCGGCAGAGACGGGTCCGCAGAGCGAGGCGAACAGCAGGTCGAGGAGCAGCCGGAGCGAGTAGCTGGGAGGGCGGGCTGGCGACCCGCGCACGCGCCGGACGACGCGGCTCTCGTCGAGTGGCGCGTACACGCACGCCCCACCGTCGAGGAGTACCTGCGCACGCCACCGACTCGCCGTGAGAATGACGACAAGCATGACATCGCTGCTGCTGCTGCCCGCTAGAGCACCGCACCTGGTACGGCACCGTCTTGCCTTGCGGCCAGGAAGGCTCGCGGTAGCGGAGCGCGACGACGGAGCCCGCCCGCCAGCCGCCGCTCGCCTTGCACTCGACCCGCTCGCCGAGCCCGAAGCGGAGCCCTGCCGCGCCCGTCGGCTCGGGCGGAGGCTCGGCGGAGCTGCCGCCGCCCGGGCAGGCGGGGCAGGCGGCGAGCAGCGCGCGCGCCTCGAGCGCGTCGTAAAACGTGTCGTCGAAGGTGCCCTCGTACGGGTCGCGCATCTCCACCTCGGCGTGGAGCATGATGGAGAGCATCTGCAGCCGCGGGGGCTCCTGCGGATAGCCGACCGGCACGCGCACCGCGAGCCGGTACCATCGGCCGCCATACGGAGAGCCGCGCGGAGGGCAGATCTCGCACCGCCACTCAAAGCGGAGCTTGCCGGCCGGAGGCCCGCGCGTGCGTTGGCTCTCCGGGTCGAGATCGACCAGCGTAAGAGGCCACGCGGAGCGGACGTGGCCGCCCTCGCTGAGTTCGGCGGTGCGGAGCCCGCCACTGCTGCCGCCGCTGGAGACGAAGAGCTCGCCAAGCTCGCGAAGCACAGACGCGCGCTGCGGCCCATCAGCTCCGTCCCGTGGGCGCTTCTCAGCCATGGTGGCCGGTGACCTTCGCCTTCGAGGACAGTCCAGCACCGACCGTGAACGGGGCCCGGGGTTGTGCGTTTACGTGAACGGGACGCGAAGGACTGAGAGAGAAGCGGTCACAAAACAAGAGAAGAAAAACATCCGGCGGAATCACCCACAACCATCGTAAGCCTTGACGTCGCGCTGCGCACCACCCGCCGGCAAGCATGCTCGAATGTTCCTCAGCGCCTTTAGCCGCTTGGCCCACGCACCTCGGTCCGTCCTCGACAAGCGGCGCTCACTCGCGAGCAAGTCCATGTGGACTATGTCGGGAAGGTACCCCTCGACACGTAGCTCCGGAGGGTCACACGGGTCGTCATCGTCGCCTTCCGTTGGTACCAAACGGAAGACGAGGACGACGTGCAGGAGTGGTCGCGAGCCGCCAAATCGGTTCGTCACAAGCCGCCCCATGGGAGACCGCACAAGCACCTCAACAAGCCGAACTTCGCTCCTGTCCTCATCGCCGTGCTCGTCTCTTCCGCGTGGTCGCCACGCTACCCCAGGCATACTCTGTGGACCGGACAGAGCTGCAGCCGCGGCAGGCCAGGCGAATCCGCCCCGCAGTGACGTGATGCCACCCCAGAATCTCTCCCGGTGCTCGTCATCCTCCGCTTGCGCCGCCTCCCGCGCGGTCCGCTCTGCCTCCGCCTCTGGCCGCCGCCGCCAATCGCCTACGTCGCATCCGCGGCGGGGGCAAATCTTTGTAGCCACGGCTTCATCGATAGTTCGGGGCAGATCTCGAAGCAGGCCCTGAATTGTGATGACCAGCGCACGGTCCAAGACTGGCTGCATATCGCCTCCGCCTCCACGGTCGTCGCTCGCGTGGAGGTCGCCTTCGATCATGCCAAACGCGGGGTTGTAGGCAGAGGCCAGGTCGTTCCAGCGGGAGCGACCATAAAGGTCGATGCTTGATCGACCGTCGCCATTTGGCTCGAACGGCTCAAGCCCAATTTCCGCCGGAACTTCGCGCAGGGTCGCCGCGGGCATCAGGACGGCTGCGTACGAGCGCAGCAACTCACACGCCTCTCCGCTCTTGTGGAACGTTTGGACGCCCAGGAGCTCGCCTGCAGCAGACTCGACCCAGCCGCGCGTATGTAAGTACACGCGCTCCACGGAGATCGCCCAGGCTCTGTGGCACAGGTCAATGCTCATCGAGGCTGCGAACGAAAATGCCCAGGTTCCTGGCGCGCAGCAGCCGCAACCCTCCCGCATGGCAGCCGCAACCGCCATCTGGACACCCAGCGCCGCGCCAGTACGCGCAGCGAGACTGGTGAGCGGATCCTCGTCTGCCAGGGTCGGGGTTGGCATCGGCACCCAAGCGCACCGCTCCTCGGAGTGCTCGTGCTCGTCCTCAACCAACTCTGCGTATTCCGGCTGGTCCTCAATCTCCTCTGCCTCGGTCACGGTCGGCAGGGGGACACTCTGCCGAGCCGGGACTGAAAAGAGCTTCAGGTGCAGCTCGGATGGGTTTATCGCAGCTGCAACCGGCGCCATTGCAGAGCAGCCGCATCACCGCCGACGCCCGAAGGCAGCGTAGCGCGCGAAAGATGGTGTCGTCCAGCCCAGGATACTTGACGTCGTAGGCGCCCTGCTCCATGATGAGGGGCCCCAGCGCTGCGTCCGACAATATCTGCAGCCAATCTAGGGACGCGACGGCCACCACCTCGTCAATAGGCTCCTCTGCAGGTGGGTCCATGTAGGCGTACTGTAGGCGACTGCGGCGTCTTTGGGTATCTGATACATGTAGCGTGCTCAGCGAGCCGTCTTTTGAGAGACTAGTGGGGGACCTGCGGCGGACCCGCCTCTGTTGTTCGCGGGCAGTGAGAGACGCGTGCCACTCATAAGTCAGTCAAAGCAGTCGCCGTTGCATGCAGCGACTCTGCTCACGTGCCACGACTGCTTTGACTGACTTATCGCGCAAACACGATCGGCCATCGCACCCACCGCAAACACCTCGCCGCACAGATGGGGGGAGGCATAATCCCACACACACCGGAGCAGCGCAGACACCTTACACGTCAGCGCTCGCTCGATGTGGCCGGCGCTCTCCCCTCTCCTATCGCCTTTTCAACGGCGGCGTGCGGCCACGCGCCGCGCCGAGCCGGTCTCGGCGGGAGACCTCGGAGCCGCACGCGATGCGGGCATGCGCGATGGCTCCGTTGGCTCCGTGCCTAAGGCAGATAGATTAGGGTGTGAGCTGCGGCAGCCACCGTTTCTGTACCTCGATCACGTGCAGGCCGTCGGAGGCCGCGCTGGATGGCCCAGGGCCGGCGGCGGTGAAGGCGTCCGTCGATGAAGGGATGTCCTCGAGGGAGCCATCGTCCTACGCGGCTGGTGCACCGGTCCAGTTGTCGGAGTTCGAGATCGCCGTCGACTTGGAGAGTTCGGCCCGTTGACACTCTCACGGAATGTGAGCGACTTGGTGCACGCTGATAGTCGAGCATCATGGCTCGCACCTCATCCTGAGCGCAAGGAACTCGCCCAGGGGCCAGCTGTTGGCGTCGCCGTTTTGATCGACCTGCATCCACTGCATGGTTTCGTAGTCAAGCGTAAACGCCCAGGAGTTGGTGCCTGGGTGACTTGCTGATGAGAGCGCCTTCCAGGCGGGTAGTCGTGCCCCTCACCTAAGGTCATACGGCGGCGTCAGAGGGGGGGGAGGGGCGCGAAGCGTGAACATGGAGGCAAGCAGGTGGCTGCACCTCGCCAAAGCCGGCGACCTCAAAGTTGTCGTAGGTTGTGCGGGTATCGCTGAGCGTGAGAGGGACTGGATCGGCAGCAGCTCGGGCGGCAGCGGCCGGAGAGGCCGGAGAGCCGTCCGACGGAGGCCGGTCGTGCATCGGCGCGTCGGCCGTAGGGGCCGGGGGGGCGGCGGCATCCATGTACATATATCGGCTGCGGGTCGCTGCGGGCCGACGATTGTGGACTGATCGATCGTCGGCGGGCGGTGTCTCGAGTGTTCAGCTGGGACGTTCTACGTTAAAAGAGCGTCGGCGCCGACACGAGAGACTTATAAGGGTAGAAGAAGGGAAAAGAGAAGGATCAATGAGTTTGCGCCCCGTTTGTACGTGACGGCACACTTCTTATTGCAGGTGGCGCTCTGGGCGCGGCTAACGCGACGATGCGCTGCCGCCTGCTCGTCCTCGTCGCGCTGGCGCAGGCGCGACCGCAGCAGTATGACCCCGAGGGTGGGCGAGGTCCGTCTCGGCCCGCCGTCGCCGGCGTCCCAGGCGCCGCTCCTCGTGCCACTGGCCCTCCGCTCTCCCGGCAGCCGGGCCAGCCGGGGCAGATTGGGCGCGCGGTGCAGCGATACCAGTCCTTCGTCAACGGCGCGGCCAAGGTGTCGCGATGGATCCACGTGGGGTGCGGCTTTTGGGTCATCGTCTCCACGCCAGTCTCGCTGATCTCGTCGGGTGCCCGCTCTTCGGCCACAGGATGCCAAAGCCACACGACTGGCCTCACGCGGCGACCGTGGCGCTCCCAGGCGTCTCCCTTCGGCCGGCCGAGATGATGCTGTGCGGCTACCTCGGCTTGTTTGGATTCGTGAGCGCCGCACCCTGCACCACGCACCCACACCAGCCCCACTGGCCTCACCCACCCTGCCCGCCTGCCTGCCTGCCCCGCCTGCCCCGCCTGCCCCGCCTGCCCCGCCTGCGCCCCGCCCCGCCCGGCTGGCGAGGACGACCGGTCATTGAGAGACGGACGGAAGAGTGAGGAAGACGCACCTTTCTGTTTCAGCCCAACCGAGCCAACGCGGATCAAGCCGCCCGCCCTCCGCCCCTCTGCGCCTCTCCGCGCTTGCCCCTTGCCTCCGCCACGCCCACGTCCTCGCGACGCTGGCGCGACGGCTGACGCCGTGTCGCCTGCCGCGGAGGTGCTCGCGGGCTGCGAGCTGCCGCTTGCGCGTGGCCTCTTCGAGACATACTGCCGCTTCCTGTACACGACGCAGGGCAGGCTCCTCTTCATGGTGCCGCCCCGCCTCGCCTCCCTCCTCGCCTCCCTCCTCCCTCCCTCCTCCCGCTCCCTCCTCCCGTCGCTGCTCCCGCTGCTCGCTGCTCCCCCCCCCCCTCCCTCTCTCTCCCTCTCTCCCTCTTGGTCTGTCTCCATCGTCTCTCCTCGCTCTCTCCCCTCGCTCTCTCCCCACCCTCCCCCTCCCTTCCAGTGCGCCTGCCCTCCTCGCGCCCGTGCGGCCCCCTCACCCGCCCACCCGGGCCCCTCCGCCGCAGGCTCACGTCGCAGTCGTCGCCTGGTCTTGCAAGTACGTCGGCATCCTCACCAAGGCGAGACGCTGCTACCGCGTCCCACACCCTCACCGCGGTGCCGCCCTCTCACCCAAGCCCCCCCCCGCCCCATCTTCCAGACGCTGCTCCTCTTCAACGCCCTCATCTCCGCCTACGTGTACAACTCCAAGGCAGCCGCCGTCGCCGCGTGTGCCCCGCCCTCCAGCCGCACACCTCACACCCTTCCCCCGGCCGGCGAGCAGGCGCTGCACCACTTTGGAGTCGCGGACGAGCGCGCGCAGGGGGAGGTGGCGGCCCTCCCCCTCCCCGCCCGCCGCCCAACCGCGACGCCTCCCCCTCACCGCCGGAGCCTCGCGCCAGGTCGGCGACGCCGTCAACCGCGCCAAGGAGGCGCTCGGCGAGGTGTCGTCGATGAGCCGGCTGCTCGGCGTCGGAAAGATCTTTGGCTTGGGGAGCAAGCCGCCCGCGCCGCCGCCGGCGCCGCCCAGCGCATACCGCGACTCAGACTACGGCGGCACGGGCGGCGGCGGCTACGGCGACGGCGGGTACGGCGACGGCGGAGGCGGCTACGGCGGAGGCGGAGCAGGCGGCGGCAGGGGCGGCGGCTATGGAGGCGGGTCGGCAAAGTCCACCGACCCCGACGACGTCTGGGGCGGCGGGCGGTAGCGGCGGGCGGCGGGAGCTGGGGACAGTGACGGGGTCTCGGCAGGGGAGCGTCCAATCCCTCGCCGCTGCCGCGGCGCCTCGAGCGTGCGAAAATGGCTCGCCGAGGCGAGGCTGCTGCGCCATGGGCTGCGCGCCGCTTCTACACACACAGCATAGCGCGCTGAAATCCAGCGGCGCGAGAGGAGAGTGGAGTGGCATAGCACAGGAAGTTGGCGAGGAAGAGGCGCTTCCGCGCTTCACGACCAACAGGAAAAAAATCAGGTCAACAGAAGTCTCGAACGGGAAACTCACGACAGAACGCTGCGATGCGGCCCGGGCGGACAGTACTGGTTGCATTCATGGCTCTGCTCTCCACCATTTTCGCTGCATTCCCCAACCCTCGTGGGACAGCGCCTGTGACGCGCCGCACCGCTGTCTTTGCCGGCTCTGTCGCGTGCGGCTGCAGCTGCTGCAGCCCCGAGCCCGCCTCGGCACTGGCTAGCCTGACCCGGCCGCCAGAGGACGACCTGCGAACGTACGACGTCCCGCGAGATGCGCGCAGAGATGCCGGCTTCGCGTGTGGGATGGCCACCGGCATGAAGGACTATGAGCGCGCCGTCTCGGGGCGTAAGCGCGAGCTGTTTGACCGGCTCCTCACCTCGCTACCGAAGAGCGACGCCGTGGTGGTGGAGCTGGGCATGGGCTCTTTCCCCAACGCGGAGTACCTCGCCGCAATGCCCAGCCAAGGTGCCGCTCCGCAGCGCATGGACCTGATTGGCTTGGACCCGAACGACTCGATGGAGGCGTACGCGAGGCGGTCCGCCGCCAAGGCCGGCCTGCTTGAGCAGGGCCACTCGCTGCGCGTGACGCACGGCGTGGGCGAGGTGCTGCCCCTGGCGGATCGCTCCGCCGACGCCGTGATCTGCACACTCACGCTCTGCTCGGTCGCCAGCCCCGAGCGGGTCCTCGCCGAGGTGAGGCGCGTGCTCCGGCCGGGCGGCAAGCTCCTCTTCCTCGAGCACGTGCTGTCCGAGACGGACGCCGCCCTCGCCGCGCAGCAGCGCGCAGCCACGCCGATGCAGGTCGAGTTCGCCGACGGGTGCCACCTGGACAGGAGGACCGGGCGCCTCGTCGAGGAGGCCGGCTTCGCCTCGGTCGACGCCAAGTACACCGAGCTGACGGGCTTCTACTTCCTTAACCCCACCGCGTCCGGGATCGCGACGCGGTAGAACGATATAGAAAACGCGCAAGAAGGGGAAGGGTTGTGTCGCCATCTGTTTAGTTGTGAGAGTTGTGTAAAAAGAGAGGGGGAGGCTGGAGGGGTGGAGGGGAGGAACGGGAAAGACCGCCACAATGCAGGGATATTGGGCAGGGGCGGCTCACGAGAATTCTTTTCTGTGCCTTTTGTGGTGCTAGTCCGTGCCAGTCTGCTGTGAGAGGTCGTGGATTTCTTTTCTTGGATCGGCCCGCCGCAGGTGAGAAAGCGCTCCGTTGAGCCGCTGTTGCGAGCCGCCGCTGCCCGCTATCGTCTCGCCGCCGCTGTACATGGGCTGGCTCTCCGAAAAGAGCACAAAATCACGAGCGCAGCCCAACGCCGAGACAGCGGTCGCCGAGCTTCGTGCCGAAATGGCACGACGCGGATCACCGATCGACCTGCCGACGGACGACGTCCTCCGGTTCGCGAAAGCGCGCAAGCTGAACGCGGTCAAGGCGGCTGACATGCTGCAGGCCGATCTCGAGTGGCGGCAGGCGCGGCGCGTGGAGGAGCGCCGCGAAGAGCCGGCGGAGGACATCCTTGGAAAGCCGATCGCGGCGCTGCAGCAGGTGCTACCCCACGTATGCAGCCCGGGAGTCGACAAGCTGGGCCGTCCCATCATCTTCAAGCACTTCGGTGGCCAGTGCTCCTTTTCGCGCCTGTGCCCAGACCGCGAGAGCGTCGACCGGCTCTGCGAGTACAATTGGTGGGTAAACGAGCAGTACTGCAAGCGGCTCGCAGCCCTTGGCGCGGAGCAGTGGGTTGTGGTCATCGACGCCAAGGGCTGGCAGCCAGGCTTGATCGATCGGACGGCTCTGCGAGTGCTCAAGTCGATGGCCGACACAGACGCCGACCACTACCCGGAGCGGCTCGGCGGATTGGTCGTCTTGAATGCGCCGGCCTCGCTCGCCCTCGTGTGGCGAATCGTCAAGACGTGGCTCGACGAGAAGACCAAGGCCAAGGTCGACATCATCTCCAGTTCCGACCCAAAACGCGCGACCGAGCGGCTGCACGGCCTCGCCGCGCCAGACCAGCTGCCGGAGCAGTACGCAGGTACGGCGCCGCCGCTCGAGGCGTGGCCGATTTGGCCGGCAAAGTCAGGGCTGCCTTCTAAGCCGAACGGCGCGAGGTGATCGGTGGCAGGCTGCCGTCGCCCCGGCGCAGCGAAGAGCGAGTTTCCAACAACACACACCGGCTATCGATGCCGCGGGTCGAGCCGCGGGGGGCCCGCGTTGTTTGTCGTGTGTGCCGCGTCTTATTCCCCGCGTACATCGCGTGTATATTCAAGACTTTATTCAAGACTTTCACTCGGAAGTCACGTCAGCTCTCGCTCGATCTCGCCAGCTGCAGCTCGTACCGCTTCGGTCGTGGTCCCTGCCGCTTCCGATTCCACGGGCGGCTGCTCGGCCGCCTCTGGCGCAGCCTCCGCTACTGCCCCTGCGGTCATCTCCACCGCCTCCTGCGTGGTCGCCTCCGCCGAGCTTGCCACTGCCGCCTCCGCCGCCTGTCTCGCCTTCTTGAGATCGACCTCACGAATCTGAGCCTCGGCCCTCTCGATCACCCTCTCGGCCGCCGCGACGAGGGCCTTGCGCTTGGCGCGCGCCTCGTCACGGCCACTCGTTAGATCGGCCGTGTGCAGCGCGTCCAAACGGGTTGCGAGCAGAGCCGTGGCAGAGCCGTGCAGAGAGGCGAGCGTCGAGCGGAGCGCAATAGGTGGCGCCTCGTTAGCGAGCGCCTCGTCAGCGCGATTCAGCGTCGCCTGCATCTCATCGAGCTCCTTTTCGAGCGTATCGAGTGTCGTGCAGACGGCGAGCGAGCGCGTCGTAAGTTCCCTGTGCAGCGAAGCCGGTGGAGCTGGCGGTAGGGGTTTCGGCGGTGAGTAGGCAGGCGAGGCGGCTGACGACGGTAGCACGGCCGGGACGGCCTTTGGCACAGCATCCTCGGTCGTCGCAGCGTTCGAGGACGCCGCACAGCCCATGTGCTGGCGAGTAGAGCGCACGCCTCACTTTATCAGGGGGGATCCGGGCTTTTCGCTGCGCATGCTGTCGCTGGCGAGGGCTTGTGCTGTGAATAGCAGGCGTGGTCTCTACTCGCCAGGCCCATGTGTGTATCCAGCAGACTAGAAAAGAAATCATTATTTTATATTAGAGCCTGTTTTTGCCACTTCGTTAGCTCTCCAGGGGTCTCTAATCTTGAAATCTGAGACCCAAATATCAGACCTTGCTTCAAAATCAAAGGTTTGCTTGCCACTGCGTTGCAAAAACAAAATGACGTGTGAGTGTTAGAGTTGTTTGGTATTGCTAAAAATCTCTCTCTCTCTGCGTTGCCCGGCGCCCGCGCCTAATTTTCCTTAGGGTCGCGCTGCGTCTCACATTTGTCCGTGCGCGCTCCCAGCGCCGAGCCGCGGCTCCACGCGCCACCTGGGCTGCCTCTGGCACGGCCGGGGTCCGCCGAGAGGCTGGGCTTGGCCGGCGGCGCGACGCGTGGCCTGTGCTGCGGCCATCTCGGACGTTCAAGCGGCGCCAGCCAGCGGCTCGGCCGCGCATCCTTCACACACGCCGCCACGACCGGGATGAGAGGGCCCGGTGTCGAGCCCTGGTGCGAGCTGCATGCGAGGGGCGGCTATGGCCACAGCAGGTTCACCAGATGGACGTCAAAGCTGCCGTCGGCGTGCTGTCGTGGGGAGAGCCCGAGACCGCTGCAGAGGAGCCGAGTGCAGTGGCGAGCCAGAGGCTACCTGGGTCGCTAAGTGGTGGTCCTTGCCCATTCTGAGCAGGGCTGTGCTTTGGTGGGGCTGTGCTTGAGCATGTGTGAACTGGGAGTGCGTGCCGGCGGTGTCTGTGGGTGAAACAGGCGTGTGTGAGGCTGCAAGAGCCGTGGTATGAGCCAGAGTGAGCTTCATCACCCAAAGTAAGGACGGTCTGGGACAGCCCAGGCTTGATCCTGATGGGCCTGGGCCAGGAGAGCGACAGAGAAGGCGAGCTGGCGAGCTGGGAAGCCGCTTCGTCGGCATGGCCGGTGTGCGTGTTCACACGAGATGCAAGTGCCAAAAAGCGTTGTTTGCGGCTATTGCTCAAAACTGTGGGAGAGAAGGCCTACATATTATGACTGTACCCATGACTCTGGTGCATGAGGGCTGCGGGACGGGACGTATCGCGGTCGTTGGCGCCGATAATGACCTCCGTAATGCCCTCGCAATCGCCTCGGATGGGGTCTACCGGGGACAATCTCGAGCCCTCTCCGTGGCATCACGAGCCAATGTGGGCTTGAAGACCCAAGATAAGTGTGGTTTCAGACACCTCAGGCTTGCTACGGATGGGCCTGGGCCTGGAGAGCAACAGAGAAGGCGAGGTGGTGAGCCGAGAGGCTGGAGAGTCCGCGTATGACCTTGTCGCCGAAAGCAAGTGCCACGAAGCGCTATTTCCTGCTCTCAGCTCACCACCTCGCCTTCTCTGTCGCTCTCCTGGCCCAGGCCCACCAGCAGCAAGCCTGAGTTGTCCCAGACCGCACTTGTTTTGGGTCTTCAAGCTCATACCGGCTCGTGATGCTCTGGCGCCCTCAAAGTGGGGCTGGCTGACTTGCCAGAGGTCGATACTCTGGACGACCCATAGGATGCCACGAATGCCTGAAGGAGAGGGAGGCGAGGCCAGAGGCAGGCTCAGCTGCTCTCGGGTGATCTCGCTTTGGTGGCTGAAGGACCCGATGGTCCTGTCACACACATTCGCGTTCCGAGTCGTGGGGGTAGAAGAATTCGAGGAGCGAGTCAGCTTCTGTTGCACTCTTGGCGCAATGAGGGCGAAAATTCTTTGAAAGAAAGAAAGAAAACAGAACGATTTTAAGAAAGAGGACGCTGAAATTCTTTTCTCGCGCGGCCCCCCTGTTGTGCTGGCACACCCCAGCACAGTGCAGCACAGTGGAGCGGCATGGCGAGCTCTCCGCCGACCGCAGAGATGGCGGCCGCGAGCGTGGGTGCCACGCTCAATATCAACGTCGGCATACTGGGCCACGTTGACTCGGGAAAGACCAGCCTCTCCCGCGCTCTCTCCTCGACCGCGTCGACCAACGCCTTTGATAAGAACCCGCAGAGCAAGGAGCGCGGAATCACGCTGGACCTCGGCTTCTCGTCCTTTCTCACCAGCCTGCCTGCGCAGCTGGCGGGCGGGGCGTACAGCCAGATGCAGGTCACGCTTGTGGACTGCCCGGGCCACGCGTCACTCATCCGCACGATCATCGGCGGAGCGCAGATCATCGATCTGATGCTGCTCGTGATTGACGTCACCAAGGGCATCCAGACGCAGACGGCTGAGTGCCTCGTTATCGGCGAGATCCTCAACGACACACTCATCGTCGTGCTCAACAAGACAGACATGCTGCCGGAGGCCGGGCGCGAGGAGAAGCTCAGCAAGATGAAGGTGCGACGCACCCTCTTCCCGCCGCACCGCCCAAAACAGCCTCCCGGCCCCACCTCTCGCCACACTCGGCTGTGCCCGACGCTCGCCTCCGGCGTAAGGCGCGCATACGCAAGACGCTCGCCGCCACCAAGTTCGCTGACGCGCCGATGGTGGCCATCGCTGCACGGCCGGGTGCGCCTCGCCGCCTCTGCGCCGCCCCCGCGCCTCTGCGCTGCGCCTGTGCCGGGCCGGCCCTCTCTGCGCGTGTTGACGACGACGCGCACCGCCTCCGAGGAACATTCTACCCTCGCGCTGCTCACCGCCTCCTCCCGCCTCTTCCTCCGCCTCTTCCTCCAGGCGGCGCCGAGTCGGCGGCGAGCGACGCGTCCGGCGGCGCTGCTGCGGTCGGGGTGAGTGCGCTTGTGGACGAGCTCAAGGCTCGCGTGGCGCTTCCGGAGAGGAGGCACGACGGGCCTCTGCACTTCGCCATCGACCACTGCTTCCCCATCAAGGGGCAGGGGACGGCGAGATGTAGCCGAGATGCAGCCGATCAAGGGGCACGGGACGGCGAGATGTAGCCGAGATGTAGCCGAGATGCAGCCGATCAAGGGGCACGGGACGGCGAGATGTAGCCGAGATGTAGCCGAGATGCAGCCGATCAAGGGGCACGGGACGGCGAGATGTAGCCGAGATGTAGCCGAGATGCAGCCGATCAAGGGGAGGGGACGGCGAGATGTAGCCGAGATGCAGCCGAGATGCAGCCGATCAGGGGGAGGGGACGGCGCCCCGCGCGCTCCTCCACCTCCGCGGTGCCGACCGGTCTTCGCGCCGCAGGTGCTCACCGGCACGGTCCTCTCCGGCTCGCTCAAGATCGGCCAGGAGATCGAGTTCCCCGAGCTCAAGCAGACGCGCAAGATCAAGTCGATGCAGATGTTCCGCAAGCCCGTCCAGTCCGCCACGCAGGGCGACCGCCTGGGCGTCTGCGTCACTCAGCTGGACGCAAAGGCCCTCGAGCGAGGCATCGCCTGCACGCCCGGCTACATCTCTACCGTCTCGTGCGCGCTCGTGGCGGCGCGCACTCCGCCCGCCTCCGCCCGCCTCTGCCCGCCTCCGCCCTGCCCGCTTCCACCGCTTCCGCCCCGCCTCCGCCCGCCTCCGCCCGCCTCCCCGCCCGCCCCGCGCTCCTCGCCCACGGCCCCGTCCCCGGTGTGCGCCTCGCAGGTGCGGCACATCCGCTTCTTCAAGACGGCCTGCAAGACGGGAGCAAAGTTCCACGTGACCGTCGGCCACGCCACCGTCATGGGGACGGCAACCTTCTTCGGCCCGCCCGGCGCCGCCGCCGCCGAGGCGGAGAGGCAGGCGGCCGTGGAGGGGAAGGACGAGGCGGCGCGCAAGGCGGCGCAGGCCGCACGCGCGCTCGCGGTCGCGCGCGCGCCGCTGCCGACCAGCTTCGCCGACGGGGGAGAGCACCTCTACCAAGAGGAGCTCGACACGGCGGCGCGCGGACCTGCGGCGCGCGGGCAAGGGACGCGGGGTGGGCGTATCTCGGACACGTCACGGGTGTGTGCTAGGCGCCCGACCAGTGGTGCGTGCTGCAGCTCGAGCAGCCGGTCGCCTGCGCGCTGCCCGCCACCGCAATCTGCTCGCACCTCGAGACGGACCACAACCTCAACGCGTGCCGCATCGCCTTTTACGGCAAGCTGGTGCGCAGCCTCGCGCCCGACGAGGTGCCGAAGCTGCGCGTCTTCAAGAGGAAGCGCAAGGAGGGGCAGGTCGAGCGGTTGCACGACGACCACACCCTCATCTGCAAGAACCTCTTCCGGCCGGGCACCGACATGACGCCCTTTTTTGGCATGGAGGTGCAGGTGGGCGAGTCCGGACCTGTGGGCAGGATCGACTCCACCTTTGGCAAGACCAAGTTCAAGGTCGCCTTCCCCTCCTCGCTCGAGCCCGGGGTGCTCGCCGACGCTTGCAAGGGCGCGCGCATCTATCTCAACTACAAGCGGTTCGTCTTTGACACGGAGAAGCGGATGATTCAACACTGAACGAGAGAAGCGAGTACGCGGGTAAGAGTAAAGTAAAAGCAGGGCCACGCGATATCACGGCCTGATCACGGCGTGGAACACCGAATATACGCGCGCGTAATTTACTGTCTCTGTCTACGTGTTGTGTAGAATGTGCATACCAATATAGAGTCGATTAGATCCAGGTTAACACGAAAAAGCAAACTCCAAATACAGAAACATTTGTTTCACGCCTGCAAGCTGCATATGCCATCACATGGCCTGCATTCTCCATTCACACTTGGTAACTTGGACGGGTTGTGGAGACACGCGCCGATGTGTTCATCGTGAGCTAGCTCCAGCGGTTCTTGCAACTCTCGCACAAACCCTGCTCATGCGCCTCCACAAGGGCTGCCGCCTCCGCCCCTGCCTTTGCCTCCGCCGCCGCCTTGGCCGTAGCGGAGGCTGCTGCCGCTTGCTTCGCCTTAGCAGCGGCGGCGGCGGCCTGTACCGTCCTCAGCACAGCCTCCAATTCCGCCGCCTCCGCCGCCGCGGCCTGCTCTGCCGCCGCAGCAGCCGCTGCCGCTGCCGCTGAAGACGCCGCCGCTGCCGCCGCTGCCCTCCTCTGGCGCGCAGCCTCAGCAACCTCTGCACCGCGCGCCGCCGCTGCCGCAGCAGGGAGAAGGAGCCGGAAGCCATTGCATCCCTCCCCCCAGCTCCAAACAAGGCCGTCGGCGGTGAGGGCGAGGCTGTGAGCTCTTCCAGCCGACACAGCGACAACGCGCTGCCCCACCAAAGCCTCGATCGGTTCGGGCTGCAGTTCCCGCGGCGATTGAGATTGCCGTAGCAATCTCCAGACAGTGCCATCGGCGGTGATGGCGAGGGGGTCGTATCCCGCCGCCAAAGCGACGACGCGTTCGGAGAGCTGAAAGAACTCGACCTTCTGAGGCATCCACGTTTCTTCGCCCCAGATCCAAACATCGCCGCAGGCGGTGAGGACGAGGCTGAGGTTGCCTCCAGCCCACACAGCAACGGCGTATCGCGCCGACAGAGCCTCGACCTTCTTGGGCCGGCGCTGGGTATACTCGTGCCCCATTGGGAAGGCGCTGCCGTCGTGGTGCCGCTGTATCCACGGATGGCCCAACGGGGCGCCATAGCCATAGCCCCAGGAGAAGACAGAGCCGTCAGCGGTGACGGCTAGGCTGTGCCGTGCTCCAGCCGACACGGAGACGACGTGCCGGCCATCAAAGGCTTCGACCTTCTTGGGTAGCAGCTGGTCCTGCTCGTCGCCGTGGCCCAACTGGCCAGAGCCTCCATCGCCCCAGCTCCAGAGGGCGCCGTCGGCGGTGAGGGCGAGGCTGTGCCATGCTCCAGCCGAGACAGCGACGGCGGCGTCGTCGCCAAAGAAAGCCAGCGCTTCGACCTTCTTCGGCTCCAGCTGGTTCTGCTCGTCGCCGTGGCCCAAGCGGCCACTCCTCCCGCAGCCCCAGCTCCAGACGAAACCATCCGCAGTGAGAGCGAGGCCGTGTTCCTGCCCAACCGCAACGCCCACGGCGCGCTCGCCGCCCAGCGTTGACGGTAGCCGAGTCGGAAACGTCAGCAGCGTCACGCCCTCACCGTGCCCGAGGAAATTGCTCTCGCCGCATGAAGAGAGCCGCCCCTCGACGTCAATGCAGATGCTGTAATCACGGCCAAAAGTTCTGTGCTTGCTTGCCGCCAACCTCGCCGGTGGGTTGGCCTCGCGCAGCATCGCCGAAAAGCACAGCCACCGCACAACGCACAGCTCGTCCATTGGCTGCGCCAGAGTCTCGTAACCTCGCACTTGCGCCCACAAGCGGACGCCCTGCTCTGCGACCGGTTCGTGAAAGAGGCGGGAGACGGCCGAGACGCGAGCGATGTCAACGGGGCTGTCGCACCTCGAGAGGATGCGCGCAAGCAGCTCCGGCGGCAGGTCGAGGAGCGGTGAGGCGTCGGCGTCGGCGGCGTCGGCGGCGTCGGCGGCGTCGGCGGCGTCGGCGGCGTCGGCGGCGTCGGCGGCTTCGGCGGCGTCGGCGGCGTTGACGTCGGAAGCGGCAGCCGTGTCGGAAGCGGCAGCCGCGTCGGCTGTGGCGGCTGCGGCAGCGTCGTCAGCGGCGGCGCCGGTTGCGGCGGCGGCTGCGGCGGTGTTGGAAGCGTCGGCAACGAGAGCGGAATGGGAGTAAGCCGCTGACGGGGCAGGCTCGTCGCTGGCGGCACTCGGGAGATCGCCGCCGTCGAGGGATGCGCCGGTTTCGACACACTTCAACTTGAGTTTTACGTCTAGCAAAGCTCTTCGGCCGTCGTCCATGATGCTTCTTGCGCGGCCTAATATGACGAAGCGAGTGCCCTCCTGCGTGTCGGGCGGAACAGCGATCAACACCACCTCGCCTCGCGGTATTAAAACCTCGAGGAGCCTGCTGCTGCAGGAGTCCATCGCGGGCGCCGAGACAATTTCTTTTCTTCTGGCCCTAGCGGCCCGACGCCGAGGCACGCGCTTGAGGAGTTCATCAGGGGCAACGCCGCCTTTGCACGTTGTTTTCTTTTTTGGAAAACGGCGGCCCTTCGCTTGCGAGCCCAGCGCCCCAGCGGTGATCTTCTCTGGTGATGCTGCGCTGTCGGCTGCGCTTGCCGGATGACTCCCGCACGACGCCAGCATTCTCCCTGCGTGGTCGGCTGCGTCGCATCCTCGTCGTCGGTGGCGCTTCGCGCGGCGCTCCGGCACAGGAGACTTATAAGGGTAGAAACCGAGAAGAAATCAACGCTACTAACAATCAAATTCCGCGGCGCTTGGACGGCCGACGCCGAGCACAATACAGGATGGGCGAGCCCGAGGAGCCTCTCCTGCGACTGGGCGTTTGCGCCATGGCCAAGAAGGCCAGGAGTAAGCCGATGCGCGCCATCCTCGAGCGGATAGAGGAGCACGGCGGCATCGAGATTGTCGTGTGGACCGAGCCGTTTGTCTATGACGCGCCGGTCGAGGAGTGGCCTGTCGTGGACTGCATGGTCTGCTTCCACTCAAACGGGTTCCCGCTCGAAAAGGCGGAGGCGTATGTCTCCCTCCGCTCGCCTCTCCTCATCAACTCGCTCAAGGAGCAGTGGTGGCTGCTGGACCGGCGCAAGGTCAGCATGACGCTGGAGCGGGTCGGCGTGCCTGCGCCGCGCATGCTCTTTGTGAACCGCGACGCCCCCGACGACCCGAACTTCGCGTGGACACCGACCGAGGAGGGCGACTTTGTCGAGGGCGACGATTTCGTCGCTATCGGCGAGAGGAAGATCATCAAGCCCTTTGTGGAGAAGCCAGTGGATGCGAACCGGCACGACGTGCGGATCTACTTCCCGTCGTCGGCGGGAGGCGGCTGCAAATCTCTCTTCCGCAAGGTGGGCGACCGGAGCGGGCAGTGGAACCCAGACATCAACCGCGTGCGGCGCGACGGCTCGTACGTGTACGAGGCCTTCGTGCCGACGGGAGGGATCGACGTCAAGGTTTACGCCATTGCGCCTTCCTACGCGCACGCCGAGGCGCGCAAGAGCCCCGCAGTGGACGGCAAGGTGGAGCGGGACGCGAACGGCAAAGAGGTGCGGCACGCGGTGCGGCTCCTCGACGACCAGAAGCGCGTCGCGTCCAAGATCACATCGGCCTTCCGGCAGGGCGTCTGTGGCTTCGACATGCTATACACACCGATCGGCACCTCGTACGTGTGCGACGTCAACGGCTTCTCGTTCGTCAAGGGGAGCGAAAAGTACCTGAACGACGCGGCGGCGCTGCTTCACACCATCTGCATGGCCTCGCTCCGGCCCGCGCGCTTCCTCGAGATCTGGGATCGGCGGCAGGAAGAGGTTGCCGCGTCGGGCGACACGGACGATGTGGAGGACCGCAGGACCGCGGTCCGTCGCCTCTCGTCCGCGATGCCGAACGCGCCGTCGCCACGCGCCGACGGCGTGTCAGGCGAGGAGCTGCTCGCCGTGCTGATCGTCGCGCGGCACGGCGACCGCACGCCCAAGATGAAGTGCAAGGTGAACACCGGCGATCCAGCGCTGCTCTCGCTGTACCACCGCTGGGCGCCCGAGGACGCGGCGGCAAAGAAGAAGGAGGTCAAGCTCAAGCGGCCGCGCCAACTGCGCGACGCACAGCAGGTGGTCGCGAAGCTGGTCGAGGAGCTCGCCTCGAGCACCGAGAGCAGCGACCTCGCCTCGAGCGCGGTCGACGACAGCGACGAGCGCAAGCTCAAGCTGATGCACGAGGTGCTGCAGGAGGGCGGCCACTTCTCGGGGCTCAACCGCAAGCTGCAGCTCAAGGTGAAGAAGTCGGCGGCGGACGAGAGCGGGCTCTTTCGCGCCACCAAACTGCAGGCCATCATGAAGTACGGCGGCCTGCTGACGCCATGCGGCTGCCACCAGGCCGAGGCATTCGGGCGCGACGCGGCGGCGACGCTCTACCCCGGCGGCGCTGCGGGGCTTATGCGCCTGCACAGCACGTTCCGCCTCGACTTCCGCTGCTACACAAGTGACGAGGGGCGCGTGCAGCAGACCGCGGCGCACTGGATCCGCACTTTCCTCAACCTCGACACGTCCACCGGCGACATCACGCCCATCCTCTTCAACTACATCAACATCGACACTAAAATGCTCGACGAGATGCCGCACGCGGTCGAAGCCACCATCGAGCGCGCGCGAGCGCGCATCGGGGAGCTCGTGGACTCGGACCCGACCGCGCAGGATGAGCTGAGGCGGATCAAGCTGCACCTCACCGCCATCTGCGACCACTTTTGCGCGCTCTACAAGAGCGCGCTCGGCCGGGCTGGCGGCGGCGGCGACGACAGCCTCGCGGACGGCCTCTCCTTTCACACGGCCGGCAAGGTGGCGGACCTGCAGCCCGCGGTCAAGGCCGCGCAGGGCGATGGGAGCGAGACCAGTGGCGCGGCGAGTGACGACGAGAGGGAGGACAAGGAGCGAGACAGCCTGGTGCGGCAGTCGGATTCGCCAGAGCCCGCGCCGCGGCTGCTGTCCCGCCGGCAGAAGAAGCCGGCGCTCGGCGAGAGCCTCTACTCGGCCTGGATGCGCTGGTCGTCGATCCGGCGCGCCTTCTTGCGGGACGAGGCGGTCGAGGGAGACAGCCCCTCCACCGCGTTCGACCTCAGCAAGATCAGCGACATCTTCGACTCGGCCTACTACGACACGGTGCATAATGCGCACCTGAGGCTGCCTCAGGTGGTCGAGCTCTTCGCGGCGATCCGGCAGTTTGCGACTCGCGTCGTGCCCAATGAGTACGGTGGCCTGCCGACGCGGCGGCTCAAGATCGGCTCGACGATCTGCGCGCCGCTCCTCTCCAAGCTCACCAAGGACATTGACAAGTGCCTCAGCGACCCGAGCCGTCCCGGCGTCGTCAAAGAGGGGGCGGCGGCGGGCGAGGCGGCGAGTGACGACGACGGCAGCCGCACCTTCCGCCGAGCCGCAGTGCGCGTCTGCGGTGTGAGCGACGAGGCGGCGTCCGCGCTCGCGCAGCTGTACGACCGCCTCCTCTCGCGAATGGCGGCGGATGGGTCGCGGACCACGTTCGGCGGCTTGGAGCGGGCCATGTCCAAGCACCTGCTGGCGTCCGCCACGGTCGCTGAGGAGGCGACACTCGGGGACGGCGGATGCGGGCTACCTGGTGGGCGGTTCACGTCGCCGATGCGAGGGAGCGTCCCGCCGCAGAACAGCTTCCAGGCGGAGGAGGAGCAGGAGCTGCTCTTCCTGGACGTCGAGGAGGCGGAGAGCAAGGGCATCCGGACCGCGCGGCGGCGGGTGCTGACGCGCGCCTACTTTACCAGCGAGAGCCACATCATGAGCTTCGTCAACGTGCTACGCACCGCGCACCTGCTCGACAACAAGGCCGCAGCTGTGCCCCTCGTGTCGGAGGAGGCGGAGGCGCACCTCGCAGCAGACTACCTCGGCTACCTGAGCGCGGTCGTGATCCGCGTGCTGCAGGCGCCCGGCGCAGCCGCCCCCCGCGTCGAGATGCAGGTGAGCGCCGGCGCGAGCCTCGACGGAACGGGCGGTTGCCCGGCGCTCGAGCCGCGGCGCCGGCTAGACCACCCCCAGCTCACCCTCGAGCGGCTGCACGCGGCCCTGCGGAGCTGCGAGGAGTACGGGAGCAAGCAGATCAACTGGGGGTCCGTCGAGAGCTCGGCAGAGGACCTGCTGGGGGCGGAGTGAGACGGGCTGGCGGTGGCCGATCGGGCGCGCGTGTCGTGTCTTGATTTTGCGTGGTTTCTTTTGCACACACAACACACGGGGCACGGGACTAACTGTATAGTGCGCGTCGGGCTGGTGGTTCAGGCGACTGTTAGAGCGCCACGAAAGAAAGAAAGAAAACAGACAATCCGAGGGAGGGATGGGAGGACGGCACGCCGCCACCACTGTTGGTGCCAAGAAAGAAAGAAAAACGGGCAACCCAAGGGAGGGATGGGAGGACGGCACGCCGCCACCACACAGGGATTTTAAGGAGAGGGGTGTGATGCGCTAGCCGTCGCCCACCCTTGGGCGTCCGCCTCTTCCTATCTCCCTTCGCAGTCTCTCTCCGATTCTCGCTGCAACCTTCATGCCACCTCGCGGTCGTCCCACTCTCGTCGTTCTCTCTCTTTCGCTTCTTCCTCTGTCGCGTCGCTCTCCTCTGCCTCGTTCTGCGGCGGCGCCGCCGCCTGCCGCTCCCTTGCTCTCGCTTCTTCTCTCGCCTTTCGTCGCAGCTCTGCCCTCCTCGCGGCATATTTTGGCCCCTCGAGTTTAGAGAGATTTTTAGCAATACCAAACAACTCTAACACTCACACGTCATTTGGGGCCTGGAGCCCTGTTCACGCGCGCGCGCGTTGTTTGTCGAGTTTATCGAGCTCTCCTCACGCAAGGACGACTCTTCTGACGTCCACTGCGATCATTTGCCGCCAAGTCATACCGTTGCTCAGGTCCACTCTCTCTTCGAACACTTGTACTTCCACAGATGGTGAACGCAAAGTCGCGCGCGGCAGCGTTGACCGCACAGCCTACTCGCCCAAGTACTCGCTCTCTTTTGTTTATGTCCCACCATGCAGAGCGCATCTCTCTCTCTGTTGTGCGAGGCGTGAACCGCGCCATTCGCTCTCACCTGGCAACACCCTGTCGGCACGTCTCGCGCGCGCGTGAACAGGGCTCCAGGCGTATTGCTAAAAATATCTCTCTCTCTCTCTCAGATATGATGTTGCTTGTTGGCGCTGGGGTCCCCTTCGGGTGTATCGTGACAGCTGACGACGGGATTACCACTGGTGTTTCATCCTCCTCGGGGTCGTCTTCCCGGCTTCCTTCCGTTCGGCACTACGTTCAGTACGTTCGGCGCGTTTCGTGGCTTTTTTGCAGCACTCTCGCGCCCAGCCTGGCGAGGTGCGTGACCCGCTTTCCTGGTGCTTGCGCTCGGCACATCGTCACTGCTGATGGCAGAGCACGTCCAGAGCCTGCCGGAGAGCCTCCAGCTCAGGATCCTCTCGCTGTTGACCGAATCAGCTCCTGCCGCCTCACCGACGGCGGATGCTCGCCTCGAGGGCTCCTACCGTGCTTGGGCACACGGGCTCGCGGCACGGCTCGCAGCGCATCGGGTGGCGTGGCAGGACGATATGCTCCCAACTGGCGCGGCCTCTTCGCTGCTCGGCGCTGCGGAGGAGCTGCCCGCTGACGCGCTCGCGCCCGCTGGCATGGGTGCGTCGGTCGCTCGTTGGCGCGACGAGTCGGTGCGCAGCGACCGGATCGGCTGGGTGCCGCTCGAGCCGTCAAGCGGGAGCGGCGACTCGCCGTTTGGGGCGCTGCATGCGACCAGCGGCTGGTCTGAGCTCCGCGCCGCGCTCTCCGACGTGGTCGCTGCTCTCAACCACGAAGCGGCTGTCCGGCCGGGCGGCGAGCGGCTCCGGCTGCCCGAGAAGCTGATGCTGGCGCACTACCCGCGCGGCGGGCGGTACGTGCGCCACTCGGACGTCTCGGCGGCGACGAGCCACCGCCGCGTCACCGTGATCGTCTACCTCAACCCGGAGTGGGACCCGTCCCGGGGAGGGCAGCTCCGCCTCTTCCTGCCGCCTCACTCCTCCTCCGGCCGCTGCTCCGCACCCTGCAGCCCGCCGTCGGAGGGAGAGACGGCGACGGTGGTGGCGCCTCTCCTCGGCCGGCTCCTCCTCTTCGACTCGACACTCGAGCACGAGGCTCACCACACCCTCGCCGCACCCTCCCACACCACCCGTCCCACACCCACACAGTCACCGTCCCACTCACCGTCCCACACCCTCACCACACCTTCACCACACCACCCGTCCCACGCCATCCCACAATCCCACATACTCACCACACCCTCACCACACCCTCGCCGCACCCTCCCACACCCTCCCACCACCACCATTGGCCCACGCCCACCACGCAAGCAGCCTCGCGCGACTCATCCCCTCCGTCAGTGCCGTCCGCACCACCCTCGCCCTCTCCCCTCCCTCTTCTCCGCGGCAGGTGTGCGTCACAAACAGGCCGCGCTGGGCTCTCACCGGCTGGCTCTCCGTCGACACCGCGCCGCAAAGGCCCGCGCCGGCGGCTCCCTCCGACACGACTGAGGCGGGCTCGCTCGCCTCCATCCTTCAGCTCGCTGCGATGGCGACTGCGAGGCCGGCATCGACGCCGACGCTGCCGACGCCGCCGCCGCCGCCAGCCGCCGCCCCGGGCCCAACGCTCCCGTCGGCCGCTGCGATGGAGGCGACCATCCTTCAGCTGGCTGCGATGGCGACCTCCGGGGCCGCCCCGCCAGCCTCGCCGTGCCTGGGCCCGCCACCCGCCGCAGCGTCGCAACAAACCTCGCCGCCCTCCGCCTCTCCGCCCGCCGCCTCGCTGCCCTCCATCTTTGTGTCTGTGGCGAGCTACCGCGACCCCGAGGCGCCGCACACCATCCGATCGCTCTTCGCCCAAGCGGAGAGCCCCTCGCGCGTGCTCGTCGGCGTCTGCTTCCAGTGCGCGCTCGACGGGGACGAGGCGCACAGACCCGCACCCTCTCCAGTCGCAGTGCTCGCCCTCTCCTCTGTAGCATGAGGCCGCAGCCCGCCCGTCGCCCTCTCGCCGCACCTTGCTCTCTCTAGACGCGCACGACCTTCCCACCGCCCTCCCCACCGCCGCCGCCCTCCCCCACCGCCTGCCGCGCGCGCCTCGCAGGACGCGGACTGCCTCGACCTGAGCCTGCTGCGGCCCGAGTGGGCGGCGAACGTGCGCGTGCTGCGGCTGCCTTGGAGGGAGGCCAAGGGCCCGGTCTGGGCCCGCTTCCTCATCCAGCGGCGGCTGCTCCGCGACGAGGACTACTACCTCCAAGTCGACTCGCACAGCAGGCCCGCGCGGCCCGCACCGAGCTCTTGCAAACCCCGGCTCGCCCTCCCGCACACACGCGCCCGAGGCTCCTCCTCCTCCGCGGCAGGTTCGCCCCGGGGTGGGACGCAGAGCTGCTCGCCATGCTCAAACGCTGCGCCTCTCCGAAGCCCGTCCTGACCACGTACCCGCTGCCGTACGACGGGGACGCGCAGGGAGCCACCCTCTCGCAGGAGCGGCGCGCCACCCTCCTCTGCACGCGCGCCGCCAGAGACGACGCCTTCGGCGCCGACGGGATGCTGCGCTTCCGGGCGCGGCTCCTCGAGCGGCAGCCGTGCAGCCCGCTCCCCACGGCCTTCTGGGCGGCGGGCTTCTCTTTCTCCGCCTCCTCCCTCGTGCGCGAGGCGTGCCGCCCGGCCAGCACACACGCCGCCCGGCCAGCACACCGCCGCCCCTCTTCTTGCGATGCCCCACCACTCTCTCCCTCTACCTCTCCACCTCTCCACCTCTCCACCTCTCCACCTCTCCACCTCTCCACTCTCTCCACCTCTCCACCTCTCCACCCCTTCACCTCTCCACCCCTCCACCTCTCTGCCAGGTGCCATACGACCCGCACCTGCCCTTCCTCTTCTTCGGCGAGGAGGTGTCGCCCGCCGCACGCGGAGCCGCGAAGCCAACCAACGAAGTGTCGTGAGCTGGTCGCTTGGTTTGGCGGATTCGCAGGTGTCACTCGCCCTCCGCATGTGGAGCCGCGGCTGGGACCTCTTCGCGCCCGACGCGCAGCTCGTCTGCCGCACGGGCCTCTCCCAGTCCCTTCCTTGAGGGCTCTCGGAGCCGCTCCTGTAGGCGCACCTCGTCTACCACAAGTGGGCGCGAGGGCAGCGCAAGGGCACCTTTTGGGAGGTCGAGGGGGGCGCCGCCCTCAAGCGCGAGAGCCAGGCGAGGGTGCGACGGTTGCTCACCGGCTTGCCGCTCCACGGCGGCGCGGAGGAGCGCCCGACGGCCGGCGAGGGCGCCGCGGGCGGAGAGGCGGCCGCGGGTGGAGAGGCGGCCGCGGAGGCCGCCGCCGCCCTCGCGGGGGTGCAGGGCCCCGGTGACCCGATCTGGGGCGTCGGCGACGTGCGCAGCCGCGAGTGGTACGAGGAGTACTCCGGCGTGCGCTTCGAGGCCAAGCAGGTGAGCGCGCAGGCGGAGCGCGGGGGCATGCCGACCGAGGCGTGCTTCTGGAACCAGTTCGCCTGTCTCGACGCTTGGCTGCAGGCGAGGGAGGCGCAACACCCGGAGGAGTGAGGTGGGACCGGACCTCCTCACACCAAGCACCGACAACGTCCAACACAGTCATGTACGAGACGGCTTTAGTTTTAAAGGCTTTACACAGAACACACACGTGTCACACACATGTCTCAGCCGTCCACAGTCTCAGTGTACAAACACATCAGTCAGTCATCACACAGTCTCTTGACTCTTCATACATCTCTTTTTGAGATGATCTGATGAAGTGATGATCAGAATTCAGATCATCTCATACATACCGTAGTTCATTTTCACAGTGAGTGCGAGTCGTGCGACCCCAGAGAGGCAGAGCCCTCAGCCCAGTGTGTGCAGACTTGCAAGTGAGAACTGAGATCGCGGTTGGCGCGTCAAGTCGTGTAGGTGTTACGTCGCCTCGTTTTTGTGTGGCTGAATATGACTCAAAAACAGTCACCGGCCGGGGAGGGCCGAGGGCTCGCCTCAAGAGCTAGTTGGAGTCCCTCGCAGCTATACGCGGCGGCAGCACGGGGCGGCGAGACCGAGAAGCTTACAGGGGCATGCCCTCCGACTTGAGCTGCGCGACCCACGCCTTGACGCGCTCCTCGGACTGGTCCGGCTGGTTGTCCTCGTCGCACGCGAGGCCGACGAAGGTGCCGCCCGCCTCGGACTTGGACTCGGTGTGGTCGTAGCCGTCCGCCGACCACGCGCCGATGACCTCTGCGCCCTGCTTCTCGAAGCACGACTTGAGCTCGTCCATCGCGTCGCAGAAGTTGTCGCCGTAGCCGGCCTGCACGGGAGGAGGGCGACGGCGGGAGTGGCTGAGCGGCGGCGACGGATCAACGGGGGCTGCGCGTGTGTCGAGGCGTGGGCGAGAGGCGTGGGGCGCGCCTGGTCGCCGAGGCCGAAGATGGCAACCTTCTTGCCCTTCAGGTCCGCGCTGGTGAGGTCGCCGTAGAGGTAGTCGTCCCAGGCGGTGCCCGAGCGCTCCGAGTCGGCGCCGGTGTGCCACGTCGGCGCGCCGATGATGAGGCCGTCGAAGGACGCGAGGTCCTCGGCGTCCGCGATGTCGACCGCGTCCACGCCGATCTCAGCCGACCTGGTGGGCGGAGGCGTGGCTCGTCGGCGTCGGCCAGGGCCCGTGGCCAGTCTTCGGGGGAGGGCGCGCACAGGTAGCCCGCGACGGTCTCGGTGTTGCCGGTGGTGGTCGAGTAGAGGAGGCCGACGCCCATGTTGGCAGACGCACGCGCCGGGACGGTGGCACGGGAGCCGAGGACGAGCGACTGCGGAGGGAGGGAACGATGAGTGGGCGAGGGCGTGGGGCGTGGGCGGAGGGGCGACGAGGGCGGCGGCGGGGAGGGCGGCGGTGGGGGAGGAAAGGGTGGGGGCGGCGACGGAGGCGGTGGCGAGGGCGAGGGTGTGGGGCGTGGGCGGAGGGGCGGCGACGAGTCACACCTCGGGCGAGAGGGCGAGGACAGCGGAGAGCATGGCGATGCAAGAGATGTGGTGCTCGGAGGCTTCCAGGTGGCCCAGCGGTACCGCAGACGTATCAGATTGTGTCACGCTAAGGCTGTGACACCGGGATAAGGAGAAGAGCAACAGGCGGGTTCTACATGTTCCGTTTCAACAGGCATGTTCTCACACGCGACAGGCGACCAAGGGCAAAATGGGAGATGGGGCTGGTTAGGGTGACATCACACGATCTTTCTCCCTTCCCTTTGCGTTTGAAATCTCCAAAAGTCTCACGCTGTCAGTCTGTGCACTGTGCGCCCCCGTGTGGACTGCTAACTTTCTTTCTTGGCGGAATCGCGTTCACGTATTTATTCACAATAATATGGAGAACATGAATCATGATATCGCAAAGAGACACTAATACTCCCGCGATAGAGACACTGCTAGAACCCCCACGAGTCGAACCCTTCCCTCGGACCCTCCTCGAGCTCACACTCTGCCCCGGGATACAACCAACCAACCTCGAGAGACCAACCCCGCTCCCACTCTGCCCCTACCCACCCCGGGGCTCGCGATTCGGCGCACCCCTCGTCACAGCTGCCGCAGCCAGACGTCCACAGCGCCGCCCTCCTCCTCGGACCGCTGAACGATGAGCAAGTAGTCCGAGAGGTAGACGACGGCGCTCCCCTCGCAAACCTCCAGCCCGCCGCCCTCCGCGCAGGCGAAGGCGTCCGCGGTCGCCGCCGCGTCCACACGCGCCCCGCCGCCCTCGCCGCGCTCCGTCTCGAGGGCGAGCGGCTCGCCCTCCTCGAGGTGCATCTCGCGCTCGCCGTAGGTGTGCACCTCGAGCCGCGGCCCGCCGCTGCGCCGCACGCGCAGCAGAAAGGGAACCGACCCCTCCTTCGCCAGGGCGCGCTTCCCCCGCAGCACCGCCGGAGCCCACTCTCCGAGCAGCTTCCTGTTGAGCCCCGGCCGGCGGACCCGCATCCTGCGGCCGAGGGCGTCGAGGGTGGAGGGGTCCTCGCCCTCGCCCGCCCGCCGCGGCCCGCCCTCGGCGGCGCACTCCTCCAGCAGCGCCTCCAGCGCCTCCATGTCCTCGCCGTGCAGCCTCTCGTCCATCGCCTGCCGCCAGTAGTTTTGCGGCGGGCCGCGCCGCACGCCCTCGTCGTCGTACCAGAGGGCAGGGTCCTCGCCGAGCTCGGCGCGGCCGCGCCAGCCGCGCTTCGACTGCGGCACCTGGTACACCACCGGCGGCTCGCGGGCCCGCAGCACCCCCGAGGGCGGCGAGGACGAGGCGGAGGAGGGAGAGGAGGGAGAGGGGCCGCCGCGGCCGCCGCCGCCGCCACCGCCGCCGCCAGCGGTAGCGACGCCGCCACTGCTGTCGCCCATCGTCTCGGCGTGGAGAGTGTTGCCAACCTCGTGGATGGCGGCGGTGCTCACGTGCCGCTGGAAGATGCGCACGCGCTGCCGTGCCGCCGGCGCCGCCACACCCAGGCTCATGACGGGCGGCCTGCGGCGGCTGGCAGCCTGGTTGCGAATCGTTGCGAATCGCTCCCACCTCAAAATGGCGCCGAGCGAGGGATCGAGCCGTACGGCGTGCTCGACGAGCGCGAGCGCCGTCGCCGGCTTGCCGTGCTTGGACTCAAACAGGCCCCACGCCTGGAGCAGCCTCGCGTAGCCCCGATCGCGCTTGACGCCCTCGCTGAAGGCGGCACGCACGCGGTCGGCGGATTCGCCCATGCGGCGGAGGTGCAGGGCGAGGAGCAGCGACGCGTGCCCCGCGCCACAGTCGGCCGCGGCGCTCCTGTACATCTGGAGTGCGTCGTCGAGCCGGCCGCGAGAGATGGCGCGCCGAGCGACGGTGTGCAGCTTCTCCGCTCGCGGCGAGAGGACCGGCGAGGCGACCGGCGTGAAGGTCGCGGTCGCGTAGGGAATGCGGGCAGCGGCGCCCGGCTGCACGGCGGAGAGGGTTGTGGGCCAGAAGAGCATCATGGGGTGCCAGAGAGAGGCAGTCGAGGGCACCAAGCAGGTACCGGGGGTTAATTCGCGATTCCTGTAGGGGAGAGCGAAGGAGAGAGAGAGAGAGTGACAATGTGTGCGGGTCTTTCGAGAGCAGCTGCTGCTCCAATTCTTTTCTAGATGAGCGCCGCCGCGCCGCCGTTCCGGCTCGAGACTTGGACGTGGCCGGCTGGCAGGTCGTCGTCACGCACGCGGTGCTGCCCGAAGGCATGACGCACCTGCCGCGGGACGAGGCGTTCCGCGACCGCACCTCTCTCGTCTCGGTCGCCTGCCCGTGCAGCCTCGTCTCCATCGGCCGGGGCGCCTCCTGGGGCTGCTCCTCCCTCGTCGACATCACCTTCCCCGCCGGCCTTACCTCCATCGGCGAGTACGCCTTCGCCTGCTGCTCCGCCCTCAGCTCCGTCACCTTCCCCGCCGGCCTCACTTCCATCGGCGACAGCGCCTTCGCCAAATGCTCCTCTCTCGGCTCCGTCACCTTCCCCGCCACCCTCACCTCGATCGGCTGGCGCGCCTTCGCCGACTGCTCATCCCTCTCCTCCGTCACCTTCCCTGCCGGCCTTACCTGGACGAGGGTCACAAGCAGCAGTCCAGTTCCGGTGGGGGCCAGGCGCACGGCGCCTACGCATACGGAGGTGGCCAGCCGGGTGGGGGTACGGTGGTAAGCACTGGGGCTACGAAGGCGGACAGCCGGCATCGGGATATGCTTATGATGGGCAGCAGTCGGGATACACATTCGCAGCAAAGGAGGCGGCGGAGGCGGCAAGGAAAAGGAGGCAGCGGCTGCGCACGCTGCAAGGGCGGACCTGGCGGCCAAGCTGGCGGCGGCGACGAAGGCAGCCGTGACCAAGACTGGAGGCGAGCGAAACAAGACTGGAGGCGGGCGGCAGAGGCGAGCGAAACAAAAGCGAGTCTGGAGGCGAGGCTGGCCGCCGCAGAGGCAAAGCTTGCGGCAGCGGCCCAGGCGGCTGAGATGGAAACGGCAGTGGCTGAAGTGGCCGAGGCACCTCGGGCGAGCTCCCTGCTGGCTGGGCCTCATCTCGCTTCAGGGCCAGACCTACTACTACTGCGAGAGCGAGCACCCGCTCGGAGGCAGGGGCTGCCCCCGTCGCAGTGGGAAGTGCCCGCTGTCCCGTGCGCAGCGCGGCCCCCTCCAAGAAGGGAACGTAAGGGCCAGTGCACGTTCCGGGACGCCAACCTCCAAGATAGTGGGCCGCGGTGCTACATGGAGGGCGTCGGCGAGTGCGCCGGCCAGTGCCTCACACACGCCTTCAAGCCCGCGTACTACACTAACACGGCGTCTGCTACGACTCCATGGCCCAGTGCACCGCCGGGACCGCACAATCCAACTGGATGTCGGTGACCGGCCACCACCGCTGCTACGAGTACAAGAAAGAGCGCGGCCGGTGCGTGCCGAAGGACGCGAAGCCTGCGCGTGGCTGCTACAACGACCCGGACGGTTGCGAGGCGTTCGGAACACTGGAGCGTACACCGAAGACTGTGGGCTCTGCCTCACCACAACCGCCGATTTCGCAGCAGCTATTGGCATGGCCGCCTGCTTCTGTCAAGAAAAGAAATATTGGGCTCGCGCAGAGCCAACCCTCGGATTTACTTTACGGCCCTTTCCCTGCGAACGCGCACCCGCCCCAGGGCTAGGGCTCTCTAGCCCGCAACCCGATACCGATCATCTGGCCCGCTGGGTGCGTTTCTTAGCTCCCCGGCCCTGGATGTGAGGTTACCGACTGCACTCCAAGTGCTCCAAGTAAAGACGCACAAGTCGAACGCCGATTGCAAGGCCTTGTGCGAGGACGACACCCGCTGTCTCTTCTTCGCGAATTACCCGATGGCTCGTCTCGCCGCAGATCAAGAGCACTTTGTTGTCGGCCAGCCAAACGGCGTGACCTGCCTGCTGTTTCACAGCGCCGACAGACCCGTCCAGGGCCACATGCGATGGAGGCAGTGTCTTTGAGGAAGTACGCAGTCGCCCACTCCCGACCCATCCGCCGCCGCCGCCACCCTCACCCTTGCCGCCCCCCCGCCCTCACCCTCGCCACCTCCGCCGCCGCCCTCACCCTGCCTCGCCGACGCCGACGCCCTCGTACTACTCGTGGTGGCAAGGCGGCCGCGGCGGTCGATACAACGACTACCGCCGCGGACGCGACAATGACGACGGCGACGACAGCTACGATGATCGTCACCGCCATCGCCGCGACCGTGACGATGACGACGGCTACTCCTACGATTGAACGAGTTGCAACTCTGCGGTCTTCCGGAAGCCGGCCCGGGGGCCCTAGGTGGCTTGAAATGGATCGCGCCGACCCGCCCGACGCCGAGGCAGAGCAGCCCCCTGCCTGCTTGAGCACTTGAGCACTGGATAGGGTCGCGATTCCGCATGGTACGGGACCCCTCGATCGTCTCGCCCACCCTCACTGGTGTGTTCACTGGGGGGGGGGTCATAACAAAAACACGGTACAGGATCGAGGTGCACGCTGCCGAAGCAGTGTCGTCCCCCCTCTCCCCGACGGCGATGGCGGTGTGACCGATCGAGCTACAAGAGGAGCTCGTTCAGCAGGATCCGGGGAGGTCTGGGCGTCTGGCGCACTACCTCACTGGCTGGGCCTGAGACCGCCGGGACAGTACCCGTCACCGCCTGCTAGTCTTTCCGGCTGACTTCACCTTGTATAGTGCCGCGTCCACTGCAGTACGTCTTCTCTGTTCTCACTCTACGGGTCCTGAGTTTAGACCTTTAGAGAGAGAGAGAGGTTTGCAGGTTTAGAGAGAGAAGATTGTTTGAAAAAAAAATGCGCCGAGCTCATCCTACCTCACAGGCACTATTTGTATTTGACGCTGCATGCAGGGAGATGAGCTCCTCCTACGAGATGAAGTTCCCCCCCCGCTTCGCAAAGGAATCCGAACCCAGCCGCGCACGAGAGTGGTCTTGCTACATGGGCGCCGAGCTCTCCACCGCTAGGGTCAGCCGGCTCACGGCGCTCGGGTTCGACGTCGCGAGTGTCCGCGCGGCCCTCGAGGCGTGCGACGGTGACGTCGACCGCGCCGAGCAGCTCTTGCGGCAGGAGCGGGCGAGGAGAGAGACGGCGGCCAGAGGTGGTGGCGACGGCGGCGCAGAGGAGATTGGAAGGGCAGTCAACAGCGTGCTTCGCGAGCAGCGGCCGTGGAGCGAGTTTGGGGAGCGCTTCCTCTGGCCGGAGCACCCGCGGGAGAGGATGCTGACCAACCTGGTCTACTACCGCGCGAACTATCTCATCCTGTGCGTGGCGGCGACACTCGTCGCGATGCTGCTCGTCCCGCAGCTACTCTTCACCGCCGGCCTCGTCGCGATGACGTTCGGCGGCGCCGTGGCTCTCGGCAACACGCCCGTGCCCCACATCGGCCCCCTGCAGCTCGAACAGGCGCGCGGTGGCGGGGCGAGGGCGTGATACTTGGGTGGGCGGGCGGAACTTCCGCACACGGCCTCTGCCACGCGCCACCTCCCGCGACCGCCGGCTCACTCCTCCGCCCCCCCCCTCCCGCCGCAGCGCCTCTCCCTCGCCACCGTGCCAGCCGCCTGGCTGCTCAACTCGTCGGGCTGCGCCGGCGCGCTCCTCCGCCTCGCCGCCGTCTGCGGCGGGATGGTGCGCTGTCCGGACCCTCGCCCCGCGCCTCTCGCCGCCCTCTTACCGCCTCTTCTCCCGCGCCCCCAGGTGCTGGCGCACGCGCTGCTGCGCGCCCGCTCCTTATCGAGCCGGTGGCGCTACTTGCACGAGCAGTTCAAGGGGCAGGGCTAGGGGCTAGGGGTGAGGCTCGCTCGAGGGCCCGCACGCCGGTGCGCCGCTCTTCTCTCGCGCTCTCTCTCGCACGCGCGCCCGCTCCTGTCGTCATGTGTCGTTTGGTGCCGAGGCGGGGGTGGCCTGCTCGCGCTAGAGTATGCCACGTGGGCGCGAGTCCTAGAGCCGGCCCCGCCGCGAGACCGAGTCGTTCTACTGAAAATTGTGGTTTTGAGTGGCGTTGTAGTGGCTGAGGAGACATGTACAGTTCAAGAGACCCAAGCTTCAAGTCATGTGTGTACTCTTCTCGAGAGAGACGACTCGCTGTTCCTGTTGCCCCTTGTGTTGACTCGCAGGCCCTCATCCTCCCTCGAAGTGCGGCTGCTGCGGGAGGAGCACGCCGGCAAGAAGAGCGAGGCCCACGTGCAGCGACAAGTTGAGGAGGACGGCGCGCCTGCAAGCGTGCAGCCAGGGACACGGTGTGGCAAGGGATGGCTAGAGGCCTGGGGAGGGAGGGAGGGAGGGAGGGAGGGAGGGAGGGAGGGAGACCTGCTGCGGCGCGCGCCGCTCGACCAGAGACCCCACAGCGCCGGCGCCAGGCCACCCGACACAGAGATGGCGCCGCACGCCGACGAGCACAGCTTCGCCACGAGGCCGGCCAGCAGCGGCGGGCAGGCGCCGCCGGCGTCCGTGGCGGTGGCGGCGGTGCCGTCGCAGCGGCCCGCGCGCAGCGCGAGGAGGAGGAGGGTGGCGACGAGGTTGCAGCGGAGCGGGCCCCAGAGCACGAGCCTCCCCCCCGGCCCCGGCCCCTCCTTCCCAGACAGCCGCCGCGAGAGCCACAGCCCGGCCGCCTGCAGCAGCAGCCCCGCCCCAAGCAGCGCCGCGTCGCCCCGCTTGGTGCGCCGCTCGCGCGCCCGCCGCGGCGCGTCGATCTGGAGCGGATCGGCGACCGCACCCGGCGGGGCGAGCGCCACCCACACGCACGCCGCGATCACCACGCCGCGCAGCGCCCGGACCTGGCTCTGCGAGGTCGGAGGAGGCATCTCCTTGAGCCGGCCGCAGAGCCTTGCGCCGAGCCGGGCGGCGGCGGCGGCGGCGGCGAGCTGCGCGGCAAAGACCGCGAGGACGTACCCCGCCCCGCACGCGCGGTTCTCGCAGCCAGGCGACGTGTCGAGGCGGGCCGCCTGCTCGAAGAGCACCGTGAAGGAGGTGAAGACGCCGATAAAGCCGGCCTGGAAGGTGGCGCACGCGGAGTGCAGCCGCGGCGCGGAGGGCGTGGCGTCGGCCGAGTGGGCGATGCCCGCGAGGAAGGCGCCGGAGATGTTGAGAATGGTCGCGGAGACGTCGAGCGCTCCAACCATCACGATCGGGCAGAACACCGACGTGAGGCACTCGGCGAGAGCACCCCACGCCACGACCTGAGCGAGCGCACTGCCCGGTTCGGCGCGGTGGCGCTGGTCAGCGGCGACGTCGTCCTGGGTGGCGACGCGAGAGTACTGGACGTCGTCGGCATGGCGTGGCAGCATCGGTCGCGCGGCAGCGTGGGCGTGAGCGGTATCGTCTACATCGGAGTGCTACACCCAAAGCATCCTGCCGCGAGGAAAAAGAATTTAGAACACAAAAAGAACTTATGCCTTTGGAACTTATGCCTTTAAAATTTAGAACTTATGCCTTGCTGCCCTAATCCCACCAGTTGACTACTCTATTTATTTATTTAGAAGACCTCGCACGACCCGGGGCACGCGCACGGGACTGGCGCGCATGGCACTAACACAGGTAGGAAAAAGAATTATGCAAGCCGCCGGACGAACCTCTGAGAGAGATCTCTCTGCACTCTGGAGGTGCCGTTGAGGAAAATGATTTCAATCATGTTCGAGAGCTGTGGTGGACTGAGGACAATGCAAATGCAACACAGAGACTGACGAGAGGTGGGCTGACTGGGCTCTGGGGGGGCAGGGTTGGGCACACACGCGCGCACGCTCGGTGCGAGACGGGCAGCCATCTCTTTCGTTGCACGCAGCACGCTCTGGACAGGGCACACACATGGGCGCAAAATACGTGCGCGCGAGGTGAACCAGCACTGGCACACGCACCGCGCACGGGCCCGAGGGGGGTCGCACCTCGTCATGGAGGAGGCCCCTTACTTCACAATAATCGCCCCGGCGGGCTAGCACACGCTGGCAGCGAGCCAGCGCGAGCGGTGGCGCCCGCTGGCGGGGCGTCGGTCTCGCCACGCCTCGGGCTCGGCCTCCCGCGCGCGGGCGACGCATCGACCGGCGTCTCCGGGCGGTCAGGCGTCTCCGTGCTCGCTCGAGTCGAGCAGGTCGAGCTGCGGCGTGCGGTCTCCGCCCGTCAAGCTCGCCGCCTCGTCCGATTTCGACGGGGGCAGCACCTCGGACGGCTCGTTCGAGCCGTACGCAGAGGCGGAGCGAGACTCGTCCGAGCCGCGAGCGCTGGGAGCCTTGCGGCGGGGGGGGCCTATCCTCGGCGTCGAGGCGACCGCCTTCTCCGCCGCGGCCGCGCCGAGCCGCGCCGACGACTCCGCGATCCCGGCCGCCGCGCCCGCGCCGGTGGCGAGCACCGTCCGGCCGGCGCTGTTCGCGATGCGGCCGCCCGTCGAGGCTGCGGTGGTGACGGCGCGCACGCCCTGCCTCGCGCGGTTGGAGGAGCGCTTGGAGCGCCTGGCGTCGTCGTCCAGCAGCCCCGCCGCCGCGTTCTGGGGCACGTCTCCCCCCAAGCCGTAGGCCCACGGCTCGGCCGACCCGCCACCAAAGAGAGCGGGCAGCTGCTCGGGGTCGACGTACTCGGAGACGGCGGCGAGGAACTTCTTGTGGGCCGCCTTGCCGGAGCCGAACATGCGGAAGCGCGCCGCGTCGCGCGCGGGCAGCAGCTTCTTGGCCAGGTCCCACAGGCTCTGCGCCACCCACGGCATGTTGATGACAAAGGTGGTGCGCATCATTTCGGGGAAGGGATGCTCCGCGCCGGGGTACGTCTTGGTGAGCCGGCCGGCGACGCGGAAGCCGCGCATGGCGCGCGGGACCTGCACGCCCGAGAGGTCGAAGATCATCACCTTGCCCAGCGTGAAGGCGTGCCCCGCCCGCTCCCCCTCGGAGGTGTACATGTCGTACGTCGTGACGGTGCAGTACGCGTCCCACAGCAGGTACGTCTCGAAGGAGGACTCGCGGACGAGGCCGCCGACGTCGACGTTGCCCAGCCGGTAGCAGAAGACGGAGCAGCCCCGACGGTCGAACCCGTGCGCGCCCCACGCCATGTGCTCGTCGTACAGGTTCTTGAGCGCCTCGGGCTGCGCCTCCCACGCAAAGGCCTTTGTCCACATCTCGCCGCAAAAGTCGATGCACGCGACCACGCGCGCCGTGGCCTTCTTGACGTCTCCCCGATCGGCGCGCAGGTACGTCACCAGCCGGTACCGCATCAGGAAGGACTTCCGCCAGTCGGGCGGCAGCGCCTCCAGCTGCAGCGCAGACAGCACCGACGCGCGGAGTGCGTCGAGCTTGGAGCTCTCGGCCTCCGAGAGCTCCTCCTCGAGCGGGAGCTCGACGCAGCTAGCGCAGCGCGCCTGCGCCCGCGCCACCGCGCCCGGACGCCGGTAGTTGCCGCTGCGGTACAGCTGGCTATACTTGTGCTGTGCGCGGACGTCGACGACGTCACAGCTCGAGCCGGCGGCCTCCTCCGGGACCGCCTCCACCTTGATGGAGGGCTCGGTGCCGGTGCGGCGAGCTGACAGGAGTTCACTCGAACCCGCGCGATACCGCCGCGAGGAGCGCGCGCTCATAGACAAAGCAGAGACAAAGCAGAGCACGCGTCGGCGTCCTTGTACGAGTGGTCCGTCCGGCACACCAGTAAGAAACTTCTCTTTTCCCACCCAATAGGAATTCTGTGTACTTTTAGCCACTGGGAGAGAAGGGGAGAGCGGGGTTGTGTGATGTGCGCGCAACAGTCCACCCTTGTTTGTCGTGCCATGTACTGTCGGAGAGATGTAGTAGAGAAGCAGTGAAAACGCGTGTAAAATTCTTCGCGGGGCTTTGTCTTCGCCTTTTTTTTGCAGCTTACGTTATTTTTCGGTCTTTCGGTGCCGATGAAGGTCGAGCAGACCTCCCGCAACGGCCTGCCGGCGGTGCTCCTCACTCACGCATCGGGCTCATCCGCGCTCATCTACATCTACGCCGCCCACCTCGCCTCTTGGGTCTGCGGCGGCGCCGAGCGCCTCTTTGTCTCCTCCACCGCCGAGTACGGCGGCGGCAAGGCCATCCGCGGCGGCGTGCCCGTCTGCTGGCCGCAGTTCGCCGGGCGCGGTGCTCTTCCGAAGCACGGCTTCGTGCGCACCTCGGATAAGTGGCGAGTGCTGCGCACCTCCACGGAGCCATACCCGTGCGTCGTGCTCGAGTTGGTGGACGACGACGAGACGCGGCGCCTCTTCCCGCAGCCCTTCAAGCTGCAGTACTCGGTCACGCTCGACGGCCCCTCCTCCATCTCGATGGCGCTCTCCGTCCTCAACACTGGCACCGAACCCCTCTCCTTCACCGCCGCGCTGCACACCTACTTTCGCGTCGCCGACGTGCGCGGCGTCTCTCTGCACGGGCTTGGCGGACTCCGGTACGAGGACAACACGCGCGCAAACGCAGTGGAGACGCAGCCCGAGGGACCGCTCTCCATCGCCGGCGAGGTGCCGCCGTACGCCGCCGCCGCTGCCACCACCACCGCCGCCACCGCCGCAGCCGCGGCCGCCGCCGCCACCATCGCCGCCACAACCGCCGCCGCCACCGCCGCCGCCGCCGTCCCCGCAGGTGGACCGCGTCTACCTGGACGCCCCCGCCGAGGCGCACATCGTCGACGGGGCGAGCGCCATCAAGGCGCTCCAGCTCGGCCTCCCGGACGCCGCACCGGCTGTGGGCGGGCATCGGCTGACGAGTGCCTCGCCCAGTGCCAGGTGCTCAAGCTCGGGTTCCCGGACGCCGTACTGTGGAACATCGGCGAGCGGGCGGCGGGCGGCATCAAGGACCTCGCCCCCGGGGAGTGGCGCGCCACCCTGCCGCCCGCACGGCGAGGCGCGAGCGCGAGGCTCGCCGCGGGAGGCTCGACCCTGCGGCACTTGCCGAGTGTAGGCAGCACTATCTCTGCTACGAGGCTGGCGCCGTCGCGAAGCCCGCCACGGTGCCCGCGTCTGCGTCGTGGACAGGAGGGCAGACCTTCAGCTGCGTCGACGCGTGCGATGCGCTGGGCAAGCTCTCCTTGGGCAAGTGAGGCGCGGCCCTTGCGCCCGAGAGGCGCGTACCATCCGAGGCGCCAGCCGCCGGGCCGCTCCCCTCGTTGAAACTTGAATCCGTTTTGAGGGTCTTTGCTGCATACTACGTTCTGCGTCACACCGCCGCAGTAATTTATGTGCGTTGCGGCGATGCCGTGTGGGCCTGGAGAATCGGCGGCACTGGCCACTGCTGCGCTCTGGCTGCGGGCGCGGCCTGCGGCCTGCGCTGCGCGCAGGGTAGGCTCCGCCTCACTGCATCTCGGACTGGATTCCACGAATTGATTTTCCTAGCGTCGTCAAAGTGAGCTGAAAGCTCGCTGAAGAGCCGATGTCACCCGCCGACCGCCTCCCATCTCGCCGCTGCTCTGGCGGGGCGGCGGCGGGGCCTGGCGACGGCGCGCGGCGCATGTGCCGTGGCAACCCACCGGGCCGGCCGGCCGCGAAGGCGCCGACCGGCGATCGCCACCGCGCCCCGCCTCGGAACGCCGTTTCCGCTTGGCGTCCGAGGCGCTCGGCGTTCCCGCTGGAGCGCGAGATCGGACCGGGTCGGACGCTCCTTTTCTCGCCGTAGGCACGGCTGGCCGGCTCGAGCAGCGGAAAAACAAAAATCGAATACGTCAATCCTCTCCGGCCAGCCTCGGGCTAATTAAAGCCGCAAAAAATCGGAGGTTTCCGCCGCCCCGGATTCCACCTCCCTGGCCCTCCACGCCCCGCGCGCGCGACCGTATCACCGCCGCAGTCGGCCTCCCCGCCCCGCGCGCTGTAGGAGCGGCGCCCACCCACCGGAGACGCCTTCCCCTAGACCGCCCGACCACCCCGCCCCCTTCGGCAGGTGCCTCGCACGTATTTTGAGCGCGAGAGGCCTCCTTTGAGGTGGCGGCCGGCCGCCGCGTCGCGCGGTGAGGCGGCATGAGGCCGTCCCCCTTCACGTTCGAAGGCGGGCCGGCCACGGCACCGGCTGTCGCGGCTCGAGGGCGGCAGGCGAGCCGCCCCCCCCTCCTCCCTCCCTCTGCCCCTTCCTCCCTTCCCCGCAGCGCTGCCCACGGCACCATCTCCTGGTGCCCCGCTGCCGCCCCACCCGCCGCGCCGCCCGCCGCCGATGGCCCGGCCGCCACTGCCACCGTCGGCGGCCGCCTCCCGCCCACCCGCACCGCCGCCCCGGCCACTGCCACCCGCGCCGCCGCCTCGCCCAACGCCCCCGCCGGCCCACCCTCCCGCCCGTCGCCGCTGCCGCCGCGCCGCCGCTGCCGCCCTCCGGGCCGCCTCCGGCCCCGCCACCTGCCTCGCCGCCGCCCACGCGACTGGCCTCGCCGCCGCCACCGCCACCGCCCTCCCCACCGCCCTCCCCTCCGCTCTCACCGCCGCCGACGCGCCGCCACGCCGCCTCTGCCTCCGCCCTTGCCGAGCCGTCGCCACCGCCCTTCTCGCCGCCTCTGCCGCCCATGCCGCCTTGGGTGCCCCCTATTCCGTGGCCCTCGCCACCGTCGCCGCCGTCGCCGCCCCCGCCGCCACCGCTACCGCCGCCTCCCGCCCCGCCACCCCCTCCGACACCGTCACCCCCCCTCCCTCACACCATCCCGGCCGGCCTCCTCCGTTCTAGCCCCAACTCCCACACACCACCACCGACCTCCCCGCGCCCCCACACGCCGGCCCTGCGCACCCACGCCACCACCATCGCCCACGTTGCCCTCCCGGCCCCCCACCCCGCGCCCCAGGCTCTTCATAGCTCCGCTCGGGGCGTCCTGGCGCCGCCTCCCCAACCGCTGCGGCCCACGCGGCCGCCGGGCGGCGCGACGGCGGCTACCGGCCGGCATAGCCCTTCCAGCGCCGGCCGGGGGCTGCGGCGGCGCGCGGCGCGCGGCGGGCAAGCTGCCTGCTGGCGGGCGGCGCTTCTAGTCGTGATTTTAGTGCCGCGTAGGTCGCCCTTCGGCCACTTCTCGGGCGTGCGGCCGCAGCGCGGCGAGAAGGCGGCACGCTCGGCCCGCTGGCGGAGGTGAAGCCCCCCAGAGCGGGAGCTGGCGGGCCGGGGGCGTCGGGCGGGTGCGCGGCGGCACCCGTGCCACCGGGACGGGCCGTGGTGGCCCGTATGGCGGCCGTGAAGGGCCGTTTGGTGCGCCCCGGCGGCCTCCTGCACGGCGGCCGCCGGGGCCGGTTTGGACTGTGTTGGGGGGGGTGGAGTGGTCCGGTGGCCGGTGTGATGGTCGTTTATCACCCTCCTATCACCCACTTACCGCCCCCGGCCGTGGGGGCCTCTCCAGACGCCGCCATTTATGATTTCAAAGGGTCCTGCCGACGCTCATCACAGTGCGGCGGAGGGGCCGGAGCCGGCGCCGCGGAGGACGAGGATGGCCGTGACGGACCGGGACGAGCTCTGGGAGGTTCAGTGTCAGTGAGTATATTGTAGAGGCCACCCATGTGCACAATATCTTGACTGAGAGCTAATTCTGGGGAGGCGATGCCGGGGCCGTACAGCAGCTTGATGGTGCTGCGCCGGCGTGCGTCCCGCCGGCCGCCGGGGCCGGTTTGGACTGTGTTTGGGGGGGTGGAGGGGTCCGGTGGCCGGTGTGATGGTCGTTTATGGCCCTCCTATCACCCACTTACCACCCCCGGCCGTGGGGGCCTCACCGGACGCCGCCATTCATGATTTCAAAGGGTCCTGCCGTCGCTCAGTCCGAATCACAGTGGGGCGGAGCCTACCCTGCGGGGTTGCGGCTTGCGCGTCGGGCTGCGGGCCGTCCACAGCGCGAACGAAATAAATAAATAAAAACGGACACCTCTCTACTGTGAGATGGGTAAAACGGAACAGGTCCCCGCCCGTGCGATCTTTGTGCAGGGTTCTTTGAATGTATAAGCGAACACGCTCAACGCGGTCGCGCCCGCACCTCGCGGGCGCTCATTCTGCATTTAGATCGAAAAAGAGAGTTGACGCCGACATGGCCGATTCTCAAAACAGAACAAAGCATGCCGAGCGCACGCACCCTCACGTCATCATGACGATAGACCCTTTTTGGCCTTCTTGGCCGCCTTCTTCATCTTCTTCTCCTTGCGCGCCCTCCGCTGCTCCCTCTCCTCCTTCTTGGAGATGCCCCCGCCGCTGCCCGCGCCGCCGCCCCGCGCCTCCTTGGCCACGCCCTTCGGCCTGTGGCCCTTCTTCGCCGGGCACGCCTCGCCGAGAGCGCCGCCAACCCCCTCGCCGTGCCCGCCTGCGCCCTCCGGCAGCGGCCACTGCAGCAGCGGGTACAGCCGCCGCTCCAACTCCGCGACGGTGGGCGCCTCCACTCTCTTCATGATGTGCAGCACGGCCGAGCGAGAGCGCGAGTTGGCTTGCAGCTCCGCTGCCGACGGCCGCACCGTCGCCTCCATCACGAGCGCCGCGCCCGGCTGCAGCGGCGGCGCGCGCCCGGCGGTTACCTGCGCCTGGTACCAGCGCGCCTGCGGCATCTCATCGCGCACGGCCTCGTGCCTGCCGGGGAGGGGAGGGGGTTGGCTCTCGGCCGCCGCGTGGTGTGCGGGCTGCGCAGCCTCTGGGCCTCCGGAAGAAGTCGACCACCAGCGCGCACTCCGAGTGCTTCTAGGTGATGACTCCGATCCGGCCGCCGGGCGAGAGGAGGGAGCGTGCAGCCTCGAGGCCGCGGGAGCACTCTCCGAACTCGTCGTTGAGGTGCACGCGCAGCGCCTGGCGGGGAGCAGCGGCAAAGTGTGGCTGCCGGGGCGGGGGAGGCGCCGCGAGGACGCATCGGGAGCGTCTCGGGAGCGTCTCGGGAGCGTCTCGGGAGCGTCTCGGAAGGATCTCGCAAGGGTCTCGGAGACAGCTCTCTCTCCGGAGGTGCCTGGAAGGTGAGCTTGGCCGGGTGCATCGCCTATAAGATAAGATCAGATCAGATCAGATCAGATCAGATCATAGAGGTGAGCTTGGCCGGGTGCATCGCCTGGTACTCGCAGCCCTTGGCGCGCGCGACGAGGGCGGCGAACTCCTTGGTGCGGCTGGGCAGCGCGCCGTCCTGCCGCGCCTGCGAGCAGGCGAGGGACCGCCTCAGAGCGGCCCGTGTGGGTGTGGGTCTGGCGGCTCGGCGGCGCAGGCTCGCGCCAGAACGATGGCGTCGGCCACGCGCTGCGCGGCGGCGCCGTCGGACGTCTCGCCGAAGCTGCGGAGGACACGCGTGATCTCTGCGCGCGGCGCGGTGGAGAGGAACTCGTGGGCCGTCTGTCCGCGCGACTGGTCGAAGCGCAGGTCGAGAGGCCCGTCCGCCTCCGGCCGGAAGCCTCGGTGCGCCTCGTCGAACTGCGGCGACGAGATGCCGAGGTCAAAGAGGATCGCTGCCACGCCGCCGCCGCCGCCGGAAGGCGTCTCGGCGAGGTGAGGCAGCGTCGCCGCCATCCGAGAGAAGGGGGCGTGGTGAATGGTGAAGCGGCGCTCCTCTGCCGCGAGCGCCTTGCCGTCCGTCACCGCCTCCGCATCCATGTCGAAGGCGTGGCAGACGCCGCGGGCCGAGAGCGCGGCGATCATGCCACGCGTGTGGCCGCCGCGGCCGTACGTCGCGTCCACCACCACCCCGTCGGGGCTCGGCTGGACGAGCCGGGCGACGATCTCGGGCAGCATCGCCGGCGTGTGCGTCCCTGCTGCCTGCAGGCTCGGCCGGAAGCCCGTGTGGGCGGCCTTGCCCTTGGAGATCTGCAGGTGGCGGCCGCCAAAGGCGCAGCCGTTCCACGTGAGCGCCTCGTCCAGCGCCTCCCGCTTCTCAAACGTGATCCAGCCGCACCCCTTGCACGCGCCCTTGCCGTCCTTGAGGAGCCGCGGCGCACCGACAATGGTGCCCGCCTCGCCAAAGAAGGCTGAGAGCTGCGGCTCAGTGGTGCTGTGCGGCAGGTACTTGATGAAGATCTCGAAGCCCTCGAACGCGCCAGACGCGGAGTGCGCGAGGCCGTCGCCCATCAAGAAGACTGGCGGAGCTTTGTGTGGCGGTGGGTTGTGGGTGCGCTCGACCGCGTGGGAGGCTCTCTGCTATTTTCTACTCCCGGCACTCATGCTGTGCCGTACGAAAGTGTGAACAGGTTGGAGAGCAGCTCCTGAGCACGGCGCCGCAGGCGCCTGTTGATAGGTCCAGGTGATAGCCCTGAATGGGCAATGCATACGCCTACCTGGGCCTCAGATCGCCCGACCGCGTCCCGGTGCTCTGCGTTCGGATTTGTGACGCCGCCGCACCGCGCCGCGGCCGGGGGCCCTCCGGAGGCCGAGGATGGCCGTGGCGGACCGGGACGAGCTCTGGGAGGTGAAGTGTCAGTGTATATATTGTAGAGACCAACCATGTGCACAATATCTCTCAGCTAAGCCTTGGAAGGCGATGCCGGGGCCGTACAGCAGCTTGATGGTGCTTCGCCGGCGTGCGTCCCGGAGCGGTGCCGGACGGGCGGTCCGGGGGAGAAAATCGGGGGACAACGCCGACACCGCTCTGATTCGACTTTTAACTTCAAACAAAGACAGTGGCACAGCGCGGTGCGTGCCACTGTCAGGAGCGGATCCGTCACGGTTAGTTGTGTTCACGCCGGGATCGTGTCCCCGACAACCTGTGCAGACTTTAGGCTACAACAGTAGGGGTGGTTGAGGGGTTGAGGGTTGAGGCCCCCCCTCAACCATCTGGTTGACGGTTGAGACCCCCCTTCAACCCTTTAGTTGGGGGTTGAGGCCTCCGGAGGCCTATTCACAGGCTCGCGCGTGATCACAAGATAAATTGGAAGAGCCCTGCCGCCAAAAAATCGCTTCGCCTGCGGCGCGCTCTTGCGCTCCTCGTACCTCGAGCGCAATCCATAAGTAGGACACGCTCACTGTCGCCATTCAGGCGCCTGATCTTTCAGCAAAGCGATGGCCTACCAACCAGGTACGAGTTCAGATGCGCGCCCGGCAGAGAAGACGCTTGTGATGCGCTCGCCGCGTGGGAGGCTGGGTTCCGGCTCCTAGCCGGATAGGGGGTCTGTGGCCACTGACTCGCGCCAAAACGCCCTACCTACCTACCTATTCCCCAGGCCGCAGCGAAGCGAAAAAAGATAAAAATAGCCGGTACCTACCTATTGCAGGGCCCTTTTGGGCGAAACAAGACCAACCTACCTACCTATCTGGGATGGGCCAGCCAGTGGCAACAGACCCCCTATCCGGCTAGGAGCCGGAACCCTGCTGCTATTTGCCGCAGCCGCTTCACAGCTGCTCCTGTCTGTGTGGGAAGAGACCGAGGGAGGAGCAGCGTGCGTGAGCAGGTCCGCAAGACTCGAGCCCCCGCGAGGTTCACAGCGGAGTCGGCTGGGGCGACAGTGGGAGGTTCGGTTCGTCTGTCGCGCCACACACAGCTGTCGGCGGCAATGTACAAACATATGCGCATCGGCTCCGCCTCGCACCAAGCAGCGCGCTTTGGCTCTCCGATCCGCGCTGCAGCCTCGCACCAGGCCGCGGCGGTCGTCGGCGCAGGTCCAGCGGGCCTGCTCACCGCCATCATGCTCGCGCAGCGCGGCTGGACGGACGTCTCCGTGTTTGATGCGCGTGCGGCGCCGCCGCTGCCCGAGGATCAGCTTTGGGGCGACGGCGAGCGCAGCTATCAGCTGGGGCTCAACGGGCGAGGGCAGGCAGCGCTGCGCGAGTTTGGAGCGATGGAGCGTGTCTCGCGCTTCTCCGCCACTGTCAACGGGCGGCTCAGTTTCGATGCAGAGGGGAAGCCAGTGGAGAGCCGCCTGAAGCCGCCAGGGACGCCGGGCGCCGAGAAGACGTACGTGACGCGCGTGCTGCAGCGCGACCGGCTGCAGGCGTGCCTCCTGGCTGAGGTGAGGGAGAGGTACCCGCAGGTCGACGTCCAGTTTGGGGTCGGCTGCTCGGGCGTCGACCTGAGTGGCGAGCGGCCGCTTCTCGAGCTGTGCTCGCCGCCGGCGGCCGACGGCGTGGAGGACGAGGCGGAGGAAGAGTGCGATCCGGACGGGCGGACGGAGGCGTTCGATCTCGTCGTCGGCGCCGACGGCGTGCGCTCTGCTGTGCGCGAGTCGCTGTCGGCGGACGAGAGCACGAGCACGCGGACCGTGCGGTACGCCGACAAGAACGAGCGGCGGTACAAGACGCTTCCGTTGCACCCTTCGGCGGTGCCGGGCACCGCCGCCGACCTCAACTGGGGCTGCCGCAACGGGACTCTCGACCTGGGGATGGACGCGCTGCCGACCAAGGAGGGCGAGATGGTGGCCGTGCTGCTCGTCAAGCCGAGCTCGCCCGCCTACGGGGCGATGGAGGGCCTGAGCAGCGGCGCGGAGGCGAGGGCCTTCCTCTCCTCTGCCCTGCCGCCCCTCGAGCCCTATCTGCGGGACGACGACCTCGACCGCTTCGTCCAGCGGCCTGTCGCGAGGCTGCCCAAGTTCATGCTCGTCGAGGGGCAGATCCACGCGTCGCTGCCCAAGGGCGGCGTCGTGCTGCTCGGCGACGCAATCAAGGCGGTCAAGCCCTACTTCGGGCAGGCGAGACGCCCTCCGCCCTCCTCCCTCCTCCCTCCGCCCGCCCTCTCCCCTCCTCTCACGAGCTCGAGCCCCTGTAGGGCGCGAACTCGGCGCTCGAAGACGTGAGCGTGCTTGCAAAGTGCCTCGGCGAGTGCGGCGATGACCCGGCGGCGGCGGCGGCCAGCTTTGACGAGGCGAGGGCCGAGCAGGCGCGAGCGCTCGTGCGCACCTCGCGCAGCTTCGACGGGAGAGGGCCGCTCGGCACCGCTCGCTTCCTCGTGCCCCTCCTCCTCGACATCCAGCTCAACAAGCTCCTGCCGCGCGTCTTCTCGCCACCGATGCTGCGAGGCCTGCAAGACGAGCGAAACACTTTCGTCGGCCTCCGGCGGACAAAACGGCGCGAGCGCGCGGTCCTCCTCGGCCTGCTCGCAGGCATGGCGGCGGCAGCACGCGCCGTGGGCGGGTTTGTGCTGCGCCGTTCTGCGGGAGTCTGATGTCGGCATGCGGGCGCTCTATTACAGGATTACTTGTTCGTGCATCCACTTAAGTCTTTACCTGAGCGAGCGACACGTGTGAGTCAAGGGGTGCACTGCCTCGTCGTGCGGCGGCGGCTGTGTGCACAGAGTGGCACAGTGCCCCTGCCCGCGCTGCCCACTAACTATATAAACTAAAAACTAAATTGAAAATTATATATCGATTTCTCTCTAAAGCCGCACTCTGTCGCGCAGTGTGCACGGCGCTTTTGGAAGAAAAGTTTACATAGACACACCGCGATCATCGCGTCCAAACGCGATCGCATACCGCCAGCCTCTCTGCGCTCTGATGTCTGAGCCCTGCTGAGCGCCTCAGTGGCCCTGCTGTACAGTATATTCCTCGTGCACGACACGATTCCCTTCCTCGTGCACGACACGATTCCCGTCGCGCCTCACAGCGCGCACAAGCGCGGTGGGGTCTACCGGCACCTGAGGGCCGCGGGCGCCGGCGCCGGCTGCTCCACAGCGGGGCCGTGCACCCGCACGGGGAACACGTCCTGGCACTCGCTGCACTGCGCCGAGACGAGCCCTTCGGGCAAGAAGGCGTGGAGGGACTGGCGGCAAGTCGGGCAAGTCACGGTGTGCTCGCGCAGCTGGCCCGGCCCGCTCCCCTCGAGGCTGACCACGTGGCACTCAAAGCGGCCGCGAGACGGCGCCGCCGCCGCCCTCCCCGCGCCCGGGGCGGCCCCGGAGGCGGGTGCGCCCGTCAGCTCCCTCCGCATGATCTGCGGCGCAGACAGCCCCCGCCGGGCGGGGTGCGTGACGGGCGGCGCGATCCCCGGCTTGCTCGCCAGGGTCGAGGCTGCGGCGGAGCCGCCGGCCACCCCGGCCCGCGCGAAGGCGTCGCGCAGCTCGGCATTCAGCAGCTCCTCGTCCGCCTCCTCGTCCGCCTCCTCGTCCGCCTCCTCGTCCGCCTCCTCGTCCGCCTCGCCGCCTGCGCTGCCTCTGCTCGCGCGCGGCTCTCCGCTCGCCCCGTCCGCCGCCGCCACCGCCGCCGCCGCCGCCGCCTCGGCAGCCGCCGCCTCCCCCCCCGCCCCCGCCGCCCCCGCCGCTGCCCCCGCCGCCGCCGCCTGCACCGCCCTTCCCCTGCCCGCCGCCGCCGCCGCCGGCCGGTTGCGGGGCCCTCCCCTCTGGCGGGGCCCTCCCCTCTGGAACTCGGTCGAGCGCTTCTCGTGCAGCGCGGAGAGCCAGCGCTGGAAGTCGCCCCGGCCGGAGGGGAGGCCCACCTGCCCTTCGGGCGGCGCGTGCGGCTCGTCCGCCGCGTGCCGCTCGAGCCACTCGGAGCAGAGCTCGACCGCGCCGCCCTTTGAGGTGCGCACGACCGGCGCCTTCGCCTCGGCGAGGAGCCGCTCGACCGACGCCTGCACGGAGCGGTTGCCGGCCGAGGAGCGCTGCCAGGCGAGGCGGCCATTGCCCTTGCCGACGACTATGGTCAGCTGCGGCGGCGAGTCGGGCGCGTGCGCCGCGTGCACGTCGCGGAAGTGGCTCGACTGCACCTTTTGCAGCATCCAGAGCACCGCCTGCTGCGCCGCGCCGCTCGAAAGGCCGTGCAAGTCGAGGGTCCAGCGAGCCCCGCGGCGCGAGAGGAAGTCGCGGTACGCGCGCGCGGCGACGGCGTCGGCGAAGATGCGCTCGCCCTCGCGCGTGCCGTGCAGCACGTCGAGCACCGCGTTGTACGAGAGCTGGTCCTGCGCCGGCATGCGCTCGAGGAGGGCGAGGCAGTGGTCGCACCGCGCGCCGCGGGCGGCGCCGCCCCCCTCGCCGCCCCCCTCGCCGGCGCAGCACGCCGTGAGCGCCTCGACCCAGCAGTGGTGGTTGGGCTCCACCTCCATCGAGTCGAAGAGGGAGAGCGCACGCTCCGACTCGCCGCAATGGTTGGCGGCGGAGAGGGCGGCGCCGATGCAGACCACGTCCGGCGCCACCGCCTAAGCGCATGGGTAGGAGAGGTCGCGGGGATGTTGAGTGTCCATCGACACACGTCACTTAGTGAGTGAATGAATGAGCCTCGACGGCCATCGCGTCGAAGACCCGCAGCGCCAGGCGCGGCCGGCCCGCCCTCCGCAGAGCGGTGATGGTGCTCGAGTAGGAGTTGGCGCCTCTCTCCAGGCCGACCTGTGGGGCGGGTGGGGGTGAGGGATGGGCGAGGGGGTGGGCGAGGGGATTGGTGTGGGGCGGAGGGCGGGGCTAGGGAGGAAGTGGGGTGATGGTGGGCAAGGTCACCCTCCGCATCTCCCGAAAGACCGAGAGGGCAGAGGAGCCGTCGCCCGCCCTGGACAGCGCGGACAGGGCCGCCTCGTAGCTGAATGCGTCCGGCTGTAGCCCCGTGCCGGGGATAAAGTCGTGCAGGACGCGCAGCGCGGCGGATGCGGCGGGCGCGGGCAGCAGCGTGCGTGGCGGAGCAGAGCCCAGCGCGACGATGGCCTGGTTGAGGCAACGCAGGTCGACGTCGAGGCTGGCGCCACGCCCGTGTGGCAGGCCGAGGATGTCGAGAAGCTCGATCGCCGCCATCGCGTTCTGGCATGCTGCACAGGTGCTGAAGCCCAGCGTGGCGTGGATGGAGTTGAGTTCCTCTCTCGCCTTGAGATGGGCGATGGTGGAGAGGGTGGCGCGCCATGCCTTGCGATCGCGAAAACCCTTGAGCACGCGGGAGTACGCGCGTGGTGAGAGCGCTTCCGCTTCCTCGTTGAGGTAGAAGGATGCAGATTTCGGGGAGCGGCGGACGCGCTCGACAAGCTTTGCGAGCCGTCGGCCGTCAATCTTGCCAGCAGGTGGCGGCGCGGCCGCGAGCGTCGGCCAGCGGGTCCGCGCTGCGGCCGGGTTAGGGAAAAGCGGGGCAGAGGTTGCGAGCACCATTTACTGGTGTGCCGTCCGTACCATTCGGGTGTCGGCGAGCGAATATTCTTTTATGTCCCAAAAGAAAAAGGATTGCGTCGCTCGAGCGTGTCGTCATCATCTGTCTGTTCCGCGTCCACCCATAACGCATAACGCGTTGGTGTCCAGTCCTGACTGACACTGTTCTTTCTTCACCTTCCTACATACATACATACAAAGTTGACTGCTTTCTTTCTTTCTTTACATACAAAGAAGAATAATTACGATACCGCCACAGGAGATGTGGCGATATCATCGGAGAACGGAATCCCCGAGGAGCACGACTCGGCACACGGACCCTTCAGCAAACGGAGGGATGTCCCCGGCGAGACCCGATCTTGGAAAGTAAAAAGAAAAACGCGCACCTCAACAGACACGCCTCCCCTGCGTCGTTGTTTTGTTTCTTTTACGCAGGCAGGCCCCCCGGGACGTCGAGGTGGAGCCGTGGGACGAGCCCGACGAGGGCGAGAAGCTGCGCGCCTCCGCGCTGCCACCGGAGCCGGCTACGACTCGAGGGTGGCCCTCTCGCGCTTCCGGCCGCATACTCTCGTCGCGGACAAGGAGCTGCCCCTCGCCGAGTTCACGTCCAAGAACGAGTACCTGCACCAGGCGCAGCGGCGCTTCACGACCGTGGTCCACAACAGGAACTGGCGCGACCTCGCCGTGGAGTTCAAGGAGGGCTCCGAGGGATCGCGGTCTGCTCCTCGTGGCAAGAAGGGCAAGGCGCGTGCCGAGGGCAGGGAGCGGGCGAGGCACGCGGCCTGGCGGGAGGCGGTCCGCTTCGTGGCGGTGAGCCAGGATTGCGCCGGCGCCTTCCTCAACGCCATCCCCATGCGGGATGACATGCGAATGGAGACTTGGGCGATGCGTATCTCGGTGCAGCGCCGCCTGGGTCTCCCCCTCGACGTGGCGCTTGCCAGGCCGTGTCGGTGGGCAAGAAGACTCGGAACAAGAAGTACCACGACGAGTTCGGCGATGCTGTTGTCAACGTTCCGCAGCAGGTCCACAACATCAAATACAAGTACACTCTTCAGCGCCTCATCCTCGCCCTACGCGCCGCGTGGGGCACAGCTGTGCGAATGGAGCCGACGAACCACCTCGGTCATAGTTACAACAAACAACCCGACGTGGATGCGGACAACATTGGCTCACACGGCAGCGATGACGATGCTGCTGCGCCTGTTCCTCATGACTGATCGCGATTGGTCGCCGCCGGGACGCGCGAACGCCCTTTGGTTTTCAGTGCAGTGCGCGCGCCAGTCCTGTGCCTCTCGACTCAAATTCTTTTCGCGTGAAATTCTTTTTGGGGGCGCGCCGAGGCGTGTCTTCACGCACGGGAGACTTGGAGTCCAGTGCCAGGTGGTTGGTGCTTTGCCGTCCGTGCCTCGGTCGTTTTTCACGCTCGTACTCCGGCCTCGCATACGGTCGAACTGAACGATAAACCTCTGCATGCTGGCCGAGCGCGCCCGCTCTGTCGCGCTCCTGGCCTGCATCGCCGCGGCGCACAGCCTCCTCGGCGCCGACCTCGGGGGCGGCCGCCTTCCGCGCCCGCTCTCGGCGCGCCGCCGCCTCCTCCGGCTGCTCCCTCTGCGTGCAGCCGCCGCCGAGGACGCTTCACGGCCGGCCTCCGCTGCCGCCGCCGAGGACGCTGCCGCTCTGGCCGCACCCACCGGCGCTGCCAGCCCCGCCGACTCGCATGGGAACGCGTCCGTCGCCGAGCTGTGGTGCGCCACCGATGCGCGCGGCCGCGAGTGGTGTGCCGTCGGCACGAACCGGTCGCGTGCGGCCGAGTGGCTCGCGCACGAGCTTGGCGCGCCGGTCGAGCTGGCCGGGGTGGCGGAGTGCGCGCCTCTGGCCGCACGGCGCACGCACCGCCGGCTGCGCCGCGCGTGGCGAGGCGGGCGGCTGCTGCTCTGCGGCTCATCGCTGGGCGAGCTGCTCGAGGAGGGCGCCGGCGCCTCGCCCGAGCGCTCCTTCCGCCGCTCGCTCGGCGGGCTGGCGGTGCGGGCGCGCCGCATGTCTCCCGCCCGGCACGAGGCGGCGGCGCTGCGTGGCTACCTCGAGAGGCACTTTCTGCCCTCCCATCCCGCCCTCTCGCTCTCCGACCTCTCGCCCGCCGCCGCCGCCGCCGACCCGGCTCGGTCGGAGGAGGGGATCCGGGCGATGCTGCGCTGGTTCAAGGAGGCCTTCCCGTACGAGAGAGGCACGTGCGCCTCCTGCGGCGCCTCCGCCGGCTACCGCGGCACCGTGCGCGCCTCGAGGCGCGAGAGGGGCCGGCTCGCCGCGAGGGCGGAGCTGTGGCGCTGCGGCGAGTGCTCGAGCTGGCAGCGGTTCGCGCGGTACAACTCCGTGCCGCAGATCCTCCGCGACCGGCGCGGGCGGTGCGGCGAGTACACGAACGCGATGCTGCAGCTCGTGCTCGCACTCGGCTGGCGCACAGCTCTTCCCCTGCAAGCAGCGGCCGCTCCCCGCCTGCTCACCTTCAGCTGGCTCTGGCGCTAGGCGGGCCCGCTGGGTGGTGGACTGGACCGACCACCAGTGGCTCGAGATTTGGATGCCGGCGGGCGGCGAGGCTGGCGGAGCGTGGGTCCCGCTAGACCCATGCGAGGCCGCGTATGACGAGCCGCTGCTCTATTCGGCCGGATGGGGAAAGAACATGACTTACGTCGTCGCCTTGGGGGACGGCGCCCTCACGGACGTCACCGCGCGCTACACGGCCGACTACAACGCGACGCTGCGCGATCGGCCGCTGAGCGAGGCACAGGTGGCTAGCGCCCTCAGATGGATCGCCCACACCAAGGGGGCGCCGCGGCTGCAGCCGGCACCCTGGCGCTGAATTTCTTGCACTATAAGCTATAACGTCTTACGTGGCTGGGTTCACAGCGATTGTAGGAAAATGGAGGGAACACACCGCTTGACGGCCGGTCGGCCGCGCGCCGCCCGCGGCCTTCCGACTCTCGCGCCTCCGCCTCACTGGCACTATTGTAGCCCTGGCCGGTGCGCGTGAGGCGTGTGGAGTTGAAGTTCCCGAGTAAAAATTCGAACGCGTTCTCTCACGGTGACCAAAAAATGTCCACCTCAGAGGCACCTCCGGAGGCAGGCCGCCGCATGCCGGCGACACACAGCTCCAGCTGTCGAACTGACCCGCAGCTCCTTTCAGAGCGGGAACTGTGACGAAGGTTGACTGAGGCGGTTGTCAGGAATCATCATACGGATCACATGGTGGCTCTCTCATGACGGGAGACCGCCCGACCACTCCTGGGTGGCACTGCCACCGGTGTCGCTCGACGTCCTGTCGACAGCGTGCCGACAGCGACACAGACCATGTGGGCCGCGTCGAGTATCGACCTCTATTGCTTACCCAGCCTTCGAGTGTATCCTGGCTGTGGTCCCACACCCACTGGTGTCCATCTCAGAGACCGCAGGAGGTCATGAGGGTCGATGGGAGTGCCAACCCCACAATGCCTAAAAACCCAGGGCGTAGTAGTAACGACAATAAAACGTTGCGTGCCCGCCGCATGATGGCATCTCCCGCGCCGCCGATGCCGCAGAGTGTGAGAGCCGCTATTGCAGCAGCCACAAGGGTGGAGGTCGAGTACACGAGTTGGGAACTGGCCGAAAATCCTGAGCGGCGGCGGGCCGCAGAGGCGCACGCTGCTCGAGCTAGGATGGAGGCGTCGGCCCGGACAGCAAGGCTGGAGGAAGAGATGGCTTCGAGTGCGGCCGCGGCCAAGGCCGCCACAGAGGCCAAATCGGCCGCAGCGGAGATGGCCGCCAAGGCGACGAGCCGGACGGCTCGGCCTGTGCAACACCAGTCGGCCAAGCAAGCCTCTCCGGCGCAGCTCCTCGCTGCCGAGCTGCAAAGGCTTGCCAACGAGCTAGCGGGGATGCATGACTTGCGGCGCCAGTACAAGGCTCTCGAAGAGAAAGCAACTGCTGACGGGCTGCGGTCCGAGGTAATGATCACCCGCCTCCATGCTGAGGTGGAGCAATCGGCAGAGCGCGAGAAGGCTACAAACGCAGCATTGGCTGAAGCGACTGCCTCGCTGGCGGCGGCACGACTGGCGGCGAGCGCCGCGGAAGCGCAGGCGCATGCCGAAGCGCAGCGGGTCAAACACGCCGAAGCGGCGCATGCTGTGCTCGAGCCGCTGGCGAAGTCTGCGGTCAGCCTCGGGGTGCAGCTCGAGGAGGAGAAGGCTAAGGTGGCCGCTCTCGAGAGGGAGGCGGCGGCGCGGGCTAATGTGTCGCTCTCGCTCGACCTGGCGCGCGCGGCGCTTCAAGAGCGCGAAGGGAAGGAAGATAGCGCACGCGCGGCCCTCGCGCGCTCGCTGCACGAGGCGGAGGAGCTGCGCCCGGAGGCTCTTGCCGCAGGGCCGCTGCGAGTGCAGCTTGGGCTAGAGCGCGAGCGGGTCGCGGCGCTGCAGGCGCAGGCGGAGCGGGCAGCAGAGCTTGCAGCCGACCTGTCGCTCGCGCGCGCGACGATCGCGTCGTTGGAGGCGCGGGTGGCGGACGACGCGCGTCTCGCGCTGCTCGAGCGGCGGCTCCACACCAGCTCTGCTGCTTGCAGCGGGGGCAGTTCATCCTCCAGCCTCGGGGAGTTCTCTGCGCCAGAGGCAGTGACCGCCTCCGCGCCAGAGGCAGTGACCGCCGAGGTGGAGCATTCGCGCACGGCTCCCGCAGCGGGGGTCACCTTCGAGGCTCCGGACGCGGCGACGCGGCGAGTCGCCCCAGGTTCGAGGACAGGGACCCCTCGTATGCTGATGCGCGCACAGGCGAGGAAGGCCGCGACGCGGATCCAATGGGTTCAGCGCAGCCGCACTCGCTCGGTCGAGCTTGGCGTGCGCCTCGCGCTGCGCAAGGCCGACCCGCAGGAGGTGGCAGCGGCGTGCGCCTCCGGTGGCCTCGACGCGCTTGCTGCGGTGGTGCACAAGCAGCTAGGAGCGGACGCGTGGCTGCGCGCCACGCACAACGCGCCCGACGAGTGGGAGGAGGAGGACTTCGTGGGTGCGATCAGCAAGGCGCTGTCGGACCCAGCGCGCGCGCCCGAGGTGTGGCTGCTCGCCAAGCCGACCAAGTACGAGTGCGCGCTCCTCGCGCTGGGGGCTCGGTGAGGGTGTAGACACTGTAGAGGGGGGAGGGGAGCGGGCCGAGGACCCGAGGTGAGCGGTTGTGCACCGGCTCATCACTGGTGAAGGCCACCTCATGTGGAGATTGGCGCAATATATTGGAGCGCCTCGAAAGAAGAACCCCCCAAGCCCCAAGGAGAAAAAAAAACAAGAGAGGGGTAGGGAGGCGGGGGAGGAAAGCCAAAAAAAGCCGTCCAACAAGACAACAAAAAGCCGGCCAAAATCCAACGTATTGCACTTGGAGCACTTGGACGATTTGGACTTGGAGTGCAGTTGGTAACCGCACACCCAGGGCCGGGGAGCGGGGAGCTAAGAAGCGCACCCAGCGGGCCGGGTGATTGGCATCGGGTTACGGGCTGACTACCCCCCGCTAGAGAGCCACTAGGCTGCGCTGCGCAAGCACGGGCGGGAGGGGCTTCTCATCTCGTTCCCGTCCTACCAGAGAACCCTAGCCCTGGGGGGTGCGCATTCGCAGGGGAGGGGGCGTAAAGTGAACACGGGTCTCCGAGGGTTGGTCTGCGCTTTGGGTTTCCCCTAGCGGCGGAACGCACTTGGAGCACTTGGAGTGCGGTCATTAACCTCACGTCCAGGACCGGGGAGCTAAGAAGCGCACCCAGTTGGCCGGGGACGCTCGGCATCGGGTTACGGGCAAGAGAGCCCTAGCCCCGGGGGGCGGGGGTGCGCGGTCGCAGGGCCATAACTAACACGTCTCCGAGGGATGGTTCCGTGTACCGGGATACCCCTTAACTGCCCAGAACGAACCCTCTTCCTCGACCGTGGGGGGGTGCGCGGTCGCATACGGCAGCGCTCCGGGTTTCCCTCAGCGGCGGAATTTTTCCCTCGCGCTTCCTTGGCACGGGCTGCTTTTCTTCCGGGCGCCCGCTCTTCGAAATCGGCACGGTTCGTCGGCTTGAGGGATAACAGGATCCCTTGAGCTTGTGCACTTGAGCACTTGAGCACGCACGCAGCACGCACGCATCTGGGTGATGAGGTACATTTTCCTCGACATCGACGGCGTCTTGCATCCAGCGACGGCCGGCACCGACCGCCAGTTTTCTCCAAACTGCTTGCGAGCGCTGCGGACGATTGTTGGCGCCACAGGCGCAGCTCTGATACTCTCGTCGTCGTGGCAGTCGTCGCAGGCCGCGGCAGAGGTGGTGGACGAGGAGCTGGCGCGGTGGGGCCTGCCGCGGTGCTCAGGGCGCACGTCAGCCGGGCCGACCGGCGTTGGCGCAGCTGCACGCGCGGGCGAGATCTTGGCTTGGCTCGCGGCGAAGACAGAGGTCGAGGCGTGGGTTGCTCTCGACGACCTGCCACTGCTCGCGCACCGATCGTACGGCCGCTTTGTGCAGACGGATCCGGCGGTCGGCCTAACAGAGGCGGATGCAGCTCGAGCCATAGCGCTGCTAGGCGGGCCTGCGGACGACGCACCGTCGCTGCCACCGCCGCCGACCGAGGAGGATCTCGCCGCGACCCTGCTCTCTCCGGCGGCAAAGTCGCGCGAGCGGCGCCTCCTATCCGCCTCGGTCGACCACACCGTCTTGGGCGGTGCTGCCTTCAGCTTCTTTGCCTCCCCCTCGCGCTAGGGTCACACGGTGTGGTGTGCCTGGTGTGCGGAGGTCGTCCCGGATATAAGCGACGCTGAAAGCCGCATCAATTTCGTGTCTCCTTGCATTCAGTCCTTATCTCTTTTTATCATGCAGGATGCCAGCATGTGCATGAACAAGGGCGAGCACAACTCCCGTCCGTGCACGCTCCTTTCCACACTGTCCTAGCCAGAGCAGACTAGCGGCTTCAGGGTGGTGTCTTGGTTGGTGCTTTGCCACGCCCCCTTGTAGAGCGTCCAGAGCAGGAAGGGGTGGAGGTGGTTGACGAGGCCTGCGCCGGCGCAGCAGCCGCAGCAGCCGCAGCAGCGAAGCCGGCGTGCCGCCGAGGTGACGTACGTGCGCTCCTTGACCTTGAACACGAAGTCGCCCGGCGGGTACTTCTCTTTCTCCTTGCCGCAGCAGCTGAAGCAAAGGAACTGGCGATCGCGAAGGGGGGGGCCGTCGCCTGGCTTGCTAGGCGACACCTTGGCCTCGGCGTCGTGGGACGCGGGGCCCTTTTGCGACGTGGGCCCGCTCATGACCAGCGCCTTAGAGATGAACCCCGCGCCAAGCCCTGCGCCGCACCAGAACGAGCAGCCCCGCGGAATCAGCGGCGCCACGCTCACTGCCGACTGGTCGTGCACCCACCGCAGCGAAGTGATCTTGCCAGCGTCGGCGGGGAAAGCGGTCGAGTCCTCCACGGCGACCAGGTGGTCGTGCACCCAGCGCGCAGAGGCGCCGTCGAAGGCGAGGGTGCCATCGTAGGTGATGAGGCGCACCTAGGGCCCGACATTCAGCCGCGATTGAGCCGAGATTGTCGGCGGAGGGGGGGTCGCGCTGTGGCAGTGCGCGGAGCAGCGCGTGCTCAAGTGAGGAGGCGCGCCTTGAGGCCGCGGTCCTTGTACTTGAGGGCGATCTCGACCGCCGCCAGCTGCGCGTACGCGCCACCGATGCCGTGGCCGACGATGGTGATCTGATTGGCATCTGGAACCTGCTTCCAGGCCTCATGCAGGCGGTCGTCAATTCCAACTTTTCTGGGGCTCTCATCGTCGTCCCAGCCCGAGCCCTTCGGGAACATGGCCTCGTAAACCTCCAGGATCTTAGCGTACACCTGGAAATCCTGGCCCTCGACGGACCACTTCTTGAGGGCGACATCCGAGTAGGCGCCGCCGAGGTCTGAGGCGGAGGTCAACGCGTCGCCCGCGAGGCCGAGGACGAATGAATGCTCCTCCGCAAAGCCCTCCTTGACCGCGCAGCTGTGCGCGTTCAGCCCGCCGTGCAGATAGAACCTGCCCAGCCCGCCCTCCGGGCCCGTCTTGCCACCGACGGCAGAGTGCCCCGTCTGCCAGTACTTTGCACCGTCGTCCGTGCGGGCGACTGAACGGGCGTCCCAAAAATCGACGCCGTTGTACCAGAGCCGGGTTTTCTTGTTCTCCCAGGCCGGATCATTTGGATCCTTGTACTTGGAAGGGAACGAGCCATAGGCAAACTCGGCCTCAAGCGCCCAGAAGGGACCAGAAGGCGGGAGATCCGCTGGAAACCCGGCACAGCAGCTTTTGAAGCACGAGTCGTTGGAGGCAGGCTTGACCACCTTGTCGGCTGCCACTGGTGCCACTAGCTGCTTGCGGTAGGCGACGAACTTGGCCGTCGGCCGCGGACACGAGGGCGGCGGCTTCGGCATTGATTGGGGGAGCGCCCTATTAGGGCCCGCCGTACAAGCGGTGCCCGCCGACGATTGTTGCCCGCGTTTTGTAGTGGCGAATTGTGGCGATAGCTCCAGCTGCTGCCCGGCGCGCACCCTCCGCCCGCTGCGCTGCCCCTTTCGCGCAGGAGCACATCACGAGCCTTCCCCTGATCAGCGCTGCGCGTTGCCGCCGAACTAGCAACTACCGCGCCCAGTACACCCAATCTTGCTCCGCAGGTCGGCTCAAGCTTCGTGTGCACAGCAGGTGAACAGTGGCGAGGGTGGGGGCGGCGAGAGAGGCAGTGGCGTGAGCGGTGGTGGCGCTCGCGGTGGCGGCGGCGGCGGCGATCGCACCGGCGGTGGCGCGGCGGCGGCCGTGAGGGTGGTGGTGGCGGTGAGGGTCTGGGCGGCGGGCGGTCCGCCATCGTGAAATCATGAATGGTAGGTGATTCGCCATGCTTGAAGTCTTGCTTGGCTTCGCCGTCGCGTTCAGCTCTCGCCCTGGCCCCGGCCCTGGCCCCGGCCCTGGCCCTCATCCGGTGGTGCACTGCAGTTCTACGTTGGAGCCACACGACATCACCAGTGCCAGCGATCCGCGGCTCCACTGCTTCAAGGTCATTCACGCCGCAACCGTAATGCACTTCCTCTCGAGCCCGTACGACGATCCGTGCAACTGGAAGCAGGAAAAAATAAACGTGTCCAGCTATGATCCGAATGTGCAGCACAGCTGGCCCGCGTGGGAGTCGACGAACGGCTCGTGCGAAGACGACGAGTACAGCAGCAGCACGCACTACGTGGTCGACGGGGGTGCGCTCCTGCTCCGCCGCGACGACACTAAGCCGAAGAGCAAGCCCGGCTCCCCCAACTGCGAGGAAGAAGCCAACCCAGGTGGCTGCGGTGGCTACGTCATCGCTCGCAAGCCGTTCAAGTTCTATTGCACGAGCGACGACCAAGAGCGCGGCGACCAAGAGTGCGGCTTGGACGGCTCCGGATTCAGGAATGGTGAGATCTGGAGACAGTTTGGGCCCGGCTCAAATCTCTACGAAGACCGGCGGCCAGGCATCGTCGTGCCCGGCTTCTTTGACCTGCACGTGCACTCGAACCAGGAGGACATCCTGGCCGCATACGGCAAGGCGCTGCTCCCGTGGCTGAAGAAGTACACGATACCGGCGGAGGACCGCAGCCGTGATGCCGACGGGGCTCACGAGAACGCATTTCACATGATGAAGGCCTTCGTGTACAACAGCCTTCGCGCAGGCCGGCCCCCCTCTGCGCCAGATGCGCCTCCGCTCCTCGTGCAGACCCCGGAGCGGATAGTTTTGTGCCTCTACTGTAGGTACGACCATGCCCATGGCCTTCACAACCGCAAACGGCACGGGCGACGTAGCGCGGCAGCTCTTCCTCGCCGCGGAGCGGGTCAACATGCGAATCATTACTGGTGCGCGAACCCCTTGTGCCTTGAGCCCGGCCTTGGCCCCGCCGCTTATATTCTGCCACCATCCCGATGTCGCAGGCACGCAGGCGCAGAACCGATACACGCCAGATGACGGCTTCGTGGAGAAGACGCACGAGCTCTTCAAATGGCTATACTATGAACGCAGCGACGGCGCAAAGCCTCCGCCGCACCGCAGCCTCTACGGGATCAACTTCCGCTTCGCTCCCAGCAGCAGCTTCGAGCAGTTTGCAGACCTCGAAGAGCTGATGCGCGAATACAGGTACCCCAATGACCCCAACCCCCCCGCGATCGACAAAGGACGAGACCCAGACGGAAAGGGCGCGTACGTCCTGACTCACATGGTGCGACATGGCCTCAGCCGCACCGTCGCACACATGCCACTCCCGCCGGGACCCAACTTCGCCCTACGTTGGGTTCGTGGTTCCCCTCCCCCCCTCCACGGCGCGGAGTCGCTTCTGACCCCCTGCGGGCCTCTCCCTACGTAGGGCGAGAACGTTGACGAACTCTCTGTCGACGTGAACCTCTTTCATGCAAAGGGCATCGCACAGTGTTACGAGGACAGGTTCCCCCTCGTCTCCTACACCAACGCGAAGAAATGCCTGGATTGCTGCAAGACCAGTCTGACGGGTAATTGCGAGTGTCCCCTGAAGATGGATGCAAATCACATCCAAAAGTGCAGTGAATTCAACACGGATGATTACGCCTACAACCCGGAAACGGACTGCCCCAACGTGACAAACTACGACAACTTCACGACGTGGGCGCAGTTGTACGATGCTTGGGGCATACTGCGCCGGGGCACAATGCTCGGCCACGCGATCCACCTCGCCGAGGGCGATCTACAGCTCATCGCTGAAGGCGGCGCGGGCCTCGCACACAACCCGACCTCCAACAATTTCCTCGGCTCGGGTCTCTTCAACCTCGGCGCGGCGAACCGTACTCGCAAATGCACAGACAAGGGCAAGCACTGCTCGCCTGGCGAGGACATTCGGGTCTTGTTTGGAGTCGGCTCGGACATGGGCGCGGGAACGCACTTGTGCACTCTCAACACTCTGGGCGCCATTTTCCCGTCGGCCGCTGCCGCGTTGGAGGGCGAGCGCTCACGTCCGCTCTTGAGTATTGTAGGCGCCATGTACGCGGTCGGGCAGCTGGGCAACACTTACCTCACCCAGATTAACCCGAAAGGGCAAGGCGTTAAAGGGCAACACACGGACAAGAGTATGATCTGCGTCAAGTCCAACTGCCCCACGCCGTGGGAAGATGCGTGGGATTGGCGCGAGAGCATCGGGCCAAACAAGGCCCGCTGCAACGAGAACCCGCAGTCAGCGATCGACGTCACGCGCCCGACCGTCGGTCGAACGACACTCCACCAGGCACAGCTCACACTCAAGTGAGGACATCGCTCTCTGCGTTCCTCGACCCCGTATACCCCCCCCCCCCCGCGCAGAATGACCACGAGACTTGCACCGCTCTCTGGCCGCTTGGCTGCGTGCAGCCGGAAGCTGTCGGCAGCGATCCTTCCCACGAAGGCTGGGTCGACGGGACGTGTCTTGTCCACCACACGCCGGGTGAGACCGGGGCCCCAATGTGGAGGGAGGAGGGCATCCTACCCGGGACCGGCTCCAATCTCGTGAAGATCGAGCTCCCCGAGGGCAACGTGCCACCCAACCACATCCACGTCCACGCAGCGCTGGCCTACTACTCGGCGACTCTCGGCGCGGCCAAGGCCACTTTGCTGGAGGACAAGCTCGGGAACTTTGAGGAGGGCAAGGAGGCCGATTTCGTTGTTCTCAACCCGTACGGCAGTTTCGATACGGCGCGGCGGGTGCGCCTCATGGGCCGGCGCGATTGCAACCCGCTCAAGCAGATGTGGGAGGTGCTCTTCATGCTGATGATCATGGGGAGCGCCGAGAACATCGCATCGACTTACGTCATGGGCCACGAGGCGTACCAGAACAAGGAGAAGCCGCTCGACATGGCCGAAGAGCTGTGCACGTTCACGGGCAACACTGGCAGGGAGCCCTTCCCACGTCCTTTCACGAACGACTACGACTACTACGCCGACCCTGGATGCGTTAACGCGTTCGCGAAGTGCGTCTCATGCCTTGCGGAGTGCACGGAACCCCACCCATGGGGCCGGACACTGCCATGCGGCTGCAAAGCGCCCACCTACCACGGCAACAACCCTGACTGCCCCGAGCTCACGGACTACGAAACGAAAAATCCGTGCAAGAAGCCATGGAACGGAAACACCTGCACGCCGCGGCCGGGCTGTCCGCCGCCGGCGGCGCCGCCGCCGGCTCCAAAACAGCCGTAAGGGCTGGTCGAAGAGGCAGCTGTCGGTCTGCGTGGCGCAAGGGCCCGCGACGGGCGCGATAGGCGCCGAAATGGGAGGCAAGCAGATTGAATGCGCTTGTGTGGAGTTCCCTTGTGGGGGTAGAGCAGCCTCAAGAGTCGAGTCCCCTCGACTTCGTTCAGTCGCTCAGGAGATTGTTTGTCGAGGCGTGACTCGAGATGCGCGCGTGCGTCGGACGGCCGCCGCAGGGCCAGGGGGTGAGCGCTTTATATTGGTTTGAGCGCTGGCCTCTCGTCTCTGACTGCCCTTAGTGCTTAGCCTCCCAACCCCCCGTGCCGTGCTGCGCGACGGGTGGCGATGGCGGATATGGAAAGCCGCCCTCTTACTCCTTAGAGCGGCGCGGGGCCGGGCCGCGGCCGGGGGGGAGGCATGGGGGGGAGGTTTCGCGCGTGGTGGGTTTCGCTTTCGGTTTGTCATTCCAGCGTGTACACGGCTCTAGGTCCTTTGGTACGACGAGACCACTGCCAGAGCAGCGTATGCTAGGAAGACAACCACCACCCACAGACTGAGACGTGAGAGAGTCAGACGCCCGCCGCCAGACCACGACCCGCCCGCTGCGCCTCGCCCCTCGCGGGCCTAGCGCACCCCGCTGGCTCACTCCGCCTTCTTCCCCTTCTTTTTTGGCTTCGGCCGGTTGACGGCCTGCTCGTACTGCGGTCGCAGCTCGCGCCCCTTGCACCCCTTCTCCTTTCCCTCGCCGGCGTCGACGTACCACTCCGCATCGAGCGCGTCCAGCAGCGCGTGCTCCTCGAGGAAGGAGCGCAGGCTCGCCTTGTCACTGAGCGGCGCAATCGCGCCCTCGATGCGGCAGAGCACGTGCAAGCACGCGATCATCGTGCCGCGCAAATGCGGCGGCAGCGACGGCAGCGCCCCCAGCGCCTCCCCGGAGATTGGCGGCCCGTCGCGTTGCAGCAGCTGCAGCTGCTCGCGCAAGCGGAGCAGCGTCGGCCGCTCGCAGCGCGTGCCCGCCAGCTCGAGAATAAAGTCGGGCAGGTAGCCCGGCGTGCGGCGCGCCGCGCCGCCCACGCCGCACCACGCGCCGTCGGGCGCGAAGAGGCTCGCCAGCTTGAGCGACTGCCACATGTGCAGCAGCTCCCCAAACTCGCGCCCGCCCACCCTCCGCTGCCCGCCGTCGCCGCGTGACGCGGCGGTCGCGAGGAGCTCAAACATCCCTACCGAGCGGGAGGGGGGGGGGGGGGTTGGTCGGGGGACAAGCCTTCACCGCGGCTGCGGGCGAGCGGCTCGGGCGCGCCGAGCTGCGGCGGCGTGTCGAGCAGCGCCTTGACGCACCAGAGAGGCGTGTGCGCGCTCTGCCGCATCTCGTTCGACGCCGAGAGCCCGTCGCACGCTGCCAGCACCTCGCACATGGCCGCGTCGGCGGCACCCGCAGCGAGGGCGTCGGCCGCGGAGCGCGCACCGGGTGGTGGTGGCGGTGCGGGCGGAGCGAGGCGGCACGAGTAGATGGCGGCGGCGAGGGCGGCGCCGAGCGCCTCCTCCTCCGGCACAGCCTACTCCGCGCGGCGAGAGGTCGTGGCGAGTCGCACCGCCGGGCCGGAGCTTGGGGCAGCGTCTGGCAAGGGTCTAGGAGGTGCCTTCGAGGTGTGTCTGGAGCTGTGTCTGGAGGGGTGTCTGGAAGTCTGTCTACGGGTGACTAGGGAGTGCGTCGGCGCCTGAGGGAGCTTGGCGGCGGCGGCGCGCATCGCGGCGGAGGAGAAGGGCGGCGGCGCGCCGAGGGGCGGGAGGCCGGCCGGGTCGACGGGGGAAGGGAGGAGCAGCTCGCAGGAGGGCGGGAGCTCGGAGTGGTGCAGGAAGGGCGGCGGCGAGGCGGAGGAGGGGGAGGCGGAGGAGGGCGAGGGGTTCGCTCCCTCGGGGGGCGTGACGATGGCGGGGGAGAGGAACTGGGCGACGCCCTTCGGGTCTGCGCCGCCGAAGAGTGCGGGGGCGAGGCAGGGCAGCCCGCCCCCGCCGCAGGTCGCGTTTGGCAGCGGGAAGCCGAAGGAGAGGTCGAGGAACGTCAGGAGCGGCTCGCGGCCCGCGCGCGCGATCTTGACGAGCTCGTCTTTCTTTCGTGAGCCCGCGACCTACCGGCGGCTAACTGACTGATGAACTCATTAGCTAATTCGCCGCCACCTACCGGCGGCTCACTAACTATGAGTGACCCGTGGAGTCGGGGGCACAGTCTCGACGGCTGGGGGGGGGCGGGGCTGCGCGAGGGCCGCGGGCCTTGCTCTGCAGCGAGGAGAGCGCAAACGGGACCGCGAGCCAAAAGGAGGAGTGCAGCTGGAAGCCCAGCTTGGCGCTGAAGCGCAGCGCGCGCAGCACGCGCAGCGGGTCGTCGCGCAGCACCTGAGGACATGTCTCGGACATGTCATGGACGTGTCCTGGACATTGCGCAGCGGGTCGTCGCGCAGCACCTGGTCACGCGAGAGGGAGAGGGAGGGCTCGGCGCATCGGTCGTGCGGGGCGGCGGAGGCAGCAAGCAGCGGCTCCGCACCACCACACGATCTGCAGCCCCCTCGGCCATCTCTCGGCTACACCTCGCCTTGATCCACCACACGACTTGCAACGCCTCGGCGCCCTCCCCCGCGGCGCCGGCGGGCGCGGGCGAGTCGCTCCGCGCCGGCGAGCCTGCGGCGCCGTCCGAGGGCAGCAGCCCCATCTTGCGCGCCAGCTCCCTCTCCTCGGCGTACCGGAGGACCGACGCGCGCACCAGCGAGGCGTCTGCTCCGGCCGGGTACGGCGAGCGGAGCACGCGACGCTGGAGGTCGGCGAGGCCGCCGTAAAAGTCGAGCAGCCGCCACTGCAGCGCCTCGGCCGCCGCCTCCGGCGCCGCCGCGCCGCCGCCGCCCGAGGGTCCGCTGCCTCGCGGCTGGAAGACGTGCAGCAGCATCGCGCCGATGGTCAGGTCGCGCCGGAGGGCGTCTTGCTCGGGCGTGCCGCGCACGTCCCGCTCCGGCACGCGGTTGAACTCGTCGTACGTCTCCTCGCCGATCGTGGGCATGAAGTCGACCTCGATCCGCTCCGGAGGGCTCCCCACCACCAGGTGCGCCTTGGCGGTGTCCACATTCTTGTCCTTTGACGCGTCCGACAGGATTGTGGTGATGGTGACGGAGGAGACGTTGAGCTCGGGGCGCTCGAGGGCGAAGCCCGGCAGCCCGTGCATCACCGTCGCAACGCTCACCGCCGGGTCGCACTCCCGTAGGCAGAGCGACAGGTCGAGGTCGTCGGGGACGCTTCCGAGCAGCAGATCGCGCACATAGCCGCCGTTGACGAGGAGCTGCGCGGGCAATGCGTTGGCCTCGAGGAAGGCGAGCACGAAGGAGAGCACCAGCTTCTCCCGGTGTGGAACGCGCGCCACCAGCTCCGCCGGCAGCAGCTCGCCGTGCGCGACCGCGCCGTCCGCGAGAGCGCGAGCGGAGGAGCTGCCGGAGGCCGCGCGCATCCACGAAGCTGCGCCCCGCGAGGCCAAGCGACCGCCGCCAGAGAGGATCCCGGCCACAGCCCGCGGCGGTCGCGACGCTGACGTCAATAGGAGGCTTGACGCAATCGCGAGCAGAAAGAGCGCGATAGTAGTTTCGGAACGCGCGCTCGCCGCTCGCCACCCGCACACCAACGCGAAAAAGAATTTTACAACAAAACTCCCTCGCACAACACTGGGCACAGGACTGGGCACGGGACTGGCTCGCACTGGCACTAACACAGGTAACACAGTTGTGCGAAAAAGAATTACGTTTCGCGAAAAAGAAATTTACCGCCATGCCGGACTGGCAAGCACGGGCTCTAACACCGGTACGCCGAAAAAAGCATTTACTGCTCCGTCCTGGCTGTTCGAACTTACTTACTTGCACCCCCGCGGAGCAAAGACAGCGCCGCGGGGGAGGGGGGGGGGGGGGCGACGGCGGACGGGTTGCGTGACCAGTTTGGCTGGAACCCTGCCAAGTGCAAGTCCCGGGACTCTCCCTCGGCCCGCCGGCCACCCATCGACACCCACCCAATCCCTTCCGTCCCAAACATCTTTACCTACTCGGTCGCGGCGCCTGCGGACGCACCAGGTCCTTCAGAGACTGCGACTTCGCCAAGCCACGGCCTTGCTCGCCGGGCGGGGACTCTGCTGAGGCATGCCGATGCTGGCGTGCCTCGGCCCGCGCCAGCGCCTCACTGTACAGCGCCTCCCGCATCTCCCTCGGCATCTCCCGCTTGAGCCCCACCGCGGGAAGTGGCCCGCTCGAGCTCCTGCCACCGGGCGGCTCTTGCCGGCGGACGTAGTGCGAGCGCGGCAACGCAGCTGCGACGTGTGCCGACGTCGTGTACCACCCCTCGTCGTGCCGCCGCCTCGCCTTGGCTCTTGCGGCGCGAGCGGCCGCGCCAGCGGTGCCGAGCGAAGAAATCTGAGAGAGCTGGTGGCCTGGATCAAAGATCTGTTCCAAGTCGGCGTCCATCTCTCGGAGAGTCTCCTCGCCGTCGACAGTGGTCCACCATTTGGGGAAGGCGCGACGGTAGATTGTCTCTACGCTCATTCGCACCAGGAGCAGCAGCAGCGGGAGGATGTACAGCAGCGCCGCCCGCCGCGGGCGGAGCGAATCGCGGGCCGATGAGAAGTAGTGCTGGACGGCGCAGTAGAGGACGGAGGTTTGCCCATCCTCCGCCGACTTGGCCGACTTTGGAGCAATGTGCGTCCAGTAGAGCAGAAGTGCCACAAGCCCGATGAATCGGGTCGTGCGCTTGCACGAGATTTCTCGCAGCGCGGTCCGCATCTCTTGCTCAGAGAGCCGCCCCTCGAGCTGCTCAAACGGGAAGGAGTGCGTGAACTCCGCCTGAAGAGAGACGATGCTCTTGGTGGAGATGGAGAGCGCCTGAGCCAACTCCTCCTGCAGCTCCTCCGGCGTGTACCGGTCGTACAGACTGATTGCGCGAGGGGCGCACGGGTCCCTATCGCTGCGACTGCCCTTGCTTGGATAAGCGTCCTCGCCCTGCGCCTTGAACGGATAGAGGAACTTGAGCTGTGCGTCGGAGAAGGACATCGCACCCTTGGGCACGAGGTCGTACGGATCGCGCTGGCTGAATCGCTTTCGGTTCGCCTCGCTGCCGCCCTCACTGCCCGCCTCGCTCTTGATCTCATCACTGCTGTCTAGCTCGTCGGGCTGTGCGGGACGGCGTGGCGGCTTAAATGATGGCCCACGGCGAGCACCCAGGCCGGGCGGGGCTGCCGCGGGCGGTGAGACGTACACAGCGTCCGCGTTTCCACCGCGCGACTTCCACGCCGTCATGAAGTTGCAGCCGGACAGGGGCAGCTCCGTGCGAACAATGGCCAGGTTTGACTTTGAAGGGGCGGCGCCAATCGATTCAAGGTAGCGAACGTGCACCTCACCCGCAAGTTGCTCGTGCAAAAGCTCGTCCGGTAGTGTCACGGGCCTGTCCCGAGGCTTTAGCTGCACTGCGAAGCGCATCGGAGAGCGGGCCCCGCGGGGTGTCGCGCGAAACGAACTTTTCTCGCCATCGCGGCGAAAAAAAGAATCGTACAACGAGTGTTGTGCGAAAAAAGAATTGGGAGTGGCTTTCGCAAACCGCCTCGCAAAGAAGAATTCAAAAAAAGCGGGTATTCGCCCGCCGCGTTCCAAGACTGGTAAGGTGCCGGGCCAACTGGCCGCTGCGCGCGCTGCGCCGCGTCTCCGCGCGCGCAGATGCGAGGGATGTGGCCTCTGCTCGCCCTGACAGCACTTGCCGTGGCTAGCACCACACCCGGCTGCAGGGAGAGACTGCTCACGACCGAGAGCTATGGCGCCTCATCTTCGTCTGCTGCTCAATGTGAGGATTTCTCCGGTGTTATATCCATTGCCGGGCCGAGCAGCCTGGATTCGCGCGGTGTCCATTACCGCTACTCCTCAACGCAGCGCCATGGGCAAAAGATAGTCATCCGCGCCGTCATGAATGGCGACCACAGAAACTACAGCGGCCTGGTTGTGGGCCGGAAACGATATGCGGTCCGGCTCGAGTGGGTGGAGGACGAGTCATCCAAGGCAGGAGTTGCGTCCGCTACCCAGCACGCCACGCAGGATCTTGACGCTGACTTCATCGTGGGCGGCTACTCTTCGGGCCTGACGGAGATATCCTCAGCGCAAGCTGACGCCGACTTCAAGGTGATGGTTGCGCCCGGTGCGTGCAGCCCCTCGGCGATCGTGGGCAACAACACATTTGGGCTGCTGCCGCCGTGCGGATCGTACCACGTCAACCCGATCCTCGCCATAGTGCAGGCTGCAGAGGCGGTCGACGCTAGGCCGTTGGACTCGGCTGTGCTGCCGAGTTTCGGGCCATGCTTCACGGGAGGAGGAGGCTGCAAATCCTCGCTCAAGGTCGGCGTCATCCGATCCGAAGGCGTCTTCCCCGCCGCAACCTCAGCACCCGTGCCAGGCATCTGCGCCGAGCAGGGTATCGAGGTGGCCGAAGGCGTAGAGGGCGGGCCGCTGCTGGTGACGATACCTCGGCGGGCAACGACGGCCGATGTGGATATGGCCCTCGACAGCTTGCGTGCGAAGGAGGTGAACGTGATCGTCGCGTCCACATACATGGACGAGGCGGTCACGATCCTCAATCGCACTGCCGCACTCGACTACTCTCTCTTCGCCATCACCTTCACCGCCACGGTCGGGCTGCCCGACTACCAGCTGATGGTCGAGAATGGTTGGTGGCAAGGCGAGTTTGCGCTCGGCAGTGTGCCATGGCACCACGACCTACCCGGGACCGGAGAGTTCACGGGCATGACTTCCGCCGAGTTCTCGAGCGAGTTTGCGGCCCTGGTTGACAGTCATGTGTATCCGTCGTATCATGCCGCAGCTGCTGCTGCTGCGCTCGTTGCACTGTTCGAAGCAATTGAGCGAGCAGGCAGCCTCAACACCTCAGCCGTCGCTGCCGAATTGAGATCTATGCAGCTGCAGGAGTTCTACGGCAACATCTCGTTCGACCGGGAGTCGAATCAGCTCATCTCAAATGGCGGGCTCGTGATCCAAGAAATTGCTACCGAGGCTACCGCGGAGGATGTCATTGTCTTCCCAGACGCCTTGGCGAACCACTCGATGACCTTTCCGATGCCGCCCCTGGCGCAGCGGCGCTGCGTCCTGTTCGGGCCTGACTCCACCGCAGGCGATGACATCCCTGCGGTGGATCGGCTCTCGAGGCAGTGCTCGGGCAACGGTATGTGTACCCTCGAAGGGTACTGTGAGTGCTACGGAGACTTTGAAGGGCGCCTGTGCGATCAGTCTCCGAGTGATGAGCTGAGCACGGCAACGCTCGCCGCAATTGCATCTGTCGCAGTCGTCTTGGCTGCTGCGATCTGCATCGCTGTCTATATGCGGCGTAGACAGCGGAAGAAGAGGCTGGTGGTCGTCGACAAGAATGGGTGGACGTCCTGCCCCGAGCTCACGGCGGCCAAGGGGATCACGTTCCACGCATTCCTGTCGCACAAGTGGCCTTCGGGCGCCGCTTCCATCTCCTCGGCCCGTCTGCGAAGAGCACCCGTTCCCAAGAGCTTCGTGTCATCGTAGGCCAGGCGGCAGCGCACGCCATCCACATGAAGGTGACCAAGCACCTGCTGCCCGACTCGCGAGTCTTCCTTGACGTTTACGACCTAAAGGACATCGACACGCTGGAGCAGCACATCCGAGAGAGCGCGCTCGTGGTTGTGATCCTCACGCGCGGCTATTTCCGCTCCAAGGCGACCGACCTCCCCCCCTCCCCCCTCCTCCGAAGTCCCCAGCACGTCGTCTCATCCCCGCGATTGCTCCGCTCTCAGAACTGTATGCGAGAGCTGCGCTCTGCCATCGAGGAGAAGAAGCCACTGCTGCTGATACAAGAGCTGGACGAGGACTATGGCGGCATTCCACTCGCGAGTCTCGTAAGCGACTGCCCCGACGATCTGCGCTCCATCCTCTTCACCCCCGAGCGCGTCTGCGGCCTGGTGCCCTGGAGCCGGAAGCCCGACTTCCAGAGCGTCGCGCTGACGGCGGTGTGCCAGGCGATCCTCGCTGCGAGTGGCAATCCGAAGTACGCCGTGCCTCCGCGCGTCGAGATTCCGGGATCGCTCGGGACCCGGCCGCTCTCCCTGTCTGGCCGCACCACCTTTTGGTGCAGCCGCCACAACTTTGGCGCCTTTGCGCTCGCGCAGCAGCTAGCGGGGCACCTCCACGGCGATGTGGCTGTCTCGGCCTCGCTCGACCGGCGGACGCTCGGCCCATCGTCTGATATCGGAGCCAGCGGGAACGGCCGCTCCCCCTCCACCACGTACACCGCTGCCGCCGGCGCCACCGCCTCCACCTGCACCGCTGCCGCCGGCGCCACCGCCTCACACCGCTCGGATCGATCGCTTGGCCTGTCGACCAACCCGCTGCCTGAGGTCGAAGCAGGCGATGATGGATGTCCTACTTCTGCGGCGGTCGGGGGCGGGGCGCCGGGAGAGGACCGGAGGGCGTGGGCAGTCTCCCTCCTCCAGCGAGCAGTGCGTCAACTTCTCAACAACAGCGTCGGCACGCCCGTCATGTTCCTGCGGTTGAGCAAAAAGATGTTTCGCGGAGAGGCGCGCCGCGCCCTCCCGAGCGCTTCTCCGCTTGGCGGGCTCGCCTCATCCCCGCACCCGCCCCGTCTCGCGCTTGCGCAGGCGGGAGAGAGGCTCGAAGCGGACATCTTGCGCGCGATGGAGCGAGGCATCCAATTCGCGCTGGTCTTTCCGACCACGGACCGCTTCTCGGAGATCATAGACGAGACCCCGCAGGAGCTATTGCAGCGAGGGCTCTACAAGAACATCGCAATCGACTTCACGCCGTGGCCGCCGCACGAGCGCATCACGGCAGCGCAGCTGGCGCTCACGCTCGGCGCGAAGGAGGACGACACGAGGAGGGCATGGAGAAGGTCGCGAGGCGCGAGCGTCAATCCGTCTCTAGAGCGGCGCAGCGGGCGGCTCAGTCGGCAGGTCAGCGCTTCCGACACGACCGTTCCTAGCAGGAGGCTGCGCCGCAACAGACTCGGCTCCGCTGCACCCGTCCCCGCCCGGACCTCGGCAACCTGGAGGCTGTGATGATGAAGTCTGGGAGGAGCATGATTGTACCTGTCACTTCATGTTTGGAGTTTGCTGGTGCGGTGTTTCTGCTGCATGTTGGTATGTGCGCACATGCATCTGCATGGATACTCTTGGTTTGGTGCCGCTGTATTTAGCGGCATGGTTTTGAGGCGGTGTCATAGACCGCCCCATCTACCAGCGCGACAAAGGTCACTTCATGTTTGCTGGTGCGGTGTCCGGTGTTTCTGCTGCATGTTGGTATGTGCGCACATACATGCATGTGCAGGGATACTGTTGGTTTGGTGCCGCTGTATTTAGCGGCATGGTTTTGAGGCGGTAAATAAATAAATAAATACAACGGACACGCCAAACGAGGGGTGGGAGAAGGACAGGGTCCCCACCTGCACGAGCAGGATCTTGTAAGGACGATCAGGGACACCGGGGAACGGGAGCGGGGAGCGCATCGCGACACGGAGGGGGGCTGGGCAGGGTTCACCCTCACGACAGGGTCCCAGGGATTCCTCTCTCGTATAGGACAGGTTGCACCCGGCGGCACGGGGGCAAGCGCGGGCCTCCTACTGGTTGCGCTCTCCTAGTTCTCCTGCTCCTGACAAGGGACAGCGACAGGCTCGCAGCACGGTGGACTCCCTATCCACTGGCGATCTCTCTCGACTAGCGACCTTCCTCCGACTTCTCACCGGCAGTCTCTTCTACCACAGGCAGACTGACACGTGGGTGGCAGTGGCGGTGATAGGAGTCTCCCACTCTGTGGGCCTCGCTAGAAGTGCGACCCCTGCGCGTGTCCTCGCCCTTGATGGGGAAGGGGCTGTGTGTCTGTGCATGTGTACAACATGTGTGTGTGTGTGTGTGTGTGTGTGTGTGTGTGTGTGTGTGTGTGTGTGTGTGTGTTTTGAGGCGGTGTCATCGCCCCATCTCCACGTAAGTTTTCTTTTCACCACTTGTGTGTCTATGTCGCTGCCCGCGAGCGCGCTCGAGCCCTTTGCCGACGCGGATGTAGACGAGGAGGAGGCCGCGGGCATCGCGATGGACTCGAGAGCTCTCGCCGACGCGGCGAGCTTGCTGCTGCCAGAGCTGGAGGAGCCCTCCACCAGTGGCGCCTCAGGCGTCGCGGAGGCTGAGAGTGCAGCAGGCGCTGCACTGACGTCGCAGCTGGCGCTGCGCGTGCTCCGCGACGCCATCGGGCTGCAGCTGGCGCGCCGGGGATTTGACGGCCTCCGAGCGAATCCCCTCTCGCTCGTGGCTGAGATGGCGGCGCACTTCATCGGTGGGCTCGGCGTCCAGCTGCAGCTGGTCGCACCGCCGCGGACTGCCTCTCCCGAGCGGCGGCCCGACCCGATGGTGCCGTATGTGCTGCGGCTGCAGCGGCACACCAACCTCCGCAGCGTCGCCGAGTGGAACAAGCTCAAGGAGCTCTTCTCGCGCAAGACAGAGGCGCCGCGCCCGCCGCCGGCCTCGAGCCCCGCCCGCAGCCCTCAGCCTGAGCCCGGCACGCGCCCCCGACACACCAGGTCAACGCGATGGCGGGCAACTCGCTGCTCCAGCTGGTGAGGCAAAAGCAGCCGTGCCTTGGCGGATCCCCGCCGCCAGCCGTGCTGCAGCTCTACACTGCGCTGCGCGCGACGTGGCACTACAAGATGACTCCTCAGGGCCGCACCGCGCACACCCAGGCGGGGCACGCCGACGGGGCCAACCGCGCGGCGGTGGAGCCGAACGCGCTGCAGGCCGCGCTGGCGCCCTCGGAGCTCTGCCACGTCGTCTCGCTCAGTGCAAAGGCGCGGCGCACGGCGGACGCGTGGCTCTCGGGGCAGCCGGGCGGAGGCGGCGGCGCTCCACCCCCCACACTCTTCCCGGGGCCTCTCCTCGTCCGGCCTCAGACTGCCGACGGGGCGGCCGCGGCGCCGGCGGCGGCCAAGCCGCGCAAAAGGAGCAAGACGGAATGATCCGCTGGGTTTTTCTGCGCGCTGGGGGGCTGGCATTTGCATGGTAATGAGCTAATGAACTGCAAGTTGGATCAAAAGGGAACATCCAAATTTTGGCTGCCCACACACCCGCGTTGCGCGCTGCTGCTGCTGATCGAGAGGTTGAGATGCGTGCAGGTGCCCTCGTATGGCTGCACTTGTCTTGTGCCCTCGCATTCCCGGCTGCTGTTCCTGACGCCGGGCTGCCCACTATTTGTGGCGACCAAAACCAACCTCCGACAGCGAGGTACCCCGGGAGCGATTGGACAGATGCCGAGGCGCGCATAGCTCGTTGCAGCGCGGTGAAAAAGGGCCTGCGGGTGCGCCATCGCCACCCCACGGCCGATTCTCTTCGACTTGCGGATGAGCCCTGGTCGCCTTCCTAGGTTGAAGGCAGCGGAGTCGTCAGCCTGCCCCATCTCATCTCCGTTTCCGGCGACGTGATGGTGACAAACACCGCGCTCTCAAAAATCAAAATGGAGAGCCTCACCACCGTTGGCGGCTTCGTCGATGTGCGCCAGCCCAATGGCGCCATACACGACATCGCACATCAGCTTACGGGGCCCGCCCCATCCCACCATTCCGTCCTCCCGCAGATTTCTGAGAATGCCAAGCTCACAGACATCGAGATGGAGAACCTCATCTACATCGGCGGCGACCTCAACGTGCGGCCCTAGCCCAATCCCTCCCTCCACTCCTCACCACCAAGATCTCTGCGTGCAGTAGCGCTCCTCGCCATGCTGGCTACTTCTCCTGTACTGCCCCGCGATCGCACCCAGGTGGACGAGAACGAGAGCCTAACGTTCCTCGAGATGAAGAGCCTGGCGTACGTCGGCCGCGACCTCACCGTCAACTCCAACCCGCTGCTCACATCGGTCGAGACGGAGAGCCTCACAACCGTCTATGGTGATCTGATCGTGGACTATAACCCCGAACTCGGCTACCTCGAGCTCGACAGCCTTGACAGCGTCGGGAAGAACTTCGTTGTGAGCTGTCCCCGCCCCGCTGCTGATATTGCTTGCCACTTGCACTGTGTTCGCGAAACAAAAGAGGACAAGTTGAGCCGCTCATCTCCTCTCGCACCAGGTGCATAATAACAACCCGGACCCACAGCGATGCGCCATCGGCATCCTCTCACACGACTGCAATGAGAGGTGCGAGTGCAACCCAATCGAGGAGAGGTCCGACTCATTTTGACGGCAGCGGCTGCTCTGTCCTGCCTAGCGAGCCGTTCCCTCTCATGCATGCATGCCTCGCCTGTTCGGGCAGCAGCCGCCAAGAGAACAGCAGCCGCCTGGTGCACAGAGAGCCGGCCAGGGCAGAGCGACACACCAGGCCAACATGGACGACAGAGGGGCACGTGGAGTGCAAGTTTGAGTTTTCATTTCCATGCCGAGGGTTGATGTTAGTGCGCGAAAACCCGATGTAAAGTGACACGTTCGCTTTCCTCTCGCTGTGATCTTGTGTGAGCCTTATAGAGCTGCTGTCTGTTGTCTCTCTAAATATAAAATAAAAGAAAAAACGGACAATCAATCCAAGCTGTCGGCGGGCACCTGTTCCTTTTTACCCATCATTGTGCCCTGTTTTCTTTATCGTTCAACGTATCTGTAGTGTAACTCACTCCTGAGCATTAATTCTCCCGCACGTTACTCTTGGCCGAGGAGACCCCACCGGACCGATTTGAGTTTTGGGACGGCCGTACTTTGCGCTCGGCCTGCTCGGCCTGCCATGCCCGCGCGCGCCTCGCCCGAGCGCAGCCACCGACGGACCTGGCCAGCCTGTTCCTGGCTTGTGCCCAGCCTCTCCTTCCGCTGCCGCCGGCCTCGCAGTCCCGCCTGCCATGCACGCTGCAGAGCCTGCGTAGACGCCACAGACGCCAATTCTGCAGCCCACAGCCCTGGCAACTGAGGGCGAGGGCCAGCAGTATACGACGACGACGACATCTCACACCCCGCGCTGGCCAGCGCCATCAGCCCCTCACGGCCCGGCCCAACCTCCCTTCGCTAGCGCCATCGCCTCCAGCGCCTCCAATCAAGTCGCACTCTCTTCTTCAGCCAATGCAGCGGCAGCACCACGTCAGAGGCCGGGCCGACTGGGGGACCTGCAGCCAGCCATGCCTCCCCCTCCCCACCCGCTTGGATCGAGCAGCTCCACCTGCTCCACCACCGCGTCTCGAACCTGGAGGGCATGTTGGGCTGGATGGTACCAACTATATCCCACGGCGACAACTCCGTCTTCCAGGAACCGATCTTGCGACCGAGCTAGACGGCTTGAGCTTCTACCCAACCACCAAAGCCCGTCTCTTCCGCCTCACCCACTCCCCTTCCGACCCTACTCTCTGGATGTTCCGCCCTTCGCTCGGCCTCCCGCTCCCCACCGCACACACCCTTCCTCTGTCGGGCCTGCACCAGCAAAGCCCACGTGTGTATCGCCCCCATGTACCATTTACAGCTGTGTCATGAAGCATTATAGATCGAAAGGTAGGGTCCCAAAAAAATTTTACAACAAAACTCCCTCGCACAACACTGGGCACGGGACTGGCGCGCACTCTGGCACTAACACAGGAAAAAAAGAAACTTCGCTTTTCTTTGTTTCCATGGAGGAGGACGTCGGGTCGTCGCACATGGAGGACGTCGGGTCGTCGCACAACATAGGAATCCTACCAGCAAGCTCGATGAGCTGCGAGCATCAGCACGGCGCAAGCGGCTCGGACGGCGCTGCGTCCGAGGCTGGCCACTTCCCGGCGCGGAGATTGCCGTCACGGCTCAATCTGTTCCTCCCGTTCTCGAGCGCGGTGGCGGAGGCCTCCCCGTATCCTTTGGCGTCAAAATGCGCTCACTGCAACCGCAACCTCGAGGCCGGCGGCGCAGAGGCGCGGTGGGGCACCGGTCTGTGTGATGAGTCTGGCAGCCTAGATGCCGCACTCACGTGCCCTTCGTTCGGAGACCTGCACGACTCTCGAGCGCGTCTCTCACCGCGCCCTCTCCGCTCCCGGCGCGCAGGTGCTACGACGCCTGCGACAAGGAGTGCAAGGTGTGCTGCAAGCCGCTGCAGCTCAAGCACCACTACCTGCGCTCCGGCTTGTGCGACAAGTGCTTCTACAGCTGCGAGAAGGCGTGCCGCACGTGCGACGCGACCCTCGCGCTGCACGAGCTCCACTGGGGCTCCGCTCTCTGCGACTCGTGCTACGGCTCCCTCCCGAAGCGGTGCTTTGTAGACCCTTCTCCCACACAGACTCGTGCCACCGCTCCCACCCAACACCTCCGAGGCGTCCCTCGCCACGCGCGCTGTGAACGGCGCCTGCTCACGGCGGGTGGCGTGTGAGCAGGTGCCGCGCTTGCGAGGCGTCCCTCGCCACGCGCGAGCTGTGAACGGCGCCTGCTGTGTGAGCAGGTGCCGCGCTTGCGAGGCGTCCCTCGCCACGCGCGAGCTGCGGTGGGGCCTCGGCCTCTGCAACAACTGCTACAACACCGTCCGCCCCACCGGCGGGTACGTGTGCAAGGTGTGCCGCGGCAAGCTCTCGCTCGGCCGCAAGTCGGCCGCGCTGCAGTGGGGCTCCGGCCTCTGCGACTCGTGCTACCACTCCTTCGACCGGCAGTGCCGCTCGTGCCAAGGCCGGATCGGGCTCGGCCAGCTCAGGTGGGGCACCGGCCTCTGTGACCAGTGCTACGAGATCAAGCGCTCGCTCCACAACCGCGCCCGCATCTCTGCGACGCCCGACGGCGGAGCGAGCGGCGGAGCGAGCGGCGGCGGCGGCGGCTCGGCGCCGATGTCGGGAGCGGTTCGTATGGTGATCAGCGCGCAGTTCGTCTTTTACCTCGCGCCCGCGGTGATGCTGCCCTCGCTCTACCTTCACATCTCCGAGGCGGATTGGGGCGGAGCAGGGCGCGGCGACGAAGTGTACGCGGCGGTCCTGACGACGGCGACGGTGCTGTCGATGGCGACGCCGGTCCCTCTCGGGCTGTGGGCGGAGGCGCGCGGCGAGCGAGAGGTGTACGCGGGCATCACCCTCGTCGCCGCCGCCGCCGCCGTCGCGCTCGCCGTCGCCTCCTCCGCCGCCGCCTTCGCCACCGCGTGGGGAATGCTCGGTGCGCCCGTCTCGCTGCGCGGCGTGCGCGCAGTCTTCTTCGCGCGGAACGTGCCGGCGCACGACTTGTCCCGCGTCGGCCAGCTCGCCTCCGCCGCGGGGCTGATCGGAGCCCTCGCCGGGCCACTCATCTCCCAGCTCCCCCTCTCCTTCGCCACGTCCGCGCTCCTGGCCGCCGGACTGCACGCGGCGGCCTGCGCCGGGCTCTACGCTTTCCTCCCGCCGCTGCCGCGCCGCCGCGCCGCTGCGGCGCAGCATGGCAGCAGGGTGCCCGCGGAGCCCGGCAGCGGCGGCGGGGAGGCGCTCACTGCGGTCGTCGGCGCGCACTGCGAGCGGTGCGAGCGGCTGCTGTCTTGGAGGGAGCACCGCTGGGGCAACCAGCTGTGCGACGAGTGCTGGGAGACGTGGTTCCGGCACCACAAGCGGCGGACGCTGCTCTGGTGTTGCGGCGTCGCGTTCCTGCTGGAGCTCTCCATCAACGCGGGAGTGCTAGCCACCTTCCAGCCGCTCGCCGTCCGCAAGTTCGGCTGGGGCGGCGGCCACATCGCCACTGTCAACTTCCTGTCGGCCGGCGCGTCGATCCTCGTCTCGCTCGGCTCGGCGCACGCGCGGCTGCCAGAGTGGAAGCAGGCGTTCGCCGCCACGGCGCTCTACCTCGGCGCCGTGCTGCTGGGCGCGTGGCGCCGCGGGCTCCGGGCGTGGAGGTGGGGCGTGGCTGTGAGTGGACGTTTGGGCGCGGAGTAGGCACTTGGCCGCCGCTAGTCGAGTGGCGCCTCCTCGTCGCGCTCATCGTCGGGCTGAAGGCGCAGGTCCTCTTCATGGCGCCCTTCACCGCCATCTTTTCGCAGATGATTGGCGGCCAGCGCGTGAGCAACGCGCTCGCGACGATGCTCTGCCTCGCCCCTCTCGTCGGTGCCGCCACAGGCACCGCCATCGCGCCCCTCTGCTTGCGCCACGCCGACTCGGCCATCATGCCCGTCGCCGCGCTGCCGGCGGCCGTGGCGTGCGGCGTGCTGCTCGTCGTGTGGGCGCGCGCGGGCGGCCACGGCGGCCGCACCGCCAACCCGCTCGCCAGGCAAGACTCTGGCAAAAGTGCCAGGGGGGCTTTGGCGGTGAGGCTCGGCAGCCTGAGCCGGGCCAGCGCAGCCACATCCACCACGGCCGCCAGGCTGCTCGAGCCGCTCGTCGCCGCCGCTGAACGCCAACGACCACTGCCGCCGGCCTCTTGAAAAACAATGTGAACCAACAATCTCCCGTGTGACTTGAGTAAGAAAGTCTAAGAAACGAGACGCCGCGTACGCCGCGAGTGACGAGTACAACACACAACCAGAGTCGAGACTCGAGAGAGTCGTTGTGAAATGATATGTGAACTTCGCGGACAAAACCAGCAGGGCAAGCTCGGAACTACACGGCTCTGCGCTCCTCTAGGGTCTTGCCGTCACATCATCCCGCGCCGGCAACACTTGTGCTGCGCACAGCGGGGGTGCGAAAAGCAGCCGCGGGGCGCCGCGCACTTGCAGCGGGCGTTGGCGGGTGTACAGGCAGTGGAAGAGTAGGCAAGCGCGCCTCGTGCAAGAAGGTAGAAGTTGGGGAGCTGCAGACGAAAACCGTGCGTGCACACATTATCTCAAACAAAGAACGCGCCGCTTCGCAGCTGCGCGCACACGCCCGCGCGGTGACTCATGCTATGGATCCGCGATGCATTTCTATCTCTAGCTGCAGTGCTTCATTGGGGCGATTGGCCTTTGGCAGTAGCAAAGGCGGGCATGACATGCTGTTAAGGTTGCTTAGGGTTAGGCGGCGGCGGGCTGGGCGACGGAGACGATGGCGGGCAGAGCATATCGCCCCCAAACATGCAATTCGGATCGACATGCTGCTTGAGCTCGCGAAGGTCGTGCAGGTTATCTCCGAACGCGCGAACCAGAAGGCTTTCGCGATCGTCCCAAGGCGCCCATGCCCAGGGCTTGGCGTCCACGATGTACACGCCGATTGGGTCGAGGTTTTTGACTAGAGCAGCGACCCAGCGGGCGCACGCCTGTTGTGCGCCTTTAGAATTTGAAGGGTCTACCACGCTCTGGTTGTAGGCGCACGTGATGGAGCAGCCCCAGTCTTGCTTGCGATTAAAGTACGCCATGCTGCTGTCGCTTGGCTCCTCGACTTTGCCGCCGGTGTTTTGCAGCGCAATGCTGGCGGAGATGACGCCAAAGCCGGGGTCGTTGGGGTTGTCTTGAAATACTTCCGTGAGGCCCTGAAGAGCATTGAAGAAGTGTTGGGCAATCTTGATGCTGTTCTCGTGGTGGTTCAGCTTGATGATGACGCTCTGGATTTCGAAAGCCGTGTAGGAGTTGCAGTCTGTAGACAGGGGCTTGCAATCGTTGGGAGGGGGCGGGGGCGGGTTCCCCCAAAACACCATCTTGTCGACACGAGCCTTGAAGAAATTCTTCGCATTGCTCGTGTTGGCAGTAAAGCTTAAAGGTGGGAACGAGAAGTCTGCGGCGTTGACGAGGTAATCGGGTGTTTTGTAGACCTTCGTGAGCCGACCATCTGTGGGGCTGCAGGGCGATGGCGGCGGCACCGGCGGATAGTGTTGAAGGAGCTTATCCAAGGCTGCGCGGGCCTCCTGCGCGCAGCAACCCTCCGTTGGCACCTCGAGGCCCCCATTGGATTCTGCCGTGCAGCTGGAGTCCACCTTCACTAGACCGTTTCCGGACGCATAGAAGGTTTGCACGGCGTCGGTGCTGTCTCGGTGCCTGCCCACGACCATGTTTAGGCTCTGGTTGTTGGGGTTTTCGTCGGGAGACGCCGATTGGTCAAGGAACTTTTGCATAAGGACGGTGTCCTGGAGGGGGAGGGCCACGGCGTCCATCGAGAAGAAGGAGTCCATCTTCGGGAGGGTCTGCGTCTCGACCGTCACGCTGGTCACGATGCCGAGGTGGGGCGCCCCGCCGCGCACACCCCACCAGAGGCGCGCGTCCAAACCTTGCGAGGAGTCCGACAGGTGATGAATCGCCCCATCCCTGGTGACGAGGGTCACTTTCCTGATGTGATCCACCGTGAGCCCGAACTGACGAGCGAGGTAGCCCTGGCCGCCCTGCGAACGACGCGGGAGGGGTGAAGGGCGGGGGCCGGTTGCCCGGTGGATCTCAGCCGTGCCTCTCACCTGTAGGAGCAGCCCGATACCCACGCCATAGTACACGCCCACAGGGAAGAGCTGGCCCACCGCGGTGGTCACCTGGTTGATCATACCCATCATCACGCCCGGCCCGACGGTGATGCGGCGTGCGGCCGGGTCGAACTCGATCTTCTGCATTGCGGGCTCCTTCATGCTTATGAGGATGGCGACGTCGGAGGAGCTCATGACGCTGCACCGGACGAAGAGTGGGCGAGGGAGTCAACGATTGGTGGAGTGGTGCACCCGCATTCACCCACGGACGCCCAGGGTACTTGGGTTGGCCGGCGAGCGCTTTCAGGTCTCCAAGGGTGATGTGGAGCGAGGCATGAGAGGGTGAAGTGGAGCGCGCATGAGCGGTCAGGGGAGGCGGCGAGGCGACACGGGCGCACCTGTGGCCGCCTCCCAGAACCGAGATGGGCACCCCGTACTCGTTGGCGATCCGAACAGCCTCGGTCACATTCCCGACGCTCTTCGGGCGCACGATGCACGGCGGCTTCTGGTGTCCTGGAAGCGGCAGCAAGGCGACCCGCTGTGCGTGCGCACTTTTGGCTCAATCTAGCTCGAGGGCTACAGCGCTCGCACCGCTGATGAGGTTGTTGAAGGACCTCATGGTCCCGCTGTATAGCCCAGCGTCAGTCTCCAGCAACCCCTTTTCAAGTAGCGCAGTGCAAGCGCAACAGATCTGTCCGGTAACCCAGTCGTGCTCGTGGTCGGGACGGCACTCGTCCGCCGGCGTATTGCACTCAGGCTGTGAGCTGCTTCGAGCGGCGTAGCGAAACAGGTCGTCGCGTGCGTCGCATATGTCAAGAGCCCGCCCCCCAAGAATGCACGAGATTCGGGGGACCGGACCAAACAGATTCACTCGTGGTGTCGCCACGGGCTCTCCTTCCTCAGCGGGCTCAGCCGCGTCCGTGATCACGACGGAGAAGAAGGGGAGGGCGAGGAGCAAAAACCGCCGCAGCGACATGACGATTTCGCCGCGCGGCGGGCGCTCTTGTGTGTTCGATCTGTGATTTTTGTGTACCGAGGCGGTGCCCGGTGTGCCGAACCTGTCGGACCTTAAGGTCTGTGAAGAGGAACATCACCCGTTTTCATTCAAACAGATCGACATACACACAGATTTACCGCAGTCCACAAGCACAGCAGCCCTACCTCGTACTACCTGCCCGCGGTGAGCCAGCCCTTTCCTCAGTGTTTGCGGGGACCTGCTTCCTATTTATCGTCTCGTTGCGAGCTCGCCTTTTTATTTCCCCCTGAATTTGCAAGGCCGAATTAATTACCTTGATGGATTGCCGTTATGTTCCCTTCCCACCACGCACCAGCAGACCCACGGCCGGAGGGCCTGCCTTAGCCAGCACGACAGAACCATCTTCAGCGATGCTCCTGGTGGATGTCCTCCTCTGTGTGGCCGCCCTGACATCGCTTGCCGTCCCCATCGCCTACTAGTACGTCAAGGGACAATGGCTCGCGAGCAGTCGAGGGTTCTCACTCGGCGGGCGGTGTGCCCGCAAGGCCACAGACGCCGCACGAGAAAGGTGCAGTGTCGCTTGGAGCGGGAGATGCTCGGGTCGTGTCTGCTCAAGGATACGTCCACGCGGAGCCACATGACCCGCCCCGCACGTCGCCTCTACAGATCGTGTTGAGATTACTCTTTGTGTGTTTATGCCGGCAGTTGTGTTGATGTGTCTTCTAGTGTGCCCCAGTCCACACACCCTTGTCGTGCCAGTGTGCTGTGAGAGAGAGAGGTAAGTAAGTACCACCTTCGTAAGTAAGTAATGAGGTGAAGAACAGTTAGGCTCGGACTGGACACCGGCGCGGTTTGTGGCTTGTGGGTGGACGCCTGGTGGACGCTGGACAGAGGTCAGGATCTCAGGAAGGAGAGAGTCTCAGACGATGTCGTTGTCGATGACGGCGATATCGCGACACACAGACAAACAAACTCACAAACACCACTCCGACTCGCTCGACTCACGACCAGGCACGACCCCGGCCCACGACCAGGCACGTAACGCGGTTGAGGGCTAGAGCAGCCGGCGGGCTGCTCCGCGCCTCCAGGCTCCAGCAAACTCGCCGGCCGCAAGGCACGGAGACGAGAGCATGTGGGCTGTGGGGTTAGGTGAGTGAGGTGTCTATCAGAAAGAAGCTCCCCACACGGGCCAGGCACCAGTCCCTACCCCTTGCTTATCCTCTTTTGGAGAGGGTAGGTAGGGCAGGTAGGTGTTATGCCGCTGCTTGTCTTTCCGACCTAAAACGAATCGTTCAGCACTTGGAGCACTTGGAGTGCAGTTGGTAACCGCACACCCAGGGTCGGGGAGCTGAGAAGCGCACCCAGCAGGCCGGGTGATTGGTATCGGGCTACGGACACGCCTCCGCGACTTCTTTTTTTTTGCTTGTGTTAGTGCCAGTGCGCGCCAGTCCCGTGCCCCGTGTCGTGCGAGGGAGTTTTGTTGTAACATTGTTTTTGCGCGCACGTTTGAAAATTCTTTTTGTCTATGTTAGTCAAGACACACACTCGAGCGTTGTTGGCATCGACCCTGGCATCGACCCTTTCTCCCTGACCTGAGCCTCTGGATGCTCGGCCCGACCTCTTTCCTCACCAAGGGCAAACCCGGCCAGGGCGCCAGTGGGCTTGGCCTCGGGCCGACGGACACGCTCACGGGCGGCAGGAAGACAGCCGCGCTCGCCGGCGACGCCAACGAGGCATCATCCGCCCGCGGCAGGAAGGGTGCAGGAGAGGATGGCCGACGCAAGGCCAAGAAGAACCCAGACCAGGCGCGAAGAGCCGCGACGACCACTGGCTCCGGCCTCTCCAAGTCGGCGCCGCTGCGCGGAGGAGGTGGAGGGCCGTCGGCAACCGCCACGCTGGGGCACTCGCTCGCGCCCGGTGGCAAGGGCACGATGGCTGACGAGCTCGACATGTCGGACCTGAACTCCAGCATCGAGATCGATGCCGGCCACGCTGATCGCTCACTCGACGCGTCTGACTCGTTCGAGCTGGAGGAGCTCGGCCGCGGCTCGGCCGCCCCTGCCTCCTCCTCTTCGAGGGCGGCCTCCAAGGCACGTGCACCGGCGCCGGCCGCCACGGCGCGCGCGCCGCCCGAGAAGGAGGAGCTCGAGTACTCGATGTCCTTCGAGGCCGACGCCCTCCCGCCGACTGCGCCGCAAGAGCCGACGGCGCTCACGCCGGCGCTGCCCGTCCCTGTCGCGCAGCCGGTCGCTACTCCGCCGGCCGCTACTCCGCCGGCCGCTCCGCCGGCCGCTCCGCCGGGGCCGGTCGCAGCCCCGTCGCGCGTCAACCTCTCCAACATCAAGCCGCTCGTGGCGAGGGCGGCCCCGCCGCCGCCCTCCCACCCAACCGCCGCCTCCGCGCCGCCCACCCCGCCAGCGGCGATAGTGGCGGGCGGCGGCGTGGGCGGCGGGTGGGCGGCGGTGGTGCCGCCGCCGGCCGACGCGACGCGTTTCGAGGCGGCGCTGTCGGCCGCGGAGGACGCGCGGCGGCAGGCGGAGGCGAGCGAGCGACAGAGCAGGGCGCAGGTGCGCGAGGCGAGGGCCGAGGTGCCGGAGACGTGGCGAGGGTTGCCGGTCAGCTGTGAAGTGTGGTGCTGGCTGAGGAGGCGACTTCTTTGCAGGCGGCGGACGCGCGCGAGGCGCTCGACCGACTCCGCTCGCTGACGCGCGAGGGCCCGTCCGGCGGCGCGCACGTGGCGCACGAGATCGAGGTGCAGCAGCTGCACGCGCGCCTCGCTGGCGCGCTGAGCGAAGCGGAGCTCACCCGCCAAAAGGCAAGACTGCCCGAGATGACCCGAGATTGCCCGAGATTGCCCGAGATTTCCCTTGAGGCGGAGCTCGCTCGCCGACAGGCGGAGCAGGAGGTGTCGGCGGCCAAGGTGGAGGCGCAGCTCAGGGTGTCGCGCGCAGACTCGTCGCTCAAGATAGCGGAGGAGAAGCTTGCCCAGCTCGCCGCGCAGCACGGCGAGCGCTCGCTCCACCTCGAGCAGTCTCGCAGGCTGAGTGAGCAGGCGGACGCACCACTGAGGAGGCGGTGCCGAGATCCGGTGTCCACTCACCAGTGCCCGCTCACCACGGATGGCTGGCTGGCAGGCGGCGGCCTCAAAGGAGGCGGCGGCCGAGGCGCAGGTGCGGCGGCTGCGCGAGGAGCTCGCCAGCAGCGAGCGGGCACACGCTGCCAAGGCGGCGGCAGCTGAGGAGCGGCACGCGCAGGCGATGGCCGCGCTCAAGCGGCTGCACGAGCAGGCGGTCACCTATTCACACCGCACGCCTGTGAAGAGACGCTGTTCACAGCTCGCGGCTGCACGAGCAGGAGGTCGCCTCGACGGACCGAGCCTCCCACCGGACGGGCGAGCTCTCGCGGCTGACCGAGCAGGCGCGGGGCGCCCTCGCGGCGGCACGGCGGCCGCACCCTCGGCCGCACCCTCGGCCGCACCGCCGGCCACACCTCGCCCTCGCCCCGCCGAGCAGGTGCAAGGCGTGCTCGCCGCGCTGGGCAGGGTGCAGCAGGAGGTTGCCGCGTCGGTCGACGGGCGCAACGCCGAGCTCGCCGCGTGGCAGGACCGGCGCAGCGTCGCGCTGTCGCAGCAGGAGGAGGCGGCGCGGCTGCGCGACCAGTCGGCGGCCGCGGAGCGGACACGAGTCGAGGCGCTCACGGCGGAGCTGCACGCGTCGGTCAGCGAGCTGCGCACGGCGCACGGCGCGGAGAAGGAGCAACGGCTGAAGGATCACGAGCTGTTGCTTCACTCGCTGCTGATGGGCCATGGGTTGCAAACTAGGCGCGGCTGCTGCAGGAGCACGAGCGGCTGCAGGCGCTCTCCGAGGCGTTGCAGCGCGAGCGGGCGGCGCTCGCCGAGGCGACCTATGCCGGTTCGCTCTCTCTCTCTCCCTCTCGGAGCTGTGCCTGAACTCTCCCGGAGCCTTCCCACAGGAGCTCTCCGCCGGCCGCTACTCGCTCGACGAGGCGCGCGAGCGGTGCGCGGCCGAGGCGGCGCAGGCGAGCGCCGGCGTCGAGGGACAGCGGCAGCAGCTGCGCGCGGCGCAAGAGTCGCTGATCCGCGAGCGGGAGCGGCTTTCTCGCGAGCGGGCGGCGGAGGTGGCGGCGCACGGCGAGGCGGAGGTTGCGCTGCAGCGCGAGCGGGCGGAGGTGGCCGCCGAGCGGGCCGAGGCGGACGAGGCGAGGACCCGCGCGCGCGCCGAGCTGGCGGAGGCGCAGGCGGGGCGCGCGGCGCTGGAGCGCGAGAAGGCGGCCTTTGGCGAGCAGGTCGAGGCGCTGCGGCAGCTCTCGCTGCGCGTCAACGAGGAGTCGGCTGCGGTGGGGGAGGCGGTGCAGCGGTCGGCGGCGGAGCTGGCCGAGGCGAGGGAGATGGTCTCCGTCGCGCAGACGGAGCGGCTCGCAGCGGAGGCGGCCGGAAGGGAGGGGGGGGGGGGGTGAGGGAGGGAGGGCGAGGCGTCCCGCCTCTCTGACCGAGGCGCGAGCTGGTGCGTGTGCTAGGCGGCGCGCGAGGCGGCCGAGGCGGCGAGCCGCGACGTGGCCGAGACGCGGCGCGTCTTCGAGGCGGAGCGGCTCGAGGCGGCGAGGGAGCGGAGGGAGATGGCGCAGCGGCGCACCGAGCTCGACCGCGCCTCCGAGGCGATGCGCGCGATGAAGCTGCAGCTCACCCGCCACGCCGCATCGTACCCCGCGGGTGCAGAGGCGGGGCTGGCGGCGGGGCTGGCTGGCGTCAGCCTGGCGAGCGCGGCGAGCGCGGCACACATCGGGACGCAGCAGCTCTTCGCCTCGCACGCGCCCGTGCTCGAGTCGCGCCGCTACGTCTGCCCCGCGCCGCAGCTGCGTCCCCAGTACCTCCCCGCGCCGCAGCCGGGAGGCGCACCCCCTCCTCCGCCGGTGGCCTGCCCTCCGGCGACACCCGCGCCAGCCACGGCCCCCGCCGCCGCGCCGCCCGGCGAAGCCGCGCCGCCTCCGCCCGCCCCTCCGCCCGCGCCGCCCACCCGCCCGCCCGCCGGGGGCGACGCGTCGCTGCTCGACACGTGGCAGCGCGCCTGCGAGGCGACGGCGCGCGAGACGAGGGCGCGTCACGACGACATCCTCGCCAAGCTGCGCGCGCCGCCGCCCGCGCCGCCGCCCGCCGCCGCCACCGACAAGGAGAACAAACGGCTCGGCGTGAATCGCGCGCCGCCGCCGTCCACCTCTGCGGCGGCGCGCCACTCGGCAGGCAGCGCGAGGCCCTCGTACGGCTTCCCCGGCCTGGCGCCGATCGAGACGCCCTTTCCGTCGGGCGCGACGACGCCGATCCCGCGGCGAGCCGCGTCGGGCGGCCGATTCCAGGTCCGACCGCGCTTGTGACTTGGCGCGGGGTGCCCCACTTAGGCGCGACGTGTGGGGTCGCGCCAGCACGGCTGGCGGCGGCTCCTCGCGCTCCTCGTCGATGGTGTCGCTCCACAAGACGCAGCTCTCGAGCTGGGGCTCGGAGGCGTCGCTGCCCGTCAAGGCCGCCGCGCCCGCCGCCGCGCCCGCCGCCGCGCCCGCCGCCGCATTGGCCGCTTCGACGTCTGCACCCGACACGCCCACCTCGCCAGCGGCTGCTGCGCCCGCCGCGGTGCTCCCTGCTGCCGTGGCGGAGGAGCAGGAGGGGAGCTCGGACGGCGAGGGGGTGTAGGCAGTCCGGGTCTGCCGTGCAAGGGCTAAAAGGTAAAGAAAAAAGTAGGTAAACTTCTCCACACACACGAGGTGGTGGGGCAAGGGGGGGCGACCCTCGCGTCTCTCCACGTCTACTGCCGTGCAGGCAGGTCAAAATCTCGGTGTGTACTGTCATCTACTGAGAGTGACTCTCTGTGAGTACAGTACTATACTTCGCGCCAGTTCGCACCTGTGTCGAGAGCAAGCAGCCCCTCTTCCCCTAGGTTAGGTAAGGTTCGGGTCCCCAAGATTCTAAAAAAAGAATTTACAATGCGAAAGATGCCGTGCTCGCTCGACCCGACGCGCGCGAAGCGCTCGAGGATCTCCCGCCGCAGCTGATCGTGCGTCACTAGCTGATGTGCGTGCATATGGCACGGCTCGCTGGCGCTCTCATCCTCCTCTGCACTGACTGCACGGCTCTCGCATACCAGCGCCAACCACGGCTGCTGCAGCGCCAACCACGGCTTCGCCAACCGCTGCTCACCGCCACGGAGGAGCCGCTTCTCGCCTCCGCCGACACGGCCAAGCAGACCGCTCTCCCGCCGGTGCCTCCGCTGCTGAAGGGCCGGTCCAACTCGGCCGCCATCTGGCGAGTGGCCTGGCCCTCCGTCGCCATCGGGCTCCTCCGCGCGGCGCTCGGCCAGGTCGACGCGTGGTACATCGGCCGGCTCGGCAGCTCGGAGCTGCAAGCCATCAGCGCCGCCTCGTTCTTCATATGGGTGGTCTACATCGCCGGCGAGCTGTCCTCGGTCGGCGTGCACGCCCTCTCCTCCGCCGCCGAGGGCGCTGGCGATCGCGGCGAAGGAGTCGGTACCGCCGTCGTGCAAGGCCTCTGGTTCTCGCTGGGCACGTCTGCGGTGCTGGCCGCGCTCGCCAGCGGCCCACTCCTCGCGCGTTACTTTGCCGTCGTCGGCGGGAGTTTGCGCGACGCGCTGCTGGCGTGAGCAGCACCTCCTCACACAGCCAGCCGTGAGCAGGCGTCGTCGACGCCGCCGTCGCTCGCGCGGGCATCGCGTACGCGCGCGTCACGGCGGTGTGGGGCGCGCTGCCCCTGTCCGCAGAGGCGTGCGCTCTCGCCGGCTTCAAAGGCATCGGCGAGACGCGGCCGGCGCTCGCGATCGCCGCCGTCACTGTGCTGCTCAATGTCTGCCTCAACGGCGAGCATGCCCATGCCGCCGATCGCGACTCAAGCCCATCCGCCGCCGGTCGACTCTTTCCCTTCCCCGTGTTAGGGCCGATGATTGCGAGGTACGGCGTGGCGGGAGCGGCGTGGGCGACGAACCTCGCCGCCGCCCTCGGCTGCGCCGCCGCCCTCGCCCTCCTCCCGCGGCGCGGCGTCCGGATCGCGTTCGCGCCGCCCTCCGTCCGCGCCCTCCGCCGGATCGCCTCGATTGGCGCGCCGCTAGCGTCGTCTGGCCTCCTCTTCTCGACCGTCTACGTCGCCCTGGGGCGCGCCCTCTCCAGCCTCTCGCCCGCCTACCTCGCCGCCCTCGGCGTCGGGCACCGCATCGAGGCGATGGCCTACACGATGTGCGAGGGCTTCGCTGTCGGCACCGCCACCGTCGTCGGGCAGTGGTCGGGGGCGCAGCGGCCGGCTCGAGCCCGCGCCGCCGCCGGCTCCGCCGCGCGAGTCGCCGTGCTGAGCATCCTCCCCGTCCTGCTCCTCGTGGCGCTCTGCGCGCCCGCGGCGGTGCGACTCTTCGCTCGCGATACGGTCGTCGTCACGGCCGCGGTCTCGTACTTGCGCATCGTCGCCGCGGTCTTCCCGCTCATGGCGGTGGAGGCCGTGTACGAGGGCGCGCTGACCGGCGTGCAGCAGACCCTGCCGGTGCTCGTGGTGGGCGCCGTCGGCAACCTCGTGCGAGTGCCGCTCGCGTTCGCCCTGCTGCCGCGGCTCGGCGTCGAAGGCGTCTGGTGGGCCATCGCGCTCTCCACCCTCGTGAAGGCGCCGGTGAAGTGGCTCTGCTTTCGCCGCGCGCCCGTGGACACTGCGAAGCTAAGCGTCCACCCGTCGTGATGGCGAGCTCCGTACGTGCTTTATATCTTACCCATTTTCCGGCGGAAAATCTTTTTCCGCGCCAGTCCCGTGCCCAGTCGCGAGGAAATTCCGTTTAAGATTCTTTTCCAAGATGGCGCCGCTGCCGTCGCCCTGCTGCCGTCGCCTAACGGAATGTTTCGACGCTCCGAGCCGTCCTATCGACCTGTCCCGACCAACGACGGCGACAGACCGGCCGCTCCAGCGCGCCGAGGCGGCTGCTCGCTGATCTACGCGCTTGGCCTGACTCTCGCGGGCCTCGTGCTAGGCTTCGCCGTGCGGGCGAGCACCCGCTCCGCACGAGTGCCCGACTCAAAGTACCCGCCCGCATCAGTACACCGACCTCTTCCATCCGCCACTCCTGTGCAGTCCCAGCCGCTCCCCAAGCCGCCGCCGCCGCCGCCGCCACCGCCTGCTCGACGCCATCGGGAGACCGCTGACATGGAGATGGCCATGGCGGCGGCTTCCACCTCGAGCGCAGGCTGCGACGCACCCGACGAGTGCAGCGTCGATGCGCTCGTGCGGCGGCACGCCGTCGACAACACTGTCATCGTCACCTTTGGCAACGCACGGCAGCGGCACTTTACCGCGAACTGGGTGCTGACGCTGCAGAGCGTGGGCGTCTCGGCGGGCATCCTCGTCGGCATGATGAACATGCAGCCGTCCGACCCGCTCTACGTGCCCTTCGCCCGCGCGCTCCGCGGCCGCGGCGTCGGCGTGTACACCGTCAACTCTCCGCAGGTCAAGCAGGCGCCGCAGGGCGGCCGCTGGTTCCACGTGGCTCCGCTGCTCCGCACGGGCGCGCGGCTGGTCCTCTCCGACTCGGACGTGGTCTGGCTGCGCGACCCGGTGCCGTACTTGCGCGCCCTCGAGGCGGCGCACCCGAAGCTGGACTTTGCCGTCTCGACCGACGCGCAGGGCGGGACAGACGGGCGGAGGCGCGCGGGGCGGCGGGGCGTGCGGAGGCAGGGGGGCGGGCGGGGGCGGGCGGGGCGGCGGGGAGGTGGGGCGGGGCGTGGCGTGCAGCGCGGTGAGGTGCGCCCCTCCCGCCCGTGTCGGCCCCCTGCTGCAGGTTGGGCGACGAACTCGACGTCGAGAAGTGGCGCGCGTGCGGCACCTCGATGAACATAGGGATCATGCTCTTTCCGGGCGGCGCGAGGGCGGGCAGCCTGAGGGCGATGAGCGAGGCGACGGAGCACCTGTCGATCGACAACAACCTGAAGCGCGTGGACCAGGGGCCGATGAACTACCGCTGGAAGTACGGCTACCGCGACTTCAAGTGGCCGAGACCACTCTTCGCCGAGAGGGACTCGAGCGGGCAGCGGCTCTCTGCGCGGCGGTATGACAATCAGCATGGAAGAATAAGAAGTACACGAGATTAGGCAGCGGCTCTGCGGGCTCGTCAACGGGAGCGTGGTTGGCGCGGTGCTTCCGGCGGCGCAGTTTTGCAACACGCTCACGCACGACGTGCTGCGGCTGTGGAATGCGTCGGCGGTCCGCCCGTTCGCGCTACACGCCACGTGGCCGCGCCAGCGGGGCGAGGCTCCTCCCGGACCTGTCCTCGACCTTCCCCGGAGCGGTTCTGTAGGTGGATGCGGCAGCAGGGCGAGGCGTGGAAGCTGATGCGGCTGCGCGAGGCGGGCGTCTGGTACGATTCGCCGCGCTGGTACGGCCAGGCCAGCCGCGGGGAGGAGGCGGCCTCGGGCGCGGCATCGTCGCTCGGGGAGGACGCGGCGCGCTGGATGATCGCCCCGTCCGGAGAGCACGCCGCCAAGCACGCCCCCGACCGCGCGGAGCAGCAGGCGGCCGCCGGCTTCGTCACGTACGACGCGAGCGTGCCCGCCGCGCTGCTCGAGGTGCCTCGGCTGGGCGCGATCGGCGAGGTGCCACTGCACCACCTGCGGCTGATGCAGTGGCAGCTCCGCCGACTCCGTTCCGCCCTCTTCGTCTCGCGCCTCCTCCGCCGAGCGCTCGTCCTCCCGCCCACGCTCTGCTCGTGCGAGCTCGGCTTCTTCACGAGGCACGTGCACGAGGCTTGCCGTGCGCCAGACCACCCGACGCTGCCGCTGCCGTACCTCTGCCCGATCGACCACTACCTCTCCCCCGCTGCCCTCGCCGACTCGCCCTTCGCCCACCGCGAGCGCGGCTTCCTCGAGGGCAAGCGCACCGCCGGGGCGGAGCAGTGGCGGCGGCAGGTCGTGCTGCCGTGCCCCGCCGGCGCGTCCTGCTTCGACGGTTCCGAGGGGCTCGCCCTCGCCACGGGCGCGAGCGAGGCGGAGCTGGTGAGGCGTCTCGGCCGCGTCGACGCGCCGGTGCTGCACTTTGCCGACATCGAGGCGGCGCTCGGCCGCTTCGAGAGCAGCGCAAAGGGCGCGGAGTGGCACGAGCAGGCGCAGGAGCTGCTCGACGCGTACTGCTGCACCACGCACCCCAACTTCATGAAGCGCGGCCAGACGGTGCCGTACATCCTGCCGCACCTGCCCGCCGCGTGGCCGGGGAGGCGGCGCGACGACTACTTTGAGCCGTACCGCAAGGCGCTCGGGGCGCTGTTTGAGGCGGCGGGCGACAACGAGACGGCGAGGGCGTTTCGGGAGTGAGTGAGTGAGTGAGTGTGTGTGTGTGTGTGTGTGTGCGCGCGCGCCTCAAAACCTTCGTCAAACTTCGTCTAGTGAATTGAATAAAACGCCTCACGAAAAAAGAAAATAAATCCAGAAGCAGCACCAACACGAGTCAGTCACGACGCGCCGCCAGTCCCCAAAGGTCAGCAGTCAAGCCCTTCGCCCTTCCCGCATGCATGTGCATATCCTCGTCTCTTCAGAGCACCCGGCGCATGCAGTCCCACTCCTCGATGCCCGCTGACCTCACGGCGTTCGCCCAACTGAGCACCCAGCCGGACCACCGATACGCTGGCACGCTGCTCATGTACGCCGCTTGGAGCAACGACGAGCACGCAGTCGGGGCCCTCCTGAAGCAGCACGGCAGGCAGCTGGCAAACTTTTGCGACTATGATAAGCGTACGCCGCTCCACGTCGCGGCGAGCGAGGGCCACATGGCAATAGTCAAGCTGCTGCTCGAGTCGGGCGCAGCGGTGATCCGGAGCGACCGCTGGAACGGGTCGGCCCTCGACGACGCACTGCGCCACGACCACAAGGAGATCGCGCAGGTGCTTCGCGACGCCGGCGCGCAGCTCGGAATGTCTGCGGAGCAAGCTGCGGCGAAGCTGACTTCGGCAGCTGCGGCGGGCAATGTGCAGCGCGTGAGGGAGGTGCTCGATGACTACTGCCTGAGAGATCTGCCGCAGGACTATGACAACCGGACCGCGCTCCACCTCGCCGCGAGCAACGGGCATGGCGAGGTCGTCGCGCTCCTGATCGCGGCGGGAGCGCAGCCCAGCATCTGCGACCGCTGGGGCGGCACGCCGCTGGACGACGCGAAGAGGCACGGGCACGCGGCGGTCGTGGCGCAGCTGGCCGAAGCGGGCGGCGTGGGCGGCTCGGGCCTTCAGCGGAGCGGCCTCCGCCGCGAGGACTCGGTCAGCGGCGGGATGGCGCTCCTCGAGGACGCGACGCAGGTGAGCTGGGAGGAGATCGAGCTTGTCGAGAAGATCGGCACGGGCGGCTTCGGCAACATCTTCCGCGCGCGCTGGCGCGGCACGCCCCTAGCCGCCAAGGTGCTCAAGGAGGGGAGCAGCGAGGAGAGGAAGCTGGCGCTGCGAGACCTGCGGATCGAGTGTGCGATCCTGCGGCAGCTGCGGCACCCCAACATCTGCATGCTGCTCGGCGTCTGCCTGTACCCGGGGCGTGAGACGATGCTCTCGGAGCTGATGCGCTGCTCGATGGAGGACATGCTCCGCACCTTCCGCGAGGACGAGCCGATGCCGGTGGCGCGCGTGGTGCGGTACGCCACCCACATCGCGCAGGGAATGAACTACCTCCACCTCTGCAACCCGCCCATCCTCCACCGCGACCTCAAGCCCGCCAACCTGCTGCTCGACTTCTCCGACACGCTCAAGGTGGCCGACTTCGGGCTCGCCAAGCTGCGGCCGCTCGTCAAGAAGGGCGGCGGCGAGGGCGAGGGCGAGGGCGAGATCGGGATGGAGATGATGACTGGGGAGACGGGCTCGTACCGCTACATGGCGCCAGAGGTGGCGAGGCACGAGGACTACACCGAGCGAGTCGACGTCTACTCCTTCTCGCTCGTGCTCTACTACATGCGGTGCGGCTCGCCGCCCTGGCCGCGCCTCGGTGGGATCGCCGCAGCGAAGGCGGCGGCGCTGGAGCTCTCCCGCCCGCCAGTGCCGCGCTTCTGGGACGCGCGGCTCGCGTCGCTGATCAAGGACGCGTGGGCGGCGGACGCGTCCGCGCGCCCCAGCTTCCAGCAGGTGCTGTCGCGGCTCGGCGAGCTGAGCGCGGGGCTGGGAGGGGGCGATGTTGGTCGCTCCGCTGAGTATTACTTTGCCACGTGAGGGCTAACGTTCTCAAACTCTTGTTTATTATATACGTCACTTGTCGAAAAAGAGAGTGATGCCATCTCCCTGACGGACGACCCGCACTGGGAGTGGATCGCCAGATCCATCCCTGACCCTGTGGCCGCTAGGGTGCATTGCCATTGGGCTCCTGTCAGTCCTGACACGCGGCACAGCGCCCGCTCCGAGCTCGTGAGTACTCTCGTCCCTTCCTTCGCTCCTTTGGCGCCGCGACGGCTTGGCTCTTTGACCCACTGCCCTCTGCCGCCGCCCCACGCCCCTCCGTCGCTGCACAGTTTCGTCCTCAGACTCTGAGCCGCTCTCGTCCGACTCCCTACCGCCGCAGCAGCGGCGGCGTAGCCGCCCACCCGCCGCGCAGCTGATCGCGCCCAGCACGAGGAGCGGCGTGAGACCGAGGAAGAGGAAGATGAGGGATACCATCGAGTTTTGCATCGGCCGCGTCTCGGCGCCGTTGGCGAGGGAGAACTCGTCGTGGTATGTCCATGGCGGGTCGGGCACCGCCTTTTCCCACGCGCGGAAGAGGCCAAACTTGACCACCGCGACGATGAGCCACGCTAGCGCCCAGAGGGAGCAGTAGAGCCGGCAGCTCGGACGCCCGTCCAGCTCGAGCGCGACCAATGGACCCGCTACGCCGATGAACATCGCGTCACCGAGCGACAGCTCGTAGCCGAAGCCGTCGGGCTGGCCCGAGCGGCACCCGCGATTTGGCTCAGGCCACTGCGTCGCGTTGGCGCCGCAAAAGCTGTCGCCCCACAGGTCCATGCGGAACAGCGCGTACGGCGAGAAGGCGCAGCGCGCAAGAAAGAGGAGAACGTGCGCTAGCAGCCCGAGCAGCGACCAGAGCGGCAGCCAGACTCGCATGTCGCGCCCGCGCACGCACCTCGGCCGCCGCTCCCCGGCGGGCCCGTACTTGAGGACGCGACGCCGCTGACGCCGCCTCAAAAAGCAGGTGAGAGCCACCACGGTGGCAAGTGCCGAGGCGCCCAGCACCCACGACACGATGCCGGAGCCGCCGTGTGTGTCGGGCGAGCACGAGCCGGTGACGAGCGAGGTGCAGCCGGAGGGCGCAAAGAAGAGGCGCATCTCCACAGAGGAGGTGTGGACCGCCGCACTCTGGCCGAGGCCCTCGCCATCGTCAAAGTCCTCCACGGCAATCTTGATGGCGAGGCCGTCATCGGTACTCGCAAACGCCTCGCTGCGGTACGAAATTGACTCGAGGATAGCGGGCGCCGTGTCAGCAGCCACAAAGAAGCGGAGCGTCGCATCGTTGTAGCCGTTGCCGTCGGTGCACGACTCGAGGCAGGCGTACCCCTCGGCGCACGCGTGAGGACAGTAGCCCAGCAGCCGCTTGACGAAGACCATCGAGCTCTGCCAATTGGCCCACGAGAGGGCCTCGCTCGCGAGCTGCTTGTGCGACGCCTCTGTCACGCCGCCGCTGCCCACAACCTTGAACTCTAGGCGGTACGTGCCGACACCGAGGTCGGGGTCGACGATCTGCACGGCACGTGCGATGCTATTAGCCATGTTGGGGAGGTAGGTGGTGTTGGCAGGAGCGAGGATCGTCGGTGGGTCGTTCACGTTGTAGACGCGGACCGTGTGCGTCGAGTCTGGCGAGGTCTCGCCGGCGGTGCCGAGGTTGAAGGCGAACAAGTCGTCGGTCACGTTGAGGAGCCGCCCCGCGCGCGTGCGCGTCGGCACCGAGAAAAAGTCGCGGTCGCCCTCGTACACCAGCCGTGGGCAGAGGAAGGCCGGGTCGTCGGCACACACCCGGTTCGAGTCCCATAGCACGATTCCGCTCTCGTTGATGACGGCGCCGCGGCTGAGGTAGCCACCGGGGTCGTACTGCGAGAGCGTGCCGCTTCGTGGGAGCTGTGTGATTGTAAAGGCCGTGGTGGCGGCTGCGCCACCGCCGCCAACGCGGGACGAGCGCTGGTTGATTCCACGCAGCTCTATCACGGTCGGCTCCTCCTCGAGCGCCTCAGAGGCGCCCGCGATCGCGTCGAGCCCACTGAGTATGGTGATGTCATAGCGTGCGGTCGAGACCGACTCGAGCCCTTGACTGTCGCGTAGCTGGTACTGGAAGGCGTCATGCGCTACGACGGTCAGGCCGGTGGTGCTGCCAAAGTCGTAGGTGCTGCGGTAGAAGAGAGTGGCGTTTGGAACGGATGAACCAACGCCGAGAGGCGCGCCGGGGGAACCGTCGTCGAGCACCTCACGCAGCTCACCATAGGCGGGCAGGCTTCTAACGATTAGCCTAGCGCTGCCAACTGGGTGCGCTGGGTCCTCGGCGTCCACGTCGGTGCCGTTTGCGAGAAGGAGCGTGGCGAGGCCGAGGTAGACGGTGGTTGCCGCGTCCAAGGGCACCGGAGGATCGTTGACGGGTGAGACCGCAAAGGTGAGGAGCGCGCTGTCGCTGCCATTGTAGGCGGGTGCGTCGTCACTCACCGTCCAGCGCAGCCTCGCATACGTCCCTCCCTCGGAGTGCTCGTCCGCCGCAGGACGAAAGTAGAGTGGAGGCGTGAACATTATAGCCTCGATTGTTGGCAGCGGCTCGGTGCAGTCTGAGTCAGAATAGAGAGCGCCACGCTCTAGGGACGATGGATCTAGGGAAATGGACAGTGTCTGGTTGCGGCTGAATGGTGGCTGATTATCAGCGTCCGATGCGAAGCCGTTGAGCGGCGGAGTCTCGGAGCAGCTATCCTCGGCCACAGTCATGACCGCGCCGGAGGCCAGCGGAGCCGAGTTGTCAATTCCGGCGGCGTGGTTCTGCGCAACCTCAAGAGGCATCAGCGGCCTGCCGTAGGCGGCGAACATGGCAATCTCTCCCTCCCACGGATTGAGTGCACTGTTGCCGACGTACCCGTCGCTGCCGAAGCGCAGCGCGTGGTCCTCTGGCCAGAGCGAGTGCGGCTCATACTCTGCGGGGCCAAAGTCGTTCAGCGTATATCTCGAGGTCAATGAGCCAAGGTCGAGGCTGTACGATATATCGAGTGCGCTCCCAATATTTGGTGGGTCGTCCGCGTCCACGACACGGATGCCGTCAATGTAGAGAGCAAAACGCGGCGCCGACCCTGCGGATGGTGCGCTGCCAAGATCGTGCGCTAGCGCGATAACGAGGTGGTGAAGTCGCTGGGCGTCGATCTGCGGAAAGCCCGCGATCGTGCAGTAATTTGGAAACGCGGGTAGTCGCACGCACCCTCCGCCAGGCAAGGCGAGGTCAATCTCTATGCAATTCTGTTCGTTCTGAAACAAGACCATGCTGCCTTCGGAGGTGAAGCTGCTGGCATCCTCGCGTGACGTACCGCAAGCAAGCTTGGAAGACGGAGATTGCGATCCCACCGTCGCAATCGTCCGCCGCTGTATATCCTGCGGTGCTCTCTCCATAGGCCTCAGCCAAAGCTCAAGCGTCAGCCCGTCGCGCATGCCGTGTCCCAGCTCCGCCTCTTCGCTGGTCGAAGTATGCAGCGGCGCAAATCGAGCTCTGCCTGCGGGGCAGGTCGCCTCGCGTGCAGAGCAGCAGCAATCTGACGCATTGAACAGAACCCCATTGCGCCCCTCAATGCAGTCTGCGCCCTGCCCGGTTGGCCGCAGCAGCCGCTGCTCGCGACGGCCCGGCTCGGCCCAGATGGCTAGGGCGCTCGAGGAGCTCTCTGCCGCCGCCCACTGAGTGAAGGCGCCGCGCTCGCACTCGCGGTAGTCAAACGTGTAGTGAACTCGCTCGCCCACGGACACGCGCTCCGAGACTGCAGAGAGCGCCAGAATTGGAAGACTCGCGATCGCCGCCATCGATCGCAGCCATTGGCGAATCAAACCACCAGGAGTTGCAACCGGGCAGCCCAAGTTCGGCGCGAAACCGTCGAGGGCGTTCGGCTGGGCTGGCCATTTGCCCTGGCCGCCGTCGAGCAGGCGCCCTGCCGAGTCAGATGGCGTTCGCGGATCTCGGCGCGATGGCGAGTGACCAGGAAGAGGCGGCGCGGAGCCGCTGCAGCGAGAGGCACTCTGTGCGCTTGACAAGGACGTCGGCAGACATCCCCTTTGGGATCACCATCCTCTCTGCCCGACACCCCAACGCGCTCGGCTACATTGTCAGCACTAAATGCGGCGGCCCAGCGGACGGGCAGCTTCTCTTTGGCGACTGCGTGGTATCGGTGGACGGCGAGGCGGCGTCTGGAGCCTATGTGACAAAGGAGCTGCTCGGAGGAAGGCTGCGTGTGGATTTGGCTGTCGAGCGAGGGCCGGCATGCATTGCAGAGGCGGAGGCCCTAAGGGCACAGGCCGAGCTTGAGGGGACGGTGGATCACTACTCGCGAAGGAGTCGGAGGTAGAGGTGCCAAAAGGCCGCATTTTAACCGTGTGTCGCACGGCGCGTCGAGAACGGCGCGGAGAGGTCAGAGGACTACGGACATGTGGCGTTGGGGTGCGTTTGTTTTATGTTATTTCTCATGTTCTCTAGCCCACAATAGAGCTCTATGCGACGCGCTATCCGATTCGGGGTGGAGCTCTCTGAGCCTCTCCCTCACGGCTCTCCCCATGGCTCTCCCTAACCGCTCTCTCACAGCTCCGACTTGCCCTCCACCGTCCCGTCGTCGTCGTCGTAGTCAAGCGGCTCCTCCTCTGGCAGCTCCCCGTCCTTGCCGTCCCACTCCTCCACGCTCACCACCTTGAGAGCCGAGGCGGCGACGGGCTCTGTGCGGATGCCTCCGCGCAGCACGCCGCCAACGAATGTCGCCGCGTGCTTCTCATCAAAAGCGTCGCGCATCAGGGCGAAGCGCCCCTTCTCGAGCGAGACGGCGGCGAGCGCGGGGTACGAGGCGCAGCAGCGGTCGAGCGCCTCCTCCAGCGCCGGCTGAGCGCCGCCCTCGGACCACAGGAAAGTGTAGAGCCGCCGGTTCCGCCTTGCGATCGCCTTGAGGGTCGCGATGTGGGCGTCGCGGCCGTCGGCGCCCGAGTCGAGGATGTGCGGGAGGAAGGCGACCGCGCAGAGGGTCCCCTTCTTGCCGCAGAGCGAGCGCCACTGCTCGGCCGACGTCAGCTGCGGCACCTCCGCCTCGACGCCGGACGTCTCGAGCGCAGACATCGCGTGCCCGACGATGTCCTCAGCGGTGCGGCCGCCCTCGTACGGCGTCGCCGCGCCGCGGTTGAAGAACTTGATGGTCGGGTAGCCCTGCACGCCGTGCTCCGACGCCACGCCCGTCGCCTGCGTCGCGTCCACTGCGCCGAGCTTGAAGCCGCTCCCCTCGAGCCGCGCTGCCGCAGCCTTCCACTCGGGCTCGAGATTGCGGCAGTGCCCGCACCACGGAGCGTAAAAGGCCACCAGCCAGAGGCCCTCCCCCTCCATCACGCGAGACTCGAAGTCAGAGTCGCCAAGCTCCTCCACCGCCGAGCCCGCGCCCCAGCCGGAGTGGCCGCCGCCGCCGCCGCCCGACGACGACGCCCGCTTGGGCTTGGGCTTGGACTTGTCCCCTCCGCTGCCGCCACTGCCGCCGCCGCCGCCGCCACCGCCGCTCTTGGCCATCTTTCTCAGCCCCGAGATAAGCGACGACTCGTCCCTTGCGCCCTGGTATGTCTCGGGCTTGCGCTTGTTCGAGCCAAAGACCTGGATCGACGGGTACCCTTTCACGCCGTACTTTCGTGCGAGCGCGCCCTCGGTGGTCGCGTCCACCACGACGAGCTTGATGGTCCCTGGAGAGAGCGCCTTCGTCGCCTTCTTCCACGCGGGCTTGAGCGCTTTGCAATGACCACACCACGGGGCGTAAAACTGGACGGCGACCGGGCCATCGTGCTTGAGGACTTCCTCGTCAAAGCTGCTGGCAGTGGCGACGACGACGCCTTCCTTTCGGGCGGCTGGGCCGTAGATGGCGGCGACGAGCGGTAGGAAGGCGAGCATTCTGGCGCTGCCCGCGCGTTGTCGCAGCCTGGTTCGCAGGAGATAGCCGCTAGGAGAGGGCTGTTGACTGGCCGCAGCGCGACCGCGCACACGTGTCACCAGCTATTCACAGTACTCGAGTAGCCGAGGACGGAGACGGGCGGGCCTCACGCGGGACTCACCCCGAGACCCCACCCCGGGACGCGCCCGCTGCGGGTGAGGCCCCACCCCCGGGGCAGCGAGGGGCAGGGGCGGGGCGGAGCGCCCCGGGTGCCCCCACCCCACCCCCCCACCCCCCGGGCACCCGACCCGCCCATTCAGCAGAGTAGAGTGGGGTCACCCGTTTAGTTGATTTGTAGTGTTCTGTGTGAGCGGTGGTGCCGCACGGGCCGCTCTCCCTCGCCTCGGGGCGTGGCGCTGGTGGCCCCCCCCGTCCTCGGGCTACTGTGATAAGCACATAAGCAGCGTGCTATCGATCAGGATCTCGTAGCACGCGTCAACCTCCCATCCCCGGTCTCCGGGAGGCTGGGTCTGTCAGCAGGCGGGGGGGTATGGTCTCGAGGTGGTTTGCGTGAGAGTATCATACCCTATCTCACATTTACTTGATAAACCAGCCGATCCAACAATCCTTTCACACCGGACGGTAGAGCCGAATCTGACGGCCAGAAAGCTCACCAGCCTCGCAACACATGCCATACCCATCCCTGACAAGCGTGGTTTGACTCACAGAAGCCGCAGGCCACGTGGAGACATAGCTACGTGACCACGCAAAACACGCCCGGAGACTGCTCACATCCCGATATCCCGGGCTCCAACAATGGTCCCACTATCGGGCCTATCGCGGTCCGACGCCGATCTACTTGGCTGTCCCCAGCCCAAAGGTACCGGGTGCACCCAGCCTGCCAAGGGCTCCAAGTTGGGAAAGTGAGCGCGCTTTGCTTTCTTTCTAAAAAAATTTGCTTTCGAAGAAAAACGAGCACGCATATTCTCCCCCCTCCATTCTCTCCCCCTTGAGCGAAATCATAAGTGGTCAGCGCCTCGAGGCGTAGGTTGCCACGACACACTCGCACGCGCGTTCCATCCTCGAGCTGCACCACGTACCGATCGGCTTCAGCTGAGTAGCCGACGATTGCGCCACTCTGCTCATTCATGACGGTGTGGGCAGCAAGCTTGCACAGCGATACTTTGGTCCCTGCAGGCGGGACGCAGCAGTTCGCATCGACGTCATCATCGTCGTTTGCCATCTCGGCGTCGTCGGCGCATTCGTGCTTTGCTCCGTACATGTCGACTAGTGCAGCGCGGCCAGAGCTGGTTTGAAGCTTCGAGACGAGTTCGAGCACCTGCAGGCGTGGGGGCTGCGACTGGTTGGGCGCGAGCATTACGTGCGGCAGCGGCAGTGGCAGCAGCGGCTTGCCTGCGGCAGCTCATCTGTGCCGGCCGCATCTAGCACCATACTCATAACGCTTTTTGTCTCGGACCCTCGACGCAGGTTCTTCTTGGCGTTGGCACGCTCTTTGCCGCCGACGATGTTGTACGTGCCTCCTTGCAATTTCGCTGCGTGGACACTCCATTCTTCCACCACGAGCTCGAGTGTGTCGGCCAGCGATCGAGAAGTTGCTTGTTTGGGCCGTGCGACATCGAGGAGACGCTGCAGCATCTTGACGGCGTAGCCGTCGCCATCGTCGGGGTCCTCGCCAGCAACGGCTCCGCTTTCGCCCACCTTCCTCTTGCCGCCAGCGTGGCGGAGCGTCGAGTGCATCGTCGCTAATGCGCGCGAAACGGACGGATGACGGTGCAACTCCGCTACCACCCCCTCAGTTGCGGGGAAGAGACTTATAAAACACGCCCGGAGACTGCTCACATCCCGATATCCCGGGCTCCAACAATGGTCCCACTATCGGGCCTATCGCGGTCCGACGCCGATCTACTTGGCTGTCCCCAGCCCAAAGGTACCGGGTGCACCCAGCCTGGCCGCAGGAGGGCGGACCCGGGCCGAACCTCCCACTCAGAGGTCCATTGAAGTCGTCCGCGGCGCCGTCCCGAAGCAGCAGCCGCGGGAGCGGGAGCGGGGAAGCTCGTACTCGGCCCGACGCGATAATGTTGACAATGCAATGCCAACTGTGCGTACAATGACTTGTACACACATCACCTGGGTCGTGATGGTCCATATGAAGGACAGACAGAGTCACGCACATCGCCTACACGGTCTGAGGGTGGTGAGGACTGATACATGCCCGGGTCGGGTTGAGTGCGCTCGGAGAAGAACAAAGTGTGAACTATAGGCCAAATGCGCTGGTCAAGGGGACAAGAGGAGTTGTGTGTGACAGGGCTGCCTGGAGCAGCCCCAAGCTGGAGGCCTTCCTCCACAGAGACCCGTCAAGGAGCGTCTTCTAGCATTGTCTACACGACTGTCACGGATCACGCAAGGCCGCTACGGAGACGAGCAGCTCCGAATCCGCGGCAATCCTCATGCATCCAGGCGTCACAGTCAATATCAGTGGTCTAGCCACCGCCATGCACAGCTTGACGTCGATGTCTCCAGGCTGGAGTGCCTGTATCCTTTGTTACGCCGCTCGGAGGTCTGATGGAGCCGCAGAACACCTGGGGCTGTGAGGGCGTCAGGCGGTGCCGCAGATAGACTTCTACCTCATAGCGCGCACCTATCTATCCGTGCCGGGCCCTGGCCGCCGCCAGCGGACGGTGCTCTACCAGCAAGGTCACCTACAGGGCACATTGTTGGACTTTGGCGGCCGATTTGCGCTCGAGCCGCCGCGCGGGAATCAGCACCGGCAGGCAGCGAGAGCACGACTGGCGACCGAGAAGCCAGCAGTGCTGCGCCGACACATGCCGGTCTGGACAGTGCGCGAAGCAGCCGCATGCGGCCTTACTGAGGCCGAGCGCGCGGCGATTGTTGGACGGTCACGTCCTTTCGGTTTATCGGGACGCGCCGGGATATCAAGTAAATGCGAGATACGCCGCAAAAGACGGCAGACTACTCGCTCGTCATCGTCGGCGCTGGCCTCATCGGCAGCGCAGCTGCCCGCCACGCGGCTCTCGGCGCGGCGCCGGGCTCGCGGATCGCCCTCGTCGGACCGAGCGAGCCGCAGGGACGCCAGCCTGGCGAGTGGGGAGCGTTCGGCGCGCACCACGACGAGGGCCGCATCACCCGCTGCACCGACCCGGACCCAACTTGGGCGCTCCTGGCTCAGCGCTCCATCGACCGGTACGCCGAGATCGAGGAGCAGAGCGGCGTGCAGTTCTTCTCCGAGGTCGGCCATCTCGCCGTCGGCCCGGCCGGCGCGCCGTCGCTCGTTGCCCGCGCCGCCAACGCAGCGGCACAGGGCGTGCCTCACGAGCTTCTCGACGCCGCCGCGCTGCGCGAGCGCTACCCGTACCTCTCCTTCCCGGCCGGCGCGGCGGGCGTCTGGGAGCCGCGGCGCAGCGGCCACATCTCGGCGCGCAGGCTGGTTGCGGCGCAGATTTCCGCGGCGCAGCGCTGCGTTCGGCCGGGCGTCGCCTTTGAGCGTGTCGACGAGTCAGCTGTGGCGGTGGAGGAGGCGGCGGCGAAGGCCGCCGCGGGGACGGATCAGGCGACGGGCGAGGCGGAGGGCGAGGCGCCGGCGCCCTCGTACCGCGTCCTCCTGCGCGACGGCCGCGAGCTGCGCGCGGCCCGCGTGCTGCTCTGCTGCGGCGCCTTCACCAACGGTCCGAGCAGGCTGGTCCCGGCGCCGCTGCGCCTGAGCAACTTCACCACGCAGACAGTGCACTTCTCGCTCGGCGACAGCGACGCAGCCCGCCTCGAGGGGATGCCGAGCGTGATTGCAAAGTTCCCCACCTGGTGGGCCTACCTCCTGCCGCCGATCCGGTACCCAGACGGACGGACCGTCCTCAAGCTCGGCGGCGCGAGGGTGGAGGATGCGTCCGCCCCCGCCGCACGCCTGGACGCGGCGGGCCGCACGCCTGGGCGGGGCGGCACGCGGCCGCTGCTGGAACCGAGCGACCTGCTGACGTGGTACCGTTCGGGCGGCGACGCGGCGGCCAGGTGTGAGATGGAGGGGATGCTGCATGAGCTGGTGCCGGGGCTGCAACCGCTCGAGGTTCGCTCCGACGCATGCGCGAACTGCCGCACCGAGACGGGCCTGCCCCTCGTCGGAAAGGTGCGTGGCCAGCTATACGCGGCCGCGGGCGGCAACGGGCTCGCCGCAAAGTCGTCCGACGAGATTGGGCGGCTGGCGGCACTTGCGGCGCTCGGATCGCTCTGCTGCGGCGAAGGCGGTCTACAGCGGTGGCAGGAGCCGGATGATGAGAGTGAACTGCTCGCGAGGGAGCGGTTCGCGCCGTGTTGAGAGATGAAATAAATAAATAAAACGGACACCTCTACTAGGAGATGGGTTGAGAGATGTGTTCGTTTGCGAGCTCTTGTTTGTCTTTTGTCCAGAAAACGTACCTGGCAACAAGATGTGAAAAATGAGATTCATGAGGGAATGTGAAATCCCACTCCCCAGCCTAGGGGTCAGGGCTCTCTAGCCCGTAGCCCGATGCCGATCATCCGGCCCGCTAGGTGCGCTTCTTAAAGCCGTACCCGTAGGAAGCTCCCGCCTCCCCGGCCCTGGATGTGAGGTTACTAACTGCACACTCCAAGTGCTCCAAGTGCCCAGCCCACCGGACTTACAACTCTTCTCTAGTAGACCGGAGCGGGAGGGCATGGCCTACTCGGGGAATGCTACATGGTGTGGTGACCGGTCAACTCTCCCAGCGTCGTCGCATGGCAAAGGCCATGGGCCACCGAGTCGACGACGAGGACAGGGTGCGCGCGGGCGGCCTCAGCAGCGGCTCGGTTTGGCGTGAAGAGCTTTGCCCAGTCGCGCGGAGAGCCTCTCTGCGCCTGCCCAAAGTACGCGGCCTTCAACCTCTGGTGGAGCCCACTCGAATGGACAATGAAGGGGCGCGAGGGCTGGCCAGAGTAGTTGTACCAGAGCGCTGTGGTCTCGCCGTCCACGCGACGCACGTACCGGAGCGGGTTGTGGGCCCCATCGTGGCAGAGCGTGAAATTGCGGAAGTGGCGTAGGCGAGGGCCTTTGCAAGGGAACAGCGAGAGGAAGTGACGTGAGTCGCCGTCCACTTCCACCCGGAAACTGCTTGATCCCGACTGGCTATAATACATCCTATTCGCAGCGGATTGATCCTCGTTGTGCTCGCTTTTTTTTTCCCTGGCTGCATAGTTGTGCATAACTGACAGTGCCTCCAACAGCGCCTCGGGCTGCCCAATGTACACGCCTGAATTTGGATAGCACGCGCGCGAGCTCCTTCGGCAGGCCTGGAAGGCCTCGTTTTGCGCGTTTTGCTTGGCGAAGCATCTCGGGAAGGAGCCGCACTCGCCGCTGAGCGTCAGCGTGCGCTTGTCCCGCACCGGTGGCGGCAGATACTGCGGCGAGTTGGCGACCACGGCGTCCGTGCCGTCGGAGAAGGCAATGGGAATGGCCGGGTTGAGCGCTTGGAGTAGCTGGACGGCCCTCCTCACAGCAGGCAGCTTGTAGCCGACGCCGCCCCATCGCATCCCGAGGCCCTGCACGACCAGTGGAATCTTGTGGTGCGCGGCTGACAGCCCAAGCGCCCACGGACCCAAACCGGCAAGGTCAGTGAGATATGTCATCAAGACAACAGGACCGCTTCCTCGCCAGCTGCCACCACGAAGGGCCCAAGAATTGGCTTTATTTGTTTCACTTTTGACGAGCGTCAAGCCAAATTTCACAGCCACTTCGAGTACGGGTGTGAACGGGTGTTTCGAGTTTTGGACGTGCTTCAGGTTACTCCCGCATGCTCACGAGTGGCCCAGGTGAGGCGCAGTGGGCACAAGTAACACCGAGTTCACTCGAATTACCCTCCAGTTCCTAGCAGTTCCTGGCAGTTCCTGGCAGTTCCTGGCAGTTCCTGGCAGTTCCCGGCCGTTCCAGCAGTTCGAGCGTTGCCGCCGACTGCGGCTACTTAACTAATACACACTACAAAGTCGCGCCCACGGCTCTGCGAGCCGTGGGCGCGACAAACCCCGGCGGGGTCGCCGGGTGGCGCCACCCTCCTAGGCGCGCGCCGGGCCGTGCGGCCACGGGCCGAAGGTCTCAAAGCGCTGCCGGCGGTTGAGCTGGAGGGCGGTCGTGTGGCCAACGACGTGCAGCATCGCCGTGAGGTGCTTGAGCGCGCGGCGGTACGCGCCCGGCCGGAACATGGCGTGCGGCACCTGTGTGGGCGGTGGGCG